AAAAAAGACAAAGAAGCGACCAGGAAACATCCCAGGCAATCATTGAAGAGTAAGCAACCTTGGCACTGAATTCCGAAAATATTCATCGAAAGAATAATTTGCATAGGAAACCAACACATCCCTTATTCTTTTTCTAAATTGCCCAATTGGCAGTTGTCTAATATTAAGTGGTATTGCATTATACCAAGCTCTACCCAAATGAAAAACTGACCTCCTAGTAACTTCCATCTGAGACTGGGGTAAACTTAAACTATATCTATTTCGAGTTTCGTAACTATGCGTATAGTTTGCTTCTGTTGAGGACTTATTTTGCAAAAAAATTAGGCTTTCAAAGATAATTAGGTCATACACTGTAAGAATCTGCAACCTTTGAAACAGTGGTTTGCAGTGAGCTAGCCGATCAGCATTTGAAATTATTCGTACTGCTCTTTTTTGTAAAATGAAAACAGAATTAAGTCGCGTAATTGTTGCATATCCCCAGAACACAAGCCCATATCTCAAGTGGGACTCAAAGAGAGCATAATACACTTCTAGTGATATAGCTTCGTCACCCAATTCTTGTGAGGCAGATCTAATAGCATAAGTAGCAGATGCCAAATTTTTTGACAGCTTATTTAAGTGATTTTCCCATTTCAGGGAACTATCCAGTACAATTCCCAAAAATTTATAGTCCGTGGCCTTATGAATAGCATTAGTACCTATTTTTAGGGAGATGTTTAAATTTTTATTAAAAGTCATAAACTTGGTTTTGTCGGTGTTGAGGGCTAGTTTGTTTGCATCAAACCATTGCTTAATTGATGCCAGATCTGTGCAGATAACTGTCTGTAAGACCTCTGGATCGTCTCCCATCCAGCAAATTGAAGTGTCATCCGCAAACAAAGTGAAACTGCCTGCAATACTCAGCGAAGTTAAGTCATTTATGTAAATCAGAAAAAGTAATGGACCCAACACTGACCCTTGCGGCACACCATCCGTAATATTTCTATAGTCGGACGTTACTTTTTCACCATTATCTGTTATTTGGACAACTTGCCCTCTATTAATCAAATATGACCTGAACCACTTCAGTGTCACACCCCTGAAACCATAGAACTCCAGCTTATCCATCAAGATTTTATGATTCACACAATCAAAGGCTTTTGCCAAATCACAGAAAAGAGCCACCACATTCTTCTTAGCATTCAATCCAGAGTAAACACTTTCTAAGAGGGAATAAAATTGCGTGTGAAGTGCTCTTGCCACTCTGAAACCCAAATTGAACAGTGGAAAGAATATTATATCTCTTAATAAAGTCGGTTGTACGTGTTTTAACTAATGTTTCTATTATTTTTGAAAAGACAGAAAGTAGAGATATTGGACGAAAATTGGAGTGTGTCTTTTCTTCCACCCTTATCAAGAGGAATTACTAAGGCTTTTTTAAGATCTTCAGGAAAGACACCATCAAGAAACAAATCGTTAATGATGCTGGATAGGACCTCAAGAACTTTGAAGGGAAATTTTTTGACTGTCTTAAGAGATACTTGATCCAATCCACTGGAGTTTGTGTTTTTCAGATTTTTGATTAAATTGAGAATTTCCTGGGGTGTACAGGGTTTTAAGTAAAAACTATTATTCATTTTAGTCTTCTTATCATTTAGGAACGATAATGCATCTCTGTCGGAGGCCAAATCTTTTGTGACTGTGCGACTGTGGATGCCAAAGCAACATAGAATTCATTGAGGTGGTTTGCCACATCTGCTGGTGTAGTAATCTCTTTCGAGTCAACTTCCAGTTTGATGGCTGATTTTCTGCGATCCGATCCTCTTCCAGAAATGTCATTAATTATGGACCATGTTTTCCTCTTTTCAACTTTCTTAAGAATAGCTTTATATGCTTTGAAGTAACGTAGGAAATGATGATTGTCAGTATACTTACTGATATAATGTAGTGCTCGTTTGTTTCTGCAAGATATTTTAATTCCTCGAGTTATGTATGGCTTAGACTTCAAAGAGAGTTTCCTATAAGAAAAACAAGAATTCACAGCCTCAAGAATATGCTGCTGGAAACAAAAGAATTTTTCCGAAGATATCATAATTTTCTCAATAAAGGACCAGTCAATATTTTCCAACAGATTCTGGAATTTGTTCATGTTTCTGTTTGAAAAATTTCTTAAAGTTATAAAATTATTGTATTTTAAATTTTGTTTCCTAACAATAATTCTTCCCACGATAGCCTCATGATCACTCAAATCCATATGTTTTGTCTCAATCATAACTGTATTAAGTCTTAGATTTGTACAAAAATAATCTATTTGTGAGGCACTAGTCTTTGTAATCCTAGTAAATGTATCCACATGCATCTTGAAGTCGAAAGACATCAATAAACACTTTAAGTTAATCGATTCTTGGGAATTTTGACTACAGTCAATAATATTAAAATCACCTACCAACACTATGTGTGAATTATTTGTAAACGACCTTAAAACATCAAATAAACTTTCGTAAAAAACATTGAGATTACCAGAAGGAGACCTATAAATATTTATGATGTAAAAATTAAGGAAATGTACATAAGCACAGGCAAGTTCAAAATGTTTTTCATTATTAAGACAGTTATATTTATCAATAGTCTTACATTCGATACTATCTTTTGCAAGAATTATGGAACCTCCACCCTTAAAAATATTTCTTGTGTAACAAGATACGACATAGTTCGGAAATTTTGTTTCTTACGCTACAAATATTTAAAGATAAAATAATAAAAATATCGTCACCTAAGTCTAAAACATTGGGCCTGACATCAGGATCACCGGAAGATACAGATTTGTCATCAATCAAATTACAGTAATCTTGTTCAGGCTCATATCTAAAAAAATTTGTGTTTCCATGATATCACCACTATCTAGGACTTCATTATAGTCATTTGTAGAACCAACAGATCCATCAGGCGTAATGTATACAAGATCACCAGTGTTTTCTTTTGACTTCATTATTGCACATAAGTACAAGTTTTTCCTCAAGTGTTTTTCTCCTATACATTAGGCCATCTTCACCGTTGATGTCCACACATAGGGCCATAGTCCCCCGAGTATGTCTGTTCAAGACATCAGCATAGTAAAAAAGTTTTTTGTTAAATTCGTATACTAGATTATTATTAAAATTTTCACTATATGAGTAAGAAACCGTAGTTAAAATAATATTTGTATGAAGGCAATATTTCAGGTACTTATTGATAAACTTAAAAAAAAGGAGCCCTATTATTTTTAAAATCATTCTGACCTGCATGAATTATAACATAATCGTCAATGGTAAAGTTTTTGGTCAAGTTAACAATATCCTCAATAACACCGGTGAACAGAGCATTTGATTTGATTATCCCCTGTACATTAAACTTAAAGTTACTTACACTGTTTCTAATTATGTTCACCATGGGCGCAAAGACATTATCACACAGAATCAATATTTTTGGTTTGTTACCAGTTTCCATATGGCTATTCCCTGCAATGACCTCTGACGGCCTCACTGAATTTTTAACAAAGCTGGGGGGAGTTCCTTGCAATTGTGTCTGCTGTACTTTGTTTCTCTTGCTGTTCGAAAAATTTGATACATGAACATGTTTAGCAGGAGTCTGGTAATTTGTTTCTTTCAGCATACTAACGATCGGGGATTTCACTTCATTGCTAACCTCCCTCAATCGTTTCCTCAGAAGCATAACCTCGTCTGCATGCATCTTGTTTGAGATTTCCAATGTTTGGATACTAGAGATCATCTGCTTCAAGGTTTGATTCAGTTCCTCAACCTTCATCTCAAACATCTGCCTTCTCTCTATAGACGATTTCAGATCAGCTAGTAGACCTTCATTGTGTGTCCTAACCTTCATTGTGTGTCCTAACCTTTATCAATTCAGCATCTAGGAGGTTGATTGCAGCCTTCTGTTGTTTCAATTCAGTTTCGTAATGCTGCTCACAATCAACTACCGAATCTTCAAAGTCTCTCGTTCTCCGATTCAGTCGCATAATATGAACATCCTTCTCTTGGATAGTTATCCTTAACTGTTCAATCTCAGATTTCATATCATTCACTTGAGATTCTTGTTGTAGAGCCTCCTCCTGACAATTTATGCTGCAATGAATCTTACATCCACCCAGTTGAATTACCTCAGATCTACGTCCGAGGCAGCTTGCATGATATACCTTGAAGCATACAATGCAAAAAAGGTTTGCGACGTCCTTTCCTGCACAACACTTGAATTTATTCTCCATTGCCCAAAAAAAACGAAGGTCAACCACTCTTCAAAATAAAATAAGTAAATTCTATAAATAAATGCTGGCCGATATGCAAATTAGACTGATAAGAAATAGTTTTTTTTTCCTTTTTTCATTGGAAACAAATTGTACGATTTACACAACAAATCAAACCGCGAATGATTAAATTTACTAATCACTGAAAAGAGAAAGAAATTCTCTCTAGAATGATGCTGAACACAACAATTAATTTTCGCTTAAACACAGTAAAAAAATGGAATATTTAGGAGCGCTTCATAAAACCGAACCGAACAGTATGTCTTAACGACCTGGCCTTATGATTTAGATTTTGGAAAACTTTGAAAGGTCATAACTTTTTTTCTATTATAGATAGAAAGCTGAAATTTTCAGCGATTTTTATCCCACTAGAGGACTACAATCCTCGAAAATTTCAGCCCATTTGGACCTATAGTTCCTGAGATAAAATTGTGTTAAGCAATTTGGGGTGATTTATCAATTTTTCAATTTTTCTGAGTGCCTTTTTTCATAGAATCCAGTTCCAAATCTCAGAATAATTTAGTATATGGAGTTTGAGGGATATCAAATGACCATTAGGACATAAAATCTCAACAAAAAAAAAATTGAAATTTCATCGTTTCAGTAAGAAGCTAGCTGAAATTTTCAGTGATTCTTATCCCAGTAGAGTACTACAATCCCTGAAAATTTCAGCTCATTTGGACTCATAGTTCCTGAGATAAAATCAAATAAAGACAATTCATTAGGAATAAAATATTTATTTAAAATCTGCTATATACAAAATTATCTCACAGTGAAGATAAAAATAATTCATTATGTATATGAAAAATATGCAAATATCTTTAACGAAGCTTTCTAAACAGACCATAGAAGAAAAAAAAAACAAATATGCATAACAAGAAACATTAAAATATCCTTCATAATAGCAGCTTGAAAAATTATTGTTGTTTAAAAAGTTCGCCTCAGATCTCACCCATTAAATAATTGGGATTTGTTTGAGATCATTCAAAGTAGTTATGTGTCTGTATAAATTCAAAAGAATTTTACTAAAAGGACACGACAATCGCAAAATTTACTAGAATAAATAGGAATTAAGCTACTGACAATAAGAGGCAGTCTTATAAAGTTAGGTTTGTACACACAAAAAAAAAGAAAAATTAAGTAAGTCAAAGCCCAAGAAAATTTGTCTAAAATAAATAATTTTTAATTATTTTCCTGTTTGGAAGCAAAGAAGCGTATCAAATTGGACAATTAACCCTAATAATCAACTATATAAAATATATTTTTACTATCTAAACGAAATCCAAAATTTTAGTTTTTTTTTTAAATTTATTTTTCTATCTACAGTAGGTAAACATAATATCCGAAACCTGAAATTAAATCGGGCACTCTTCCTTATTAAGTATTAAAGCATTTAACAAATCATATAACTGATTCAAGAATTATTATTTTTTTTCATTTGAACATTTTTAATTGAAAACGCTGAAAAATCCAGCATAAAACCTAAACCTATTTGAACTGTACGAAAAAATAAACCCGTGTCAAAGTAAACTGAACCAAAAATGCACAAAAAATAAAATCAAATATTCCTTCCATTCGCACATAACAGTATTTTTGTAAAAAAAATGCAATCTGTATCACATTACACTCTTTACCAAAGATTAGCTTGGTAAGACATTCAGATGCCAGTTTAAATACTGGCCAATAATATTAAGCAATGACAAATATATCTTTGTCAATGCCTAATATCTGAATTAAAAAAAACTATTCATTAACTTTAGCTAATCCAACCTTTGAAGGGCTTCATCCAATAAGGCTTTAGTAGGCGACGGTGTCTGAACTGGAATATTTTTTTGATTACACTTGACGATTCCGTCTAAAATTTCATCGAAACTCAACAGAGCTTTGTCATCGGCTAAAATCAGATCAACGTCGGGGGAGGAAAGATTTGAAATGTCAATGTCTGAATCGTCCAAGGCTACTGCATCGCAAGATACTTTTTCCACGTCGTACATGCACACTAAGTCTTCTTCGGTTTCTTGATTGTCTGGTCGATTTTCTTTGGTGTCGTCTGATGTTTCTTCTAGTTCTGATTGGGGCTGTTTGTTTTTGTTTACGTAGGTGCGTTCTACTTTAAGGCCCATTTGTTCTAGTCTGGAAAAAGGAAATTAGGGTGTTAGGATTTTATGGGTCAAAAATTATCATTGGAGCTTAAGCAAAATGCTTACCTTCTAAGGATAGTATGAAACAGAAACAATAATTGTATAATATAAGTAGTAATGATGGTATAGGCAAAGTTGATTACAATAGAAAAATGATATACTTCAGATCTGTTGTTCTGGGTTGATTTTGCTACTCAGAGTCAGACATAAATAAAGACTTGGGAAGGAGCAATTAACTAATCAGTTGCTCATAAATAAGGCTTTAAAAAACATCAATGAAACTATGAAAAAAGTCCTTGAGCTACTTCTTAAAAATCAATGAAGAAGAACTTGACCACCAACAGAATTTTGGAGAAAGTTCTCCTACTCAATAAACAGTGCAATTAACACTCAGTAAAGTTAAAATTTATTTTCCAAACATCAATTGAAGTGTGTTCTATGAACATCTATGAATAATTCTTACCTGAGAATAGCAGATTTTTCAAAATATTCCATATTAACCACATGAGTTTGTAAACTGTGATTTTCATCTTTTATCAAATTGGGTACCCGATACTTCAAGCTGGCCAAATGAGGCTGCCCATGTTCTTCTTGTGGTACGTCAGATTTACAACTCATCAATCTGAAAAAAACCCTAAAATTAGGCCTGTTGCAATATTAAAGACAAAAATTCTTACCTAGGATCTGGTGTATCTCGGAGTACAAGATAAAATGCGGCCATATATTCTGCACAAGGTTGCAATTGTTCCCAAGCAAATCCCGATACTTCTAGCGCCACCTGTTTTCCGTACATAAAATACATGGCAGCAGCTGCAAGAGTACTGTAAGAAAATTTCAAGAAACCGGGATCAAGGCTGAATGCGTCTATCATTTGTGAGGCTCTTGTAAATTGATAGCCAGAGTATTGTGGAAACAGGAAATCTCTAGTGGTATCTTGATGGAGTCTTCTTTTTATTACAGTTGGAGCCTAAAGTAGAATATTTAATAAAATTATTTACAAAAGTAATTTATATGATATTACCTGGAAATGAATTTGCATATACAAATTCAACCAGCAACTCGGAGTCATCACATTCAAATCCCATCCTAGGCTATTCAAAATCAACAGTTCGCAATTTAAAATGTCTTCAGTGCTACAAGCCCCATCGCAGACGTAAGAAAATTCATTCAAGTGTGGAGGAAAAATTTCTTCGAGTTTAGAAGCAATGAAAAGGCAAGTGATACCGACTAATTGCAATTGGCTTTTAGGCACGTCAGGCCTTAAGGACAAAAATCTATCAAAGTAATCTACAGTGTGGTAATAAGTGACGCGTCTTAAGTGGTAAACTTCGCACACCTCCATTACCCAGTCTAGTAAAATCGCTCTCATACGAGGTATGAAGTTTGTGAAGTCTTCAAATAAACGGGGATTTCTAAGGTTCAAAGATGCTTCTTCTTTATATACCTGGAATAAATTCAATTTAAAATCAAATTGTTTTAGTTAAACTTCCCACAATGGTGCCTTGGGATTGATAAAATATTCACTACTCACCATATACATCCAAACTTCTTTGCTATCAGCCCAGTTCAGCAAAGGTAAAGGTACCCGCCGCGTTTTCCTTGGCGACCCAAAATCTTGTTTGGTACTATTTTTTCTTTTACTGGTTCTAGTCCTCGCACTCCTGCCTTCTTTTCGCGAATGTGGCGTCTTGTGGTCTTTTTCAGTGGTGCATATTTTGGAGGTAGAAGGACCGGGTTCTGAGAGGCATTTGTCTGATGGTTTTTCTGTATCTAAAATGGAATTATTGATTGTAAACCTAAACAGTACAAAACTTATAAATATTCATTTTTTTTTTATTTTCTATACAGTCTGGTAGATACCTATGAGAAATTACCGGAGCGTATCACATGATGGCTCTTTGAAGGTAATGAACTTTTGCAAATAAAAAAAAAATCCTACCTGTATTACTTTCTGATTCGCTGTCCCCTTTTTTCTCGCTACTTTCTTGCAAATTCTTATCTCTGGCCATGGCGCTTTCTCTGATATTTTGTCCGTATTCGAAACCCCACACTGTTTGCTTTGTATGCATTTTCAACAATTCTTGGAAAGGTAAATTGGAGTGTTCATTGTAGTTTTCTTCTTCGGGCCCGTTTGTTGATAATTCTGTATTTGTATTGTCTTTGGGAGAGTCTTGAGACGTTTGGACTTCTAGAACTTCGGCTGATTGTAAATCAATATAACTCATTGCAAAATTTGATGATTAGGACTGAAATTTAAAAAAAAAAAAATATGTAAAAACCTTAAAAACCAAGTACCTCCCTTTTTTGCTTACAAGACATTTATTGGCCTTAAAGTAATTTGAAGCATCATAAACCTTTGTGCATTTCAATGCAACAATAATAATAATAATGTAGCGTAACCCAAATCATAGCTTTGAAAATATTTATCAATAATGTTTTACTGTTTCAACATTCAACAAGAAAACATTACAATAATGAGGACACACAATAAATAGTTAACAATTCAGCTAGTGTGTGCTTAATCTATTTAAATTCAACAAAGTCCCACAACAATAATAAGAGTTTATGTAAGAAACTCATTTTCTGTGGGTTTTTTCTGGGCTATAATTTATAGGAAACAGATCCATAAAATAAAGAGGAAAAAAGAGAGCTCTATGAAATTCTAGAAAAACAAAATATGCATACTGTCAATAGTTTCTCTTATATCTATGCGTCCCATCAACTAAAAAGGCATTGAGAAGATTTTCCAAGCTAACTGGAAAGTCAAAGCCAAGAGGTTTCTATGCGTAGAAATGTTTGAACAGGACTTCAACAGTACCCTACAGGACTTGAATAGGACTATGCAGGACTATACAGTACTTCAGCAGGACTTCTCAGCTCAGTATTTCGACAGGACTATAGTACTTCAACAGGACTTTAAAACAGGACCTTACAGGACTGGTGTTATGCAAAAAAAAATCTTCCTGCTTGGCTGACGATCTCTTTCTAGATCAATCAAATCAGTTTTACTGCAGTATTATTTTCTTTTTTTTTTGTGCTCAGTTTTCGTGAATTAAGGAATTTGAATAACTCTATAATTCAGGATAATTCTTATCACCAATCCCGGGGTAAACCATCTTGGAATTATAGTGTACAAGCATGTGGAATTCCAGTGGGATTTTGTGGGATTCCAGTAGGATTGCTTGGAATTTCAATAGGATTGCATAGGATTTCAGTAGGATTCCGTGGGATTCCAGTATGATTTCGTGGGATTTTGGTGTACACATTTTTCAAGGTGGTTAACCCCTTGTCACCAACCTAGTGCCAGCTTTCATTTAAACTTTCAAAGTATCTGTAAATTTTGATTGGGGTTGAATTAAGTTGAACTAAAAAAACTGGAACAAAATTCAGTTTCAGTAGGTATGTTCCAATATCTGAAAAATAGTCCCATAAGTTTCAAAACTACTCTGTATTAGAATTCCAGATTCTATGTTTTGCACAAAATTGTGGAGATTTGTGCTGGACCTACAATACTTTCACTAGACTTGTGCAGTATCTACAGGACTTGTACAAGACCTCAAAAATATGTGGATAAGTACTTTGGAATAATGTTCAAATCTGATGATACCTGATGACCTCTTGGTCAAAGCCAAAGTCAAAAATGCTTTATTTTTTTCTGTTTACAAAGCTATCAAACCAACTCGGTACTAATCCTAATGTTCACACAATCAATCTAGACTAAAAAGGTTATATGGACTAAAATTTATCAATTATAAATACAAATTAAAGAATGAATACCTTGATAAGTAGGTACTTAATACCTCATAAATCTATAGGAATTACTTTCATGTTGGACAATAATATTATGCTAAGCGATCTATGAAGAACTCATTCAGATATCTTTGAGTGAGTCTTTGAGGATTCAGGAAGGTGATCCTACCATCAAGAAATAAAGATCTCTGGATCATTTCCTATGGCAGTTTGTTTAAAAATATGCCAGAGAAGAAGAATGTTATGACTTTTTCAAAAAAAAATATTGATTCAGTATCAAGAAGGTAAGTATCATCATATTCTTTGATCTATGTTGGGAATACATCAGCCATCCTTAGAATATTTTGCAGACTCTTTGGACTTAAGCCCTGTTTGCCGACTTAGGTCTCTCCTTACAACCCTCACCTCAACGTGAAAATATGTTTCTTGAAGCAAAGCTGAGTATTGACAACTCCTCTTTATCAAAAGTTAAGGGATTGAGATGAAACCCAAATGGAGTTGATATACAGTCTATATTTTTAGGTGATTTCAATATAATGTTCTATTTGAAATGTGATAATGAAAAAGCTTTAATATTCCAAGAATTTTAATATGTAAACAATCTTGTACAAATCAATAATATAGGGAACAATATGGGTCGATTACTGGATTTAGCTGTTACAAATATACAAGGTGTAAATGTTGATAAGTCAGAGCGTCCATTGGTGTCAGAGGATATGTATCACCCTGCCTCTGTGTCTTCACATGACGACTGAATCTGCCAAGGAAGAGGTAAAATTAACAAAAAAATATGAATATAATTTCACTAAAAGGAACTACCTTCATTTGTATTATTCTATTAAAAACTGTGATAGGTCAGATCTTGTCGAGTATATTAGCTTGTCAAAGTTCTATGAGAAAATGTATTGTTGCATGGACACAGCCATTCCTAAATGTGAAAAGAAAGATATCACGACCCCCAAATTTCCTCATTGGTACTCCATTGATCTGGTACGTAACATACAGGAAAAAAATCGACAGCATAAATTAGTGCTATCTGAAACAAGTTGTAAGCAAAATATATGAGTATGAGCAACACAAAAGACATGTTGAAAATATCATAAATCTGGAATCGAAGGCTTCTTGGAATTATGTCAATAGCAAAAAGAATTAGAATGGGGTAAATGGAAATGGTTTATAATAGTATAGCATAGATGATCCGTCTGATACAGCAAATGCATTTGCACCCTTTTTCAATAGATGTATGAACTGCGTGGGGACTCAAAAAGCACGCAGTCACAGTCAGGTGAATACTGTGACTGGAGTGGTCTCAATCTCTCTCCTATAAGCAAGCAAGATGTTATAAACAGCATCAAAAGGCTGAAACTAAAAAAATCACAGGTAGTGATAGTATTCCGCCTTTCATCTTCAAGGGATTGGCTGAATTTTTGGCTGGAATGCTTGAGCATGTATCCAACATAGCAATAACAATGTTAAAGGAAACAGTAATAACTCTGATTTATAAGAAAGGTCAGAAATATGATGTTAAAAACCGAGTTAAAAACTATCGACCAATTAGTTTATTAAATTTTATAGCAAACATTTTCAAACAATTGTTGTTTGATAGGCTGTACTGTATGAAGGTTTGCACCCTGAAATTAGTATGTACCAGCATGGTTTTGTGACTGACGGTCAACTGTTACTAATCTGAGCATATTGTCTGAATATGCTGCAGAATCAATTGAGGAAAAAAACCAACATGTCATTTATACAGACTGCAAGAAGGCATTTGACAAGGTCAGTCATGAAATTTTGTTACTTATGGAATATCAGGTCGGCTATACATGTTCTTCAGGTTTTATTTCTCAGATAGGAATCAGAAGGTGCAGATAGGTAGAGGCTATTCTAGAGTATATTCCACTGGGCTATACAAGATGCAATACAACTATAAAAAAAGAAAAATACTAAATATAAAATAACATAATATAAAATATAAAATATAAAAACAAAACATCAAACATAAAAAATTTCCTCCAAACCAGATCCTACTGGAAGGGTCCCAAGCACTGACGCTGCATTTCCCCTTTGTACTGCTATGTAGCAGCATCTGATGTTCCTCAGGGCAGTAATCTGGGCCCTCTGTCATTTGTATTGTTCATCAATCCATTGCCTGAGTGCATATCTGGGTTGCGGATGATTTCAAAATGTTTAGAGAGGTCGCAACAGTGAATGACTGTATCCGGTTGCGTCTGACTTGAACAATGTTGGATTATGGTTTCAGGAAAATAAAATGTATTCAAATATCAAAAAATGCTCAGTTATGACATATAATCATAAGAGTGCATATGCCCAGTTTGACTATTGTATAGGTAGGGAAAAACTCGTCAGATTAAGTGAAGTGGAGGATCTGGGTGTCCATTTTCAGTTTAGTATGAAATTCACAGATCATTATGTTGAGTCTAGTAACAAAGCTTTCAAGGCAGTAGGTTTTATTCAAGGGGCAAACCACTAGTGGAAATCATTACCTTTTGTGGGAATCACATAGTAATCAATCAGGAATACATGAAAATCACTCAAGAGTCCCTGGGAATAACTTGGAAATCGCCAGGAATCTCCTAGGACTCCATAGAAATCACATAGAAATCACCTAGGAATCCATTGGCAATCGCTAAGAATCATGGGGTAATCGCTGGGAATATCATGTCATTCTAACTGAGAAATCGCATATTATACATTTTAAACCATACGGCGTACTAGTCAGTGGTGTATTTGCCTTTAAGACTAAGTTTTAGGCAACATTGAGTGATAGACAATTTGAAATGAATTTGATATCCCAACGAGTTTCCCAATAACTGAGCCCTTAACTGAACCTGAGACTATGCAGAGTTTTGAACTTGAAGAAGAAGAACGAAATGATGATTAGGACTGTTTTCACAGAAATCACAAACGAGTCAGAGCGTTTTTGATTGGTGCAAATCGTCAACAACCAGTTTTCTGATTATGTTCAATCAATGAAATTAGCTTTGACTGGCTTGTGATTTTTGTGAGAACAGACCTAAAGTATGACAATGTTGTAGATCATAATAGTGAAAACATGAACCTTGAAACCTCTCTTGAATCCAACTTGCCAAAAGAAGACACAGAATTTTTCTGCACATCAGGGTTTAGCAATTGCGATTCGCTACAATTGCGAGATTATTCAAGGCTCAACTTTAATTTAGTTCTTTTCAGAGAAGCAGGGACGTTTTTCGATCGAGTATTAAGAGCTATGGGAATGTCCCTGAGAAAGACACAAAAGAAAAAGTTGGGAATTCAAAGCAATAAGAACTTAAAATGGGAAAGCAGAATAAAAACTAGGCAGGGCTAGAAGCAGAAACAATACCACATCTGAATCAGAATCAGAAATAAGTTTGTCGAGTGAAACACTAACTGAAGATGTGTCTGATTCAGATGAACATCCTAGTGAAATCAAAGAGCTACCATCCATTATTTTAGATCCATATGATGCAGTGTAGACATGCAATGGTATCTAAGGTTCAACAACTATTTATACCTACAACAAAATCTGTGTGGGTGTGGACAGCCATTAAAATAAAAGTTACTAACTTTTGGAAGAGTTGCAAATACAGAGGTTACCAATTTTTCAGTGAAAACGAGTTATTATAAGAGAAAAGGCTGTTTATTTTGGTCATATCAATGCGAAGCCTAACAATCAGACATCGTTTTTGTAATAAAATCAGCTGGAAATCGAATGATTGTCGAGGAAATCAAGTAATCAATTGGGAATGAAATAGGAATCCCTAGAAAAAATGGAAGTCACCTTGTAATCATACAAAAATATCTGAAAATCATTGGCAATCAGTCACAATTCTTGAGATGGGAATACATGAGATTCATCGATCACTGATTTCCAAATATGGAAATCAGAGTGGAAATCATTGTACATTTGTAAACATAGTGGTTATTGGTTAACCCCTCGGTTTTATTATACGAAACAGTATATCTTTCAAAATAAATACCATTGTAAGATTATACCATTCCCTTGTGAGACCTTATTTGGAATATGCATCTCCAGTCTGGATGCCAAGTGCAATCATGCATATAGATTATATTGAGAAAGTTCAAAAACGATTTTCGAGTCTTGAGATATAATAATTCATATCCATATATGGTCTCCTATAAATCAATGTTAGACAGCTTTGAGTTTGAATCATTGGTGCAGCGAAGGAGGAGGAAGGCACTGCTATTTGTATATTGCGTTGTAAATAGCTTGAAGTATGGGAATTGTCAACTTATTAACTATATAAAATTTAAGGTGCCTAAGATTAACTTAAGACTGATAAATCCAAATGTATTTTGTGCAGGGCAGAGTGTCATATCCCCTTTTAAAAGAACGATGGATGAATGCAACACTGTAATACCTACAAGCTAAATAGATATTTTTAGTATAAGTATAAAAGAACTTAGTGCAGTATTGCATTAACATTGTGTGATGGTAGAATTGTGATCCTTTGGTTATGTTTGTTGTTTAATGCCTGTTTTATATTTTATATTTTGTGTTAGTTTCTAAGTTTTAAGTGTACTTTTATTATATTTTAGTCTACCATACTTTACTGTGGGGTGTTTGTAATTTTATCTTTAAATAAATAAATACATATATTCTTGGTTATTTCTTATCACACTTTAATGAACTCAGTGCAATAGACAAGGTACTAAAAACTTGAGCCATTGGATATAGAAGCAAACTCTAGCAATGCTGTCTATCACTGGACACTTTCAATTACATACTTCACAAAAGTTGAAAACAACCAAGACAATCTGGATCTGCCTATAAGTTGCATCAGCACCTCAGTATTTGAATAAATAGATAGATTATCTACTAATGAAGATATGAATATCTTGGAAAATGTGTAAATCAAACACCAAGAAATTGTGAAGTTTTTAAAAAACAAAACTTCCCAATAAAGAAATTCAGGAAGTAACACATAAAGAAAACTACCAGATTGTCTAAGTCTCAACCTGACTATATTTAACTTTTTATGTAGTTATGTTGTCAATTCATTTGAAAAGCACACCCTAATATAAAATCTAAGAAATTCTTTACAAATATTTTTTCAAAGTAATTCCCATATGCAGGTGCACATTCTCCAACAAAAAGGTACCTGCCTGAAATCCAAAAATAACTCTTCAAAAATCTTCAACAATATAAAAATATAAAGAGCATTGATGTCACCTGAATAGATCCCCAAGCCAAACCAGAAACGTTTTAAAATAAAAAGTCTAGCAGCTCACCAAAACATGACCTCATTCGGATCTTTAAAATTTAAAAGGCTGCACAATTTATTGAATCAATAAAAAAATTAAAGGGATACTTATTTAAGTAAACATTTTTAAATACCTACTTATATGATTCCATTTAATACCTGAAAAATGATTACTCAAGTAGAGGTCATTGTATCAATAATATGTCTCTTTAAATCGGTTTGGGACATTTAAATTTTAAATAGATAATTATTGTTGCTAAGGCTGCTAGATAATAATTTAAAAAAATACAAAATTTATTGATAATCGTATAGTTACATATGGATGGACAAAATGAAACGTTGAAGATGATTAGGCCTTTTTTGAAGCACATTTTTCTCAAATTGATAACTTACCTGAATGGGGCCCCACAGGGTTAATTTTAGGCTGAAATTGTTCGCTATTAATTAGAGAACCAAGATGAAATGAAAAATATTACGTGGGTGTCGATTGGGGCTGGTTTTGGGGGCCAAAGTGCAAGGATACCACACCTCATTTTGCACATAACCCCTAAAATTCTACATCGAATATTGCCAAAAATAATGGTTGTAGAGTATTAGAATAAATTTTATTGGAAAGTTAGATGTTTAAATAATTGGAAAATATCAATTTTGGGGCACTCACCTGGCAAGAGATTTTCCAAAAAAATTCCAAGCCCGATCGCGAAATTTTTGGTTAGTTCCTACTTTATCTGAACAGTACCGTTAGGAGCACTTGAGAAATCTATTAAATGAGCCCCGAAAAAGGATCCACGAAGGTTCAACTGCAGGTAGAGGAATCGAGCACAATTTTTGCTACGTGGAGCTGCTACATAACCAACTAAAAATACCCTAGCAGCACCCTTTTTATCCCGCCAAGTAGAGGAAAATGGTCAAAATTTAGGCGGGCAAAAGCTGTTATGTCTACGCGCAGCCAACTTCAGACAGGATACGTTTCGGACCCTTTTATGCGAGTTCTAAAGGAAAACTTGATAATTTCACTATAAACAATGTATAATTGTTTAAATACCCTGCCGACAAACACAAATAATAAGTATATTTAATAATTAAAGGGAAGATTTCGAGCGGCAAATATGGAAGCAAGTTTGGTTGCCTACCTTTTCAATGGAGCAACTGGTCAATCACAACAAACATTAAAACACAAAAAAATCGCACAAAATCAACGAATTTATTTGAAACTTTTATCCCGTTTTATTAATCGAACCTTTGTTTATTATTATCTACCAAAAAAACACTTTGTTTCATTTATTTTCGCGACGAAAATCGAAAATTTCCAACACAATTTTCACGCCGAGTATCACCTGTTCGCAAAGCTGTCAGCTGACTCTGTCATAACAGATGTGAAGTTAGCGCCGCGCAAAACATCTGACATTTCTCCAGTTGAGCGGGAATCTCTCGTGACGTCACAAGAATGATGTCAGCAGCAGGGGGGCATTTAACTGCATTCCGAATACCCATTTTTGCAATGTTGGCAAGTAAGTTATTTTTAGAACTATTGGAATGGAACGGGCATGGGAAAGGAAATACTTGATGAGGTCTTTAACATTTGATTTAAAAGAAAAAAAGAGTTTATTATTATGTATTTCTATATTATGTTTTACGTTGTAAATGTTGTAATTATAAACAAAAAATGCATTATATAGTGTTGTTTATGAAATAATCTATAAATTTAGCTTAATTTATAATCAAAATCGTAAACTCCAACAGATTCTTGAATGTTTTCATCATACTCGACCCATTCTTTTTCACTGAGATCAACTTCATTGTAAATCTTTGAACTACCATCAACTTTAACAATCCAGCCCTCCAAGGGACGAAACTCCACAGGCTCAATTCCTCTACATTCAAAAGCTACAATCGATTTCAGTTTTTCTGAATCTTCATTCGTGTAGGAAGCTATATGTATAAGAAAAGTTCAATAAGTATAGCAATAATTCATATAACTGACTATTGAAGTTACCATTGCTGCCTGGTACAATATCCAAACTGTTCTCTCTACCACACATTTTACATTTGGCAATGTAATTGTTCTCGGATCTTCCGGTTTTGCCTGGAAACTTTTCCGATTCTATGATATCGTGCCATTTGTCTGATACCTCTCCGCACCCTGTGCATTTCAATTTCAACGAAAACGAGTAGTCGGGGTGGTTCGTTTTGAGTTCTTCTACATTTTCCAGACGAGCCTTGATACGGCAATGGATGGTTTTTCCCATTTTAATTTCTATTTATTTACAAAAGAAATTTAACCTCACTGCACAAGATGTACAACAGGAATCAGCTGACTGAACAGTGGACTGTGGTCTCCTTCTCTCCTTGCCATGTAAATGATAAGTACCCGATACCCCTCGATACCCAAGTGTAAGTACCAAGAGAAAGTAGGTACTTAAGTATAAAGTACAAGTTTATTTTTTAATATGAATCAAGTAGGTAGGTACAAGTAAGTATAGAAGGAAATACTCAAAGTATGAAGTAGACACACTACATGAAAAGACTTGCAGCTTTGGATAACTGAAAACTGGATTATTACTAGATTTTCTTTTTCAAGTAAAATTGTACTTTTGGTTATTTAAAAGTACCTACTCCAATTTAAAATATTTATTTCAAGTAATTTTACTGTACTAAGTATTTCAATAACACAGTACAAATTTTCGAAAGCTTTGAAGTAAAATACCTACTTGACTTGAATGATATTTTAAGTATTAAGTAAAATTTGAAATAAAAATGAAATTGCAAGTACAAATACATAGTATTTGGATTAATGAATACTTGAGTCAAATACTTAAGTATCTTTTTGAACTTAGGTATATTTCAAGTATCTAAAGTACCTACTGCGAGTACAACAGTTCTGCTTGATTCTACCTTATTCTATTTATTGCTGTCCTCATTCTCCCGTCATCTCTGAGAGAAAGAAATTGCTTCATAACAAGTTCTCAGAGTTTCAGAAGCAAAAATCAATCCCTCTACGCTCTACAGTTGAATTTGACTTTCCCATGAGTCCAATGGTTAAAATTATGTCATCAGATCAGATCTGGGGAAGAAAATCCCAAATCCAAAATCACCATATTAATGGTTCTTGATTTGCTGGAAATTTTCTAAAGAGAAAATCTATCAGTTATATAAGTCCAACTTTTGATCGTTACCAACGTTTGATTGTCTGTAAAAAAATTGTTCAGCTAATAAAGAGCCAGTATCTACTGATTCAAAATTTAATTGTTACTGGTTTTTTGATTTGCTGAATTATTTTTCCAAAACCAATCAAACATCAAAAACAGTCTAAGTATTGATTATTCAATGATTCTTATACTGGTTTTTGATTTGCTGGACATTTCCTAAAGAGAAAATCTACCAGTTATAAGTCCAAATTTTGATCATTACCGGCGTTTGATTGTCTGTAAAAATATTGTTCAGCAAATGAAGAGCCAGTATCTACTGATTCAAATAAGTCTGCTTCTTCCAAGGTTCCAAGTCGGTGAACTTTTCGGATTCTGCACAGCATATTATGGCGTAATATTCCTGAGAATATTACATGGAAGCTTACTGAGAAAATTACTGTAAGTTACCGGTTTAAAATTCTCGTTTCTGTAATCCCGAGGGTGAGGTAGTATTACCGTAATTTACGTAATATTCCCAAAACTTCTCTCGGTAATATTCTCCCTTGCCATCACTACATTTATGTGTCGAAATTTTGATCATTATCGGTTCTTGATTGTCTGAAATTTTACCATTTTGGAACAAAGGCGTCTCCCTCTTTGCGCGTGCTAACTCTCCTACCTTATAATGGTTCCTCTCAAACTTTAACATACTAAAAAGGAGTCTCTTTTAGAGATATAACAAGACAAAACCAGCAAATTAACCCAATATGAGAAGCTCTTCTTAGCCATAATATCATAGACCAACAATAATCATCATAATTTGCATTTCATTTATTTAAAATATAGATAAAATAGTTTCCACCTTAAAACTAGAAACACAACAATTCTACAATAAATTACAATTTGTATAAAATATAACAGCCCAATAATAATTTTCATTTAAATATAAAATTGTGTAGGCATCAATGCGGATGGACATTTCAATCACAAGACAATATCAACTTCAATTTTATCACAATCCTCCATATCTTGTGGCTAAAGTGACGTTACACTCGTCACAAACTCGTACGGGTTTAGCCGAAGAAGGTAACGACGTTGAATTATCTGAGCAAGTGTTACAGAATATTTCTCCGCAATTGCGACAGTGATGCTAGAAAAATAAAATGAATTTGTGTGAAATAAAAGTAAAATTGTAGTTACCCGTCTTCGTGTCAAACTAAACTCCTTTTTGCAGGATTTACAATGGGTGGCTGTACTATCGTTTGCCCATTGGCCGCCCTCGGCTTTAATTCTGGTCGCTTCTTCTTTGAGTTCAGATACTTGCAGTTTGGTGTCTCGCAATTTGCCTCCTAACTCTTCCAGGGTGTGTTCTTGTTCCAGACAATTGTCTTTCAATGTGTAGTATTCTTCTTGTAGAGTAGCATATTTCTAATCAAGAAAATTAAATTTGAATTTGTTGTGTGTGTGCATATGGTTTTCTAATCAAAATTGACTTATGATAATAAAAGAGCAAGCTCGTTTACAATTTTTAGAGTCCAGAGAATGACTGAGACATTTTAAGATAGAAGAGGTATATTGACAGAAGTATTTTTACCTTTAGACGAGTTGTTGTAAATGATGTTTCAGCTGAAATGAAACCTTGAAGTCAAATTTGAACTGGAAAAGATATTCCATGAGGCTTGACTCTTAAGTACTAAGAGGAAAACTTAGCTCATTGGAAAAAGGCATATGAGAGAAGAATTTGAAGATGTGGAAAACAATCATGATGAAAAAAGTATTAAAAGAGAACATGCATGGCATAATATGCCTAAAAGCAAAACTCGGTAAAAACTTTTCAATCTGTCAATGGAGGACGAATTCAAGAAAGTAAAGATAATATACACCCAAATATTAAATGACAGAATCATCAAATCATCTACTGTCTGCTGAATACTTTGAATTCATTTCCAAAAGTATTGAAAAACTACTGGAAATGAGCTTGATAATGAAGTTTTCTCAAGAATTTAGATTCAAAAGGACTTTGAAGTTATTTTCTTCTGAATTGGATGATTCAGAAATCATCCCTATTGTACCCACCAGTCATATCAACTTCTTATCTCTACCTTTTCAAGAGAGTTCAATAATAATTATCCACTCGATTATCCATAAATAAGAAAATCTAAATCATTCTTTGTCAAACTTTGTAAATTCTGCAATTACTCTACTTGTAAGAATACCATACTTACATCTGCAATGATTTTAAGTTGTGCATTTTCATGTTGCAACTTTGAGATTTTCTCTCTGTCTTGCAACATGGTCTCCTGCAACGATATTCGCCATTCTCGTTCCACTTTCAAGTCTTCTTCAACGCTGTTTGCCTGCTCTTCGACTTGGGCAGCTTGCTGATGCAGTTCGCGTTTCACTTGCTCACTGGACAATCGTTTTACTTCAGATTCTTTCAGGCTGCGTTTGAGAAAAGAAAGTTTCAAATCAACAAAACAAAAATAATATTAGCAAATTAACAGAAAATAAAGCAAAACAAAAAAATACTATAGGTACTAATGGCAAACCAACAATACAGCATAAAATAAAAATAATGAAAAGAAAAAAAAAAATGGGGATAAAATATCTAAGTAATTAAAAATCGTTAATATTAATTTCTTTATTTTTATTTAGCATTCTATTCTATGTACCTATAAGTCACATAAAAGAATATCATACAATAAATCTATATACTAAAATCTCACTAATAATATTTAAGACATTTTTGTGTCTGTCACTAATATCATCATTCTAAGACATTAGCGATAGACGTATAATTACTTATTTTATACATTAATTGATTTACTTAGAATCAAAAAATAGCTGCCGTAGTGAGGGTTTGCCAACAGTTTACTAATATGTAATTACTTATTGATTATAATATATTTTAGATATTACATTATATTGAAAAAAAATTAAAGTGTACCTACTTAGCCTCAAGAGACTGTACAGTATCTGTCATAGTTTGTGCCTTGGCCTCTAGCCTGTTTACTAACTCGGTTTTATGATTTAAAGACGCCTCACTGTCCTGAAATAATTTTAAGTTTTTTTAATTGTATTTTTCAGTTTTCTCTGGCACCTTTCCTCAGAAAAAAAAATTACTTCACAGAGGATGTGATTAGTTTAATTAAATAAATCCATCCTTTGTGACATTTAACAATTTTAAGCATTGCTTTTGTCTTCTGATTCCAAATCCAGTTTCACAAAAGAATCTGTCGAATCAGAAGACAACGAAGCAGGATCTACAGCATTATCTACAGCAGCATCTTCAGTTTTAGGGGTTTCGGTTATAGTTTTTTTCGAATTATTTTTATTAAAGCTAGGAATAGTTTGTATTTGGCGCCTTTTATCCTGCGGTTTCTTTTCGTTGCCATCTTTGATCAAATGATTATACTTTTCGAGATTATTGAGAATTTTGCCGATTTGACCTGCCTTGGCTTGCAATCGACTGACCATCTCGCCTTTTTGGGTCAATTCCATTTCGCATTCCTATAGAAGCCATTAGATTTTTTTTAAAAAACATGACTTCGAATTTGTTAACTTAAAATAAATATTCAAAAAACTTACCTGCAACTTTCTGTACATTTCCAAATTGATCAGTTTGATATCGTCCAATTGTCTGCGCAACGAAATGATGGTGTCTTGTTTTTCGTGGATGTCTTTCTCTAATAGTTTCATGGCCACTTCCATTTCAGCTTTGAGACACATCTGGAAGAAAATTATTAGATTTCGGGACGATTTTAGACCACCCATAAACCTGCTGGTCACTCAATTGAACTACTACTTCACCCATAATTCAAATTAAACTAAATGGAACAAAAACAGTAAAACTAAAATTAATTTCTGATAAGCTTGACCAAAACTCATGATAAATATGCAAATTATACAAAAATAAAGGAGAAATTATGCACCTGTATTTCCAATTCATGATCAGCTTCCTGTCTTAGTTTCCTTTCTTCATCCAATCTCTGTCTTAATTCTTCAGTTTCACCAGTTGAAAATGTTTTATCACTGTTTGAATTGATTACATTTATCCCACTGGCGCTCATTTGATAGCTGTAATTCAAATAATTTAATATAATTAAATAATTGTTTTTCTATCTATTTACCCTGAAGCTGGATCCTTGCCGCACTCCTCTTTTAACTGCCGATTTTCATCATACAAAGTCAAAAGATTATTTTTAGCTATGGCCAGGTCTTCTTTCATTAGGGCATTGGTTGTTGTCAGAGTTTCGACTTTGGATTGTAAATTTGCAACTGTTGCGCTAAAAATTTACACAATTATTGTAGATCTAATTTATTAGTGCTTACTTTAAATGCCTATTGAGCTCCTCAATGTAATTCTTCTGATCCAAAACTGTTACCATATTATCGTCTTCTTGATCATCGTTACTTGAATCATTCAAAATGTGATTTGGCGATCTCAAATAAAGCGAAAAATCTATCACTCCTTGAGGACAATCTAAATCTTCTTCCTATAATAATGATTGTTTTGCTTCAAATTGTCTGCTTAATTGAGGATTATTCAGCTTACTTTAACACACAAGTTGCAATCAATAACGTTTAATCCAACCAATAATCCAATTATAATGATAGCCTCGTCGCTAAGCATCAAGGCGTCAGGTTCAAAATATTCAACTAGCGCCTCGTCTTTGTGGTCAACAAGCACTTTTAGGTAATCTGCAAGTTTTTTTTGCATTAGGGCCAATCGCAGCCAAGCCCTAGCTCGGCCCATGTGCGTTCTAACTGTAGGTAAATCTCTGACACTTGCTGTAATATCTTGAGCTTCTGGGGTGTACTTTTCTACGGTCTGCAATATGTCCCATAGTTCTTTTTTTGGTCCAAGAAGACCCTAAAAGAGATTTAGGGGTTATTATAGGCATCAATTATTTGGAATAATTACCTTTTTGGGCTTGAGACCATGACGTAATACGTGTTCTAGCACAATGAAAAAATGCTGCAAAGGCATGTGGTCAGAGTCGAGCATTCGGCCATACTTCAGTGATTGTTCTATTAGTTCTTTTACTACTAGTTTACTGATATTGACCAGATTACTGCGTTCGATTACTACTGGATCTCGACCTACAAAAAATAGTATATTTTTAGTTTTTTCAATGGATTCCTTCTTGAAACTTTCTATGAGTGTATTTTGAAAGATCTGTACTTGTAATATTTTGTCCATCTTTAGGTATAAGTAGTTATTTGATAGGCCCTTTCCACCACCTTTGGCCTTACACGATTCATCTTTATGAAGCCCATAAATTGTTCTTTAGTATTAGTTTTGCAATGCTTGTAAGTTTTTTTTTTCTGTTGTGTGTGGACATGTAGCCAGAATAGGGGATAACATCAAGAAATCTGGGAAACTTTGGAAAATGAAGAATTTTTTTAAATATCCAGAAGCCTTTTAGCTTTAACATACTGAAATTTGATTGAGAAAAAACCAAAGATAGCGGAGTTACGAATTTTTCAACTAAGGGATATTTTTAAAATACAGATTATGGCCTGATTTTAGACTTTTTTCTTGGAAATCTGGGATACTTTGGAGAATGAAGAATTTTTTATATATATCCAGAAGCCTTTTAGCTTTAACATACTAAAGTTTTATTGGAAAAAACCACAGGTAGCAGAGTTAAGATTTTTTAATCCCAAAGATACAATGAGTGATATTTTTACAATACAGACTATGGCCTGATTTTAGATTTTTTTCCTGCAAATCTGGGATACTTTGGAGAATGAAGTCTTTTTTTTTATATCCAGACGTATTTTTGCTTTAACGTACTGAAATTTGATTGGAAAAAAACCAAAGATAGCGGAGTTACAAATTTTTTAATACTCAAAAGGCACTAAGTGATATTTTCACAATACAGATTATGGCCTGATTTTAGATTTTTTTCCTGGAAATCTGGGATACTTTGGAGAATGAAGATTTTTTAAATGTATCCAGAAGCCTTTTAGCTTTAACATACTGAAATTTGATTGAAAAAAAAAAACAAAGATAGCGGAGTTACGAATTTTTTAATCCCAGAAAGACACTAAGTGATATTTTTACAATAAAGATTATGGCCTGATTTTAGATTTTTTTTCCTCAAAATCTGGGATACTTTGGAGAATGAAGATTTTTTTTTGTATCCAAAAGCCTTTTAGCTTTAACATACTGAAATTTGATTGGAAAAAAAAACAAAGATAGCGGAGTTAAGAATTTTTCAATCCCAGAAAGACACTAAGTGATATTTTTACAATACAGATTATGGTCTGATTTTAGATTTTTTTCCTGGAAATCTGGGATACTTTGGAGAATGAAGATTTTTTTTAGATATCTAGAAGTCTTTTAGCTTTAACATACCAAAATTTGATTGGAAAAAACTCAAGGATAGCGGAGTTACGATTTTTTAAACTCAAAGAGACAATAAGTGATATTTTTACAATACAGACTATGACCTGATTTTAGATTTTTTTCCTGGAAATCGGGAATACTTTGGAGAATGGAATTTTTTTTTATATATCCAGAAGCTTTTTAGCTTTAACATACCAAAATTTGATTAGAAAAAAACCAAAGATAGTGCAGTTACGATTTTTTAATCCCAATGAGATACTTAAGTAGTGATATTTTATGGCCTGATTGTTGATTTTTTTCCAGGAAATCTGGAAAACTTTGGAAAATGAGAAGATTTTTTTAATATATCCAGAAGCCTTTAAGCTTTAACCTACCAAAATTTGATTGAAAAAAACTCGAGGATAGCGGAGTTACGATTTTTCAATCTCAAAGAGACAATAAGTGATATTTTTACAATACAGATTATGACCAGATTTTAGATTTTTTTCCTAGAAATCTGGAATACTTTGGAGAATGAAGAATTTTTATATATCCAGAAGCTTTTTAGCTTTAAAATACCAAAATTGGATTGGAAAAAAACCAAGGATAGCGGAGTTACAATTTTTTAATCCCAAAGAGACACTAAAGTGATATTTTTACAGTACAGATTATAGCCTAATTTTTTATTTTTTTCGTTGAAATTTGGTAAACTTTGGGGAATGAAGATTTTTTTTTCAAATATCCAGAAGCCAGGTAGCTCTTCAACATACCAAAATTTGATTGGAAAAAAACCAAAGATAGCGGAGTTACGATTTTTTTGATCCCAGAGAGATACTTAGTGATATTTTTACAATACAGACTATACCTTGATTTAAGATTTTTTTCCTGGAAATCTAGGATATTTTGGAGAATGAAGAATTTTTTCATGTATCCAGAAGCCAAAGCTAAAAAGCTTTAACATGCTAAAATTTGATTGGAATAAAACGAAATATAGTGGAGTTGCGAATGTTACGATTTTTGTCCAAGATCAGATTCATTCAGAAATAGAGGAATAAACCTTCAACTCGTTGGACAATGATACACCTTCAGGATATAATGACAATGGCCGGAAACTGGATGTTAGTAAGAATAAGAACAGAATGGCAAAGTTTAAGATCACTGGGCAGCATGATTCTGGGGTTTTCTATAAGAGAAGATTCTTAGGACATTCAGGTGCTAAATTGTTTCCTTGCGAAGATTGCAAGAATTTAAAATCCTGAATTCTATAAACCAAGCAATTTTGTTAGGACTTTTCAAGGTCTGTTCCAATAACAAGCTACTTTGTATATTTTTCAGAGTTTCAGATTCTACGTACAATTGCGCAGAGAATCGTGATGGTACATTGTACATGGTCATTTCTATACCCAAATTGCAATAAAACATATAGGTACCTATTTCAACAGGTAACATCAAAGAGAAGAGACTGACATTGATAAAATTACGTTACGTGATCTTGTATCAGTATCCTATGGAATTTTCTTAAAAGATGATCAATTCCAGAGCTACTTTTGTTGTATGTCTATACAACTTTTCAATATGTATACCAGCATCACAATGAAATATCAAATTATCAACATCGAAACAAATACGATTTTTACCTACCAAATAGCGGCATTGGTTCAGGACTGGGAGGCGACATAATTTTATTATTAATAGATTCTTGCATGTTGAATTCGACGTCTTGCAGCTCCTTCAAACACAGCCATTCTCCGTCGACGGACACGCGAAAATTGCACAAGTAAATTGTGTCTTGGGCACCGGCCATTTCTTGTTCCAGAGGAACGGTACCTGCACCGCTACTGCCATTTTCTGCCGGTAGCTCTTGCACTTTCATTTAATTTACTTTTTAACCGGATTTTCTTGTTTTTTCTACGATGCAGTAAATATGTTTGCGAGGGCTGGGGTGGTTTGCCATCGATTTTCCAAAGTCCGGGTGATGGAGATGCAGTGCAGTGCGCATATTTAAATCGATACTGAACTTGAGGGAGCGCAGAAACCGCTGGTGGAAATTGCTATTTATGCAACATGTGTGTGTGTGGATCACATGAGTGAAAAAAGCGGCTTTACATATATATACATGTTACATCCAAATTTTTCTCTACTATAATGACAATATGAAACCATAGATTCAAAAAAATATATCACATCTTATTAACTTTACGCCCTAGTGTCGTAAAGTAACTTTACTTCCCAACCTAGGGTGTAAAGTAGGTGAATATAATATTTTTAACGCACTAGTGTGTGAAATATAATTTTACATCTCTTGAAGGGTGCGTGAGGTAATTTAGCTGTGGTAGTAGAAAAACTATTTTTCTGGCACAGTGCACTGATCATAATTGACAAAGATGCAAATACTTCAGGATTTTTCTTGGTTTCTCACCCACACTCACATGAATCAGAATTATGTTTAAGATCAGAAATTGTGAGATAGTCAAGTTCTTACCTTTGGGGAGTTTTCCTCTATTTTTTATAGATTTTCCTACTAAAAGCCCAAAAAAATCCGATGATACGATAGAAGAACTTCTAGAAAACAGGGGTGTCGTTGGGGAACCTTCACTACTAGCAGCCATTTTTCAATTTATTAATTACTACAATCCCTTATTATTACATTAAATTAACCATTATTTGACTAGAATTCAACAAAAAAAATATAACATATTTGTATTAACAATCAGCTGATAAGGTAACAATCAGTCAACTATATTTGTCCTTATTCTTTTGCTTAAGAAACAAAGATAGCCAACATTGGTTTATAGGTGTTATAAAGGCATTGGCTTTCTCTCTTTTCAATACCCCTCCCACGTGTAAGATAAAAACAGAAAATTATAAAATGACCTTGGAAATAATTCGTAGTAGGCAACCTAAAACACTTTCAAACAAAACACAGGCACGGCTTAAGCTCGATTTAAATTATCAATTATTTATTGGTAATTAATTACAAACAACTAAAAATACAAAAATATTTAATTATTGATATTGCATAAAAATAATACACTGGCTAAAAAAAAAACAATAATTATTATTACCTAATAATCTTTACACAGTAAAGAACACATATTTTTAATTATGATTAATTTACAATAAACAGTGTCATATCACAGACGGAACGCCATTCGACGTCTTCTCATTCAGCTCCATAACCAACGAAGTTTCGCCAATTGGAGCTTCAGCGTCTACCAAATGCTCAGCACTGAGCGACGCCACAAATTGTTCAGCAGTACTCCTGGTGGGCGATCGAATCCGACTTCTTCTGAAGCTACTTCTGAGTATTGAAGCCACTTCCGCAGCTGTTAAAGCGTTCGGAGATGTTTGCAAATTCCTTAGACGTTCCAAAGTAGTGTCGTTGCCGCCAGTCATTTCCACAAAAACAGCGTTGTAATCGGGCGGAGGTGGTTGGACACTGGGCCTTGTTCTGGACGAACTTGGACCTTCTCCTAGGACGTTGGCGATTCTACGCATGCTGCGCCTGATGCTTTGCCTCAGAAATTTAGCTAAGCGAGCTCCAGTCGCTGTAGTGTAACTTGGTGGAGGGGTATATTTGGGAGGAGGATCTTCTGGAGGGATGTTTGTTGTGGGTAAATTGTTTGGAGGGTTATTTGTGTCTACGGTTGGTGGGTCTTCCATGTGTTCGCCTATTGGAGGGCGGTAGAGCAACTGGATTCGCTATAAAAAAAAAATAGTTTATTAGAAGTAATACTGGAACAATGATTGTTCCATAGAAATACGTTTAAAGGCTGTATAACATACAGACCGGACCAATCTACTAGACTACTATGGAGTAATAAGAGTAATTAAGTTGTACCCGGAGGTAACAAGCAACTGGTCCCATTCAAACCTATGTGTCTAGTACCCCTATGCCATGAGCCTAGATCAAACGTATTTCCATTGAGCAAACCAAAGACTAATAAGTACTTGTAGTAGATACTAACAAGAGTGGATGGATCTTCAACTTCCTTCAAAGCAGCATTAAATAATACAGAGATGTAATTTTGTTTCAGTGTACATTTCCAAAAAGCAACCCTTACCTCTAATATATCTGCAGGTCCGTTATTCAAATATCTGTAACTTTGGATGACAGCCACAAAGGGTATACATAAAACTGGCAAAAGTTGCATCATCGAACCCAACTGTCTGGTCCACAGGGGCCAGTAATCCGAGAATGGGGCATGGTGCCAAATAAACATATCTCTGAAGTTGCCATTTTTAAATGTCGCAATGCAGAGAACCTATAATTGAAAATTGTAGTAGTGACTACTAGATTGGCTGATCATTACCATTAGTACTACAGGTAGGATGACGTTCCAAGTAAACGACAACAGAGGTGGTGCCCAACTGATAAGACAACTATGACTGTTGGCTGTAAAAAGAGCAGTTACAATAGTATCACCACTGTAAGGCCTGCCGCGGACCAAAAACACGGCCATTATTTGCAAGATTATCACTATTGCCAACCACCAGATGCTGCCCAGCGTGTAGTCCATAAAATATACCACATAAATTCCCAACTAAAATTCAATAGAAGTTATTGGGAATAGGCATCCAAAAATTTTTACCTCAGTAGCCATAGGAAGACCCAAAATAAAACCACAAGCGCAGCTAAAAAATGTAATAGTTGACTCCCATTTTTTCAACACTTTAGCATTAATGGCCATTATTCCGGTGATGACGCAATGCCATATGGCCAGTTGCTGAGCTATACCGAACATAATAAAAATGAAATAGGAGAGAACCGCCCAAAATGGTGAAACCTGATTGGCTCCAATCACTGCAAAAGTTGCAGGAAGCAACTCGGTTGCCAAACGAAGCACCTGATATCCACTCTCATAGGCGTTATCTCCTCCAGGCCTCATTACTCTCTCTCCCAAAATAAAGGAGTTATGCCTCATATACCTTATGGGAGTGTTTAAAAGTGTTTGTGGTAAAGGGTCTTTTATGTGACGCATGAAACCATAAGAAGAGATTCGTTCTAAAAATAAAAATAAAAAAATATTATATTTATTTAAAAATAAAATCTACTAACCAAATGAGCTAGGATAGTAACTGTAGCCATAAGATTTGAGTATCTGGACGCAGGTATTGGCTAAAAAGGCAACCAAAAGCAATACAGAAATTGTCATTACAGCTACCAAGGTAGAATCCCTTTGCAGTAAGTGTTTGTGCTTGTTGTGCGAGGCAATTTGCATTATGGCTGCACCCAGGAGACCCCAGGTGAGAAAAGTTTCTTGTGCAGCAGCCAGCCAACTCTACAAAGAATGATAAAATGAGTAGTTTTCATTGGGCAAAAATGCAAACTAGTTACCCTTGAGTTTAAAAAGAATTCTCCCCAAGAAGTCTCTGGAAAAATTATATTTACAAACTCGGGCGGCATCAGTCCCAAAATTTTTGCGCACAAAACGAACGTACCGAATACTGGCAGCAAGGTGAAGACATAAATTACCTAGAAATGAATATATTATCATTATATTATAAGAATGAAGTATAGTTTTAATAGTTACCTTTCCATATGATCTAAGGCCTTTACTAAGCGAAACAAACACAATCATCCAGACTACAGCCAAATTGAAGGCCGATTGAAATTTAATAGTTCCATAGGCTGTACCGCTTGGTAAATGGTACCTTTGCAATACTATTCCATTGAAATAATCTGGTACAGTCTCTGTTAGTTTATAGCTGCCATTAATTGGAGGTTGTATGCCTACAAGTTTCAAGTTATTTTAGCTCAGTTGCTGGTCTAATAGTTTACCTTTTCTATAATAAGGAAATGGTTCAGCCCATCTATACTCATCAACGGCAGTGATAAACGAATCTCGAAAATAAACAAACATCCATGAAACACCAATAATACTATAAAGCCCAGTCAAAGCTTGTGTAATCAGTAAAGACACTCCAACTCCTTGAAACAACGGCGATATTTTCCACATATCAATCACTCCGGTGCCCAATTGCTGGCCCAAACAAAGCTGTAAAGTAAACAGGGGCAGTCCGAAAACGAAGGAGAGTAGCATAAATTGGAAAATGAAGTTCGCTCCGAAATGGATTGTCAAAATGGCGAAACGGGATATGTTGAAGAGTCCTAAAGTGCAGCCCAAACAGGCCATCATCGAGCTCAGACTGTGGGGCCATTTGCCCAATGGACTTTCGGCCTCTGGCATTGCGTTGACTGGTTGGTCACATGATCTGAAACAAATGAGAATGTTGGTGAGAAAATAATCAAAATTTTTTTTCAAAGTTTGAGAAATTCCATAAGTTAGCATAGACTGCATGATCTTTCTATTTTGTCACAGCATCCAATATGGATATTTGGTATTTAACTGCTCCAAAAAATGATCTTATAAATAAAAGAGCCATAGATAATCAAAATTTGAAATATTACCGGCTCTTGATTCTTCCTAGAGCCATTCAAGAGCCGGTAATAGTCAAAATTTGAACTTTTAGCAACTCTGGATTCACTGGAGAATTTTTCTAAGGGCTTTCAAAGCTCAAGAGCCGAAAATAATCAAAATTTTGAATGATCATTAGCAGCTCTTAAGTGGATATTAATCAAAATTTCTTCTTCCGCAGCTTCTAATTGGCTGAAGAAAAATTATCCAATGGAGCAAGAGCCACAGATAATCAAAATTTGAACTATTACCGGCTCTTGATTCTTTGGAAAACCTTCCTAGAGCCAATCAAGAGCCGGTAATAGTGAAAATTTGAACTTCTATCAACTCGCTAGAGAATTTTTGTAAGGGCATTCAAAACTCAAGAGCCGATAATAATCAAAATTTCGATTGATCATTGATTAATCAAAACTTCCTCTTCTGCAGCTTTGAGGATTCATTTCGACTACAAAACCTGTAAATTTAAACTTATTAATTTGGATTCTAGTTCCAGAGATACACATATAGAATTCCGCGAAGGAAATGAAGAGGAACTTTTGTAATTTTTCAATTTTCCTCCTGCTGTTTTTCCAAACATTTCGTTTTATAATCTGTAATTAATTTGCACTAATTTATAAACCCATTTGGTTCGAAATGAACCATCTAAATTCTCATTTGATTCCAGGTATGTTTGCATTGTAACAATAAAGTGAAATTGATTTTTTTTTACTCCAACAACCCCAATAAAGCCGCAGCTCAGCCAGGCCATTGTCCAGTCACGCAATGTTGTTTTTAATTTCAGAAATCGATATAAAATTGCCTTTGTACCTTATATAAAGTCAATTCACCATGACTTTTTCTTTTTGAAAATTTACTTTTTGTCTTCAATACAGGTTAAAACAACAGATGGTGCACACCATTATTCACAGTTAACTTACAATTAAGAATCCCTGTATGTATGTATAGTGGTATAGTTGTCTTTTGCCTTGTACTCAAAAACAGGGCCAAGATATAAAGGTATCACACACTTTCTGATTATCAAAAAATGTCTTGCGAAAAAACACAAAAATATTCACAAATCAACACGAATTGTTACTAGTTACAATGAAACAATAAACAAAACCATGGTAGGTATAGGTATACCTACACAACAAACCATCATTGGATGGTAGTGGAACAAGCAGACTCACCGTTACAAGATCGGTGACCCGGTATTCCACTATTTGAAACTGTTTCTTTATGCAGTGTTTGAATAAAATCAAAGCTGCTCTAATTAATTATTACAAATTATTCCCACAGTTTCTGAGAAATTACAAGGTCTAGGCGAAACAAAAAAACATTGAAAGTTTTACCAAAATCATTATATAATATGGTACAAAATTAATCATCTATACCAAAAATATATTAGATAAAAGTCAAGGGGCCCCACTGTGGTTCACGTTTTGCGGTTTCAAGGTTTAAATGATTGCGTAGAGCAATATTTCATGTTACGCCAACCAATCCTACTTCCTCAAAGATAATTATTAATTTTTAAACCTTGTTACAATTTCAAACGGAAGAGCCTATATTTGTTCTGAATAAACCAAATGTTTCAGCAACTTGATAATCTATACAGAGTTTGGTTTTATTCTGATTCACCACAACTTTGTGGCGATTATGGTTACAATCAAGGTTAGTATAAAGTCAACCTACCCAAAAAAGTAAAAACGTTCACGCACTGTTTCCAGTGTTTTTTGCGGCCCTCCCTCCGCAACAAAAAATGACTTGCAAAAGATGACCAAATCTACAAGAAAAGAGTACTTCATTAAAACTGCCCATAAGTATATAAGTAAACCTAAACAACAATTGCATATTGTAAATGTTAATTAGAGCGAACAATTAAGCAATAATTATTTTTTTAGGCGGGCAGATGCTTATATTTTAATCAAGTCTACCACCTACTTTCATTTGTTTTAGTCATCCAGTTTAAGGTAATTAGTGGAAATTAACAAAAGTTTGTCGAAATGTTACCAAAACCCAACCCAAAATGCAGGCCTGGGGTTTACTTATAGGCCTATCTTTGTCAGAATTATTAATAATTCTATATGGGATGGCCCACTATGGTTTATTTATAAGCCAGTCCGATTATAGAGGATAGAAAATAAGAAAACTTTATTTTATATGGCAAAAGCAGAATTTTCCATATTGTATGTGTTCACTTTTCCAGGTAGCCCGCCCCCATTTTGATTTTGCATATTTTTCTTTTGTTGGGAAATGCGAACATTGACTGATATACCCAAAAACTTTGAAGAAAATCTTATAGAATCTTTCATTAAACGTTAAAACATTTAAGATTATTTAACTTAACAGAAGCAGAAATCTGTTCTGAAAAACAAATCCGTTTTTCTATAGCTTTATCAAAAAATTATGCATACAAATATTGTACTTACCGCCTTCGACTGCTATTAGTGTTGCCATTTGGTACCGCAGCACTTTCCTCCACAGTATTCGTTGCAGTAGACGCAGCAGCTTCCATAGGACGACTCAAAGTACTATCAACACTAGACGTGCTAGTACTACTAAACGACCGCCTTCTAGATTGCGACGAGGCAGAACTACTTCTCGTCCTACCAGCAGCGTTGCTGGGCTGAGTCAAATTCCTTGCTCTGGATCTCGTAGCTTCATCCACATTTGGAGTTGTTAATCTTGAAGGTGCGCTCAACGGTCTATTATCATCCTCTGGTAATACATTACTTGGTGGTAGTTCTAGATGCTGCAAACGTCGCATGGAGCTTCTTCGCGCCCGCGGACTAGTTCGCGTTTCGTCAACCACCAATACCGAAGAAGTACTGACCGACTCTTTGCGAAGTGGTTCGACAATGACCGTTCCAGTACAACAATCTGTGGAAGCATGGGCATGACGTTCGCGTTCAATAACGTCATTATGGGCATCTGCACAGGAAGTCCTGTTTTCTATTAGGGTGGTTGGTGCGATATAGGTTTCGTTTAAAGACTTCCTCCTACAAAAACAAATTTAAATATTTATTGAAGCTTTTTTAGTGTAATTAACCTAATCAATCTGGGTCGAGTACGAGTACCATTGGTTACGGTACTGGTAGCTCTAAGCGGTTGTTTCCTGTTTAAAGCAAGCCTGTCATTGTTTTCGGTATCGATATAGCCGCGATTAACTATCCCTGAAGCGACGAATTTCCTGTAGTTTTCTTCGATTTGTCTTAATTTAATTCGAGCTAATTCTTCATTAAACTCAACCTCCTATATTAAATTAACAAAAATTGATTTAAATCTAGTTTATAGAATTTAGCAGCTACTTACTTGGTGTTCTGATGACAAGTCCTCACTAGGACTCGAACGTGATTCATCCGATAAAGATTCACTATCATAAGATGTTGTCGGATCTATAGCTTGTAAATAATTGTCTAAGTCTTCTAAGCATTCTTCAATAATTTGTTGTGTGTCTTCATCTTCGTCCAACTTGTCATTGCTATTATTTGTTGAATCTTCTAAGGTGGCATTAAGAAGATCGTCCAAATTTTTCAGTACTAATAAGGCCTCAAAATTATCAATTGGCAATGTGGTTTCGTTATTATTAGCTCCTTGCGGACAGACATCCAAAAAATCTCCATCTAAACTATCTTTATCAAACTCGTCAGAGTCTAAGTTAATTAAAATATCTTCTACATCTACACTGTTTCTTCTAGGATTATTGTTAATTGTAGATTGGGTTAGTTGTAATTTTTGCTCAAATAGAGGAAGTTCCGTATCAATAAGGTTGTCATTATCAAAATTAGTTGGAAGCACTTCAGAGTCTTCAGGCGATGATGATGGTCCCTCAATGTGGAAGTCGATCAGGTCGGTGTCAATGGGATTTGAGGATGACATTTTTCGAACTCATGACCTGCAACTAACTGCAAAAATTATTTCACAATGGATATTGGATACGTGTTACCCGCACGCACATACATATGAACCTCTATTCTTTTTGTTTTAATTATTTTCACATGATTATGATGGGAAAAATTTTGACCTACTTTCTTTCAAAGGACAATGGATTGATATATCTCAGATATGTGGCTGTTTTTTACCATACAAAAAATATTGTTTTTGACTCTTATATTGATTGAACCATTTATCCATCCATCAATAAAATAATTACTTTATCGTTACTTTGCATGTGGTCTGATAATAGAAAGTATAAATGCTATTGTAGCTACTTCAGTTTGAAACATTTTTCGGATAGTTTACACTTTTACAATTTTTTTCCAATAAGTATAGCGTGTTTGATTATACACCGTAGTGAAAAATATGAAATGGAAATCGTTGATGGTATTTGCGTGTTTCTATTTTTACTTATGCATGATGCATGTTACCCAAAAGCTTATCTCTGGATTTATTGTAAAGTTTTTAAATTAAAAAACATTAACTCAGGTACCAATAACGATTTAGCAATAGCTACGATATGAAATTATCAACCTTCATTTGTATGACTCACAAAAACAAAACGTAATTTAATCTCACCTACAACCTACATTATTAATGTTTAAGTAGATCAGGTCTATATGTCAATAATAATTGTTTTTGTTTTCTTTATGAAAGTATTCAACAACAAATTTGCACAAAATGTATCAGCAGTTTTTTTTTTTATTTGACAATAGTCCAGATTTCAATCGCATCAAATTCTGTGACTAATAATGTGCAAGAAAATAAATTAAAATACCAGACAAGAGAGTTCGTGCAGCCTTTATAGAGTTTCATCACGATATGTTTTAAATTAGGAGGTACAGAAAGCAGGAAATAAGGAAGAAAAAATTTCGTCCACTTATAAAACTTTGGTTGCAATTTTGAAATGTAGTATATCTATACTGGATCTACAACTTTTTTTAGGGGATGATGTTAAGAAAAATAAGAAAAGTAAAGAGAGAACTAATTGATTGTATTCACTTTGAGCAAATTTTTGTCAAAAAATCATAGGAAAAGTGGATTTTTCCTCCTACTAGTTTTTCCATGAAATTGGGTTTGGGTTTGGTTTCATCAATAATATTGACTCGAACAAAGATAATCCTTAATTTCTCTCACAAACAAAATACCTAGGTTGATCAAATGTACGCCACTGGTATTTTCCTGTTTCTGACTATTCCCTCAACCTTTCCATGTTAGTATAAATATTCAATCCTATATGTACAGGCCTTTACCTTTGCAGGTAGAAGAAAGGTGTGAATACAAAAGTACAGTTTTGACTGAATTTTTAGAAACTATAGTGAGAAACAAAATTTAAATGCCCCGATTCCAAAAATATATAGTTTGTCTATATTTGATTGAACAGTCTCTCATATATTCGGCTCCAAAAATTGTAAAAATACTATCCTACTATTGTTTGCCCAGCGAATCTGAGTCTACGGAAGGAATTCGGACGTAAATTTGCCATGTTGCCACGTTTAATTATAAAAAAGCGAAAATACTAGGCATGAAGTAGGTATAGTTAATTTGAAAATACGTTTTTTAATAACAAAATAATAATAAAAACGCTATATTTTAACGTGGTTGTTAGATCTATCCTTATTTTAATTCTGATTTCTTCAATTTGGTCTATTGTAAAAAATAAACATTTTCTAAAGATACCATCAGCTTTTGACAATTTGGCAAGCATCCGTCCTGGATGAACCTGATTGGTGGAGTTTTTGGCAGGATCGCCGTTTTCATGGGGGACCATACGGTTGTCAATGAGCTAACGTCACCTTACGTCTCGCTATTGGGTTCACGTCATTTTATCCTCCCATCTTGGAATATCGATTTATATTGAAATATCCAGTGGCGGAGATTTGGTCATTGCTGATTTTCGTGTACGAGTTGCAATACGATAACACTTCCAAAAAGGTCCGCCCGCAGCTGGGTATTTTATGAATGAAATCAGCCATTTTTTTTTACAACTGCATTCCCCTTACCGTTGCCCCGTAGACACAGAGTCGCTGGGCAGACATTACTGATTTTGTGAACCATTCTACCTGTACAGGTGAAAGCTGCTGGTAAAATTTGAGGAACTTGGTTTCTCTGATAGTATTTATTTAAATTTTCAAAACCAAATATGTTGAAGACGGCTCAACCAAATATAGACAAACTATATAGTTTTGGAATCGGGAAATTGTGCTCTTCAAGAATATAGAACCAAATATAGGGAATCCCATTTGAAAAAAGCTAAAAGCATGCAACATTTCACATTTCTGACATTCAATTTTTGTTTTTGACTTTGGATTCTTAAAATTTAGCCAATACTGTAAATTTTTGTATTTACTCCTCTTTCATCTACCTTGTAAAGGTGAAGGCTGTAGGTGTGGTGTCAATATATGAAAAAACACCCTGTACTTGAACAATAACTTATTATATAAAGTCAGAATTTGTAAGATTATCCGATTTTTGTCAATTTGCCTTTTAACAGGAATCAGTAATGTTACTTTACCAAACTAGCAACATGTGACAAGTTATTCAAGTACAAACGAGTGTATTGTTGCGGAACTTATGGGTGGACCTCTGCGGGACGAGCGCAGCGAGTTCCGCAGTCATCTATTTATTAATACGTTGTTCAAGTACAATACTAACCTGACTCACTCAGATGTTAGTTATTTTCATTATTTCAAAAACCACAACGTTTCAGGTGAGTGTCTTATTTGAATAGTTCCACAGTATATTGGTAGTAGGAGTAGATGGTTGCGGAACTCGCTGCGCTCGTCCCACAGAGGTCCCCCCATAAGTTCCACAATAATACACTTATTTGTACTTGACCAATAACTTATTATATAAAGTCAGAATTTGTAAGATTATGATTATTCACTTTTTGTAAATTTGCTTTTCAACAGGAATTAGTAATGTTACTTTACCAAACTAGTAATATATTATGACAAGTTATTCAAGTACAATTGAGTGGATTGTTGCGGAACTTATGGGTGGATCCAGCCATCTATTCAACAGTATGTTATTCAAGTACAATACTAACCTGATTCACTCAGTTGTGACTTTTTCTCATTAGTTCAAAAACTACACGCTTCAGGTGAGTGTGTTATTTTAACAGTATATTGGTGAGTAGATGGCTGGAGGTCCACCCATAAGTTCCGCAATAATCCATACTTATTTGTATGTACAGATTTTGAATAATCATACAGTTTTAGTATTTTCTTGTTTCTGACTATTCCCTCAACCTTTCCATGTTAGTACGAATTCAATCCTGTGTACAGAGGTTATTTCCCGAAACCTAGAAGTCAACTACTTCCCAAATACGTGTACATTTGGCCCAAATAACCTCCGAAATACTTCGAAATTACCTAGAAATACCTTGAAGTACCTCGAATTACCAGTTATTCCCGGCGAATTACACGAAATCCCATGGAATTACCGTCGAAGTAGGTACGCGAAATACCCTCAAACTCTCGCGCGAAGTCCCGCGATCGCGATACTTCTAAAAAATTCTCGTTGATGACGAGTCTGCTTGTGGATTGCGGTGAAGAATTTTTCCTCAGATTTTTGTGTCTTTTGATATCATGGTTTTTATTCGGACACACAGGATAGACAATTAAATCAATAGTTAGTGATGAAGGGGTGGGACTCTGTAACCAATAGAGATATTTCTCTATCTCTATTGACTCTATTGATTTTGAAAAGAGAGAAGACAGCAAGTGCCATAGCGATAGGGTCAATAGTGATAACGATCTATATCCGTTACAGAGTCCTAGCCCTGGTGACTATTAGTTCTACAAGGCTGTTGGTACTAATAACTAATGGCCGAATTCATAGTCACTCCTTGAGGTTTCCTCAGACCTTAAGGAAGCCTTGAACGTTTAGAATTGACATGTCTAGCTTGTCAAATAGTAGCAAGTGTCCATTCTAAACTCACGACCTCCAAGGAACGACTATAAATTAGGCCCTAACTGACATCGATTACTCACTTTCCATTTGTTTCAATTAATATAGGTACATAACTGAGGTACAGTTAATCCAAATTATGTCAATATACAAGGTGGACCAAAAGTCTTTTTACTTTTCAAACAATGATAAAAAAAAAAACTAGGAAAGTGATGGGAGAGAAAATGTTTATTTTTTATGGGAGTACACAGATAGGGATTTTATTTTTTGAAAATTACATCATCCATAGGTATAGTGATCCTTTACTATTTTGACACTGCTACAACGACCTCTGAGCTCAACACTGGAATGCTCTTGTCTTAACTCCCACCATTTCGGACTTCAGGAGCATGAAACACCGAAATAAAGGTTGGTGCACGAGGGGGCAGGGGATAACAGAAATGAGTAGTTCAAGTCTTAGGTCTTAGACTATACATATATACCTACAATACTGTGGAGACAGGACAAGGTGCCTGTTTGTTTTGCTCCAACATTGATGGCGGCAGAATGCAGAATTCTGATTGGCCAAAATACCGCCATATTGGATACGCTGACACTCTGCCGCAGATACGCCAAAAGTTGAGCAAAGTTCAACTTCTCGCGTAAAAATTCAGCGTTTTTAGAGGTTAAGGTTGCAACTTGCAACCGTTTCGTTTTCTTGATTTTTGTGATTTACTGTCCATATTTGTAACTATTTGGAACTAAAGCAAAAACAAATACAAATTTGTACAATCAAAATTCAAAGAAATATTTAAAAATTTAGAAAAAAAATATAATTTTGACATACGCGGCAGCGTAAATTCTCCACTCCATGTGAATGTTGCGCCAAAATTCACGTATTCAGCATTTGCGTTATGTCAAGTTTACGCTCATGAGAAGCCGGCCTTGATGCACATTATAAACAACACATTGCTCCGCGTAGTAAAATAGATCCAGCGTATTTATGCAATGTCCTTTTCCAACTTCTTATACAAGACAAGGATAGGCAACTGCTTGACGTCAAAGAACACACCCCTGCCGGCTGCAGAGTTCTCCCACCACAAAAAATGACTTGTTCTGTCTCTACAGTATTGTAGGTATATAGTGAGGTTCAAGTGTACGACAATCTAAGCACTGGAACGCGAAAAGTAATTGTGGAGCACTCCTGAGCTGCTCAGGAGTAACTCAAATGGGTCACTGGAAAGCAGAGCAGAAATTTTCAATAACGGCTTCGATTGAAATGTAAACGGACTTATAGCCCACCCTGTATTTAGCCTGTTCGAAGGTGGACTATAATTTTGATTCTATAATACAGGGTGTCCCAGCCGAGAGTGACCCATTTTAAATGCTTATAACCAGGTGTGCTAGCTAACTGCGGCTTGCGCCATTCGATGTCTCTTGACCTAAAGTTTTTTTTAGTAGATTGCAAAATTTTTTGCCTCTTATACAGGGCAAGTAAAAAAAAATCCGCTTTTCAACATCGAAATTCTCCACTATTTTTAATAGAACGCCCTGTATATCACAACGTCAAAAAAAAAAGTAATGCTTAAGGCATCCATGTACCAATAAACATCGTCCTTTGAACTTGAAGTTTTAGCCGTAAAAAATTAAAATCGAAATCCTGGTATTTTTTTAAGCATATTTACAAAGCTTGGAAATTATGTTTGCCTACTGAAAAATTAATGAAAACTGCATAAAACTATAAAAAATGCTGTATATGTTAGCTATTATGTTCCACCAATGGATCAGTGAATAGTTGAATAAATTGTGTAACATTTCATTTCCTGGGGAATCGCTTCAATGACATTACGAATGTTCCACTTAATCTTCCAGGTTATTTGGCAAAGGAATACAGGATCTCTCTTTAACATAATTCCAGAGAAAAAAGTCTGGAACTGTCAAGTCAAGAGAGTGATGTGTCCATTCTATAGGACCAGATCTCCCTATATACCTATCTTTTCGCAAATGTCATGATTCCCTTGCTATTAAAGAATAATAAGGTCAGGCACCATCCTGCTGAAAATAGATATCGTTCAAGAAACCCTCCCTTAATTGTGAATTAAAGAAATTTCCCAACATATCAGTGTATACAGTTCCTATTATCGTTGCTTAATTAATGAAAAATGGTCCATATTTTTTCTCAACAGAGATTGCATACCAAACTATTACTTTTGGGGTATCTCGCTATTCTCACTGGAACTTGTTAAATTCTCTCGGAAAATGTATTTAAACTTAGTTGATATCTAACTTTGATATTTACAAATTTTTTTGCCATACCTAGTGATAGCAAGTACCTACAACATGAAGATGCATGATGCTTTTGCAAAAATACCATGATTTCGATCTCAATTTTTTACGGATAAAACTTCAAGTTTAGAGGACGATGTTTATTGGTACATGGATACCTTAAGCATGACTCTTTTTTTGACGTTGTGATATACAGGGCGTTCCATTAAAAATAGTGGTGAATTTCGATGTTGTAAAAACGGATTTTTTTTTACTCGCCCTGTATAGGAGGCAAAAAAATTTGCAACACACTTAAAAAAACTTTAGGCCAAGAGAAGTAGAATGGTGCAAACTGCAGGTAGCTAGCACACCTGGTTTAAAAGTTATAAGCATTTAAAATGGGTCACTCTCGGCTGGGACACCCTGTATTTGAATTTCAGGTGATGGTGATGAGAATTAGATTTTCTTTGTACATAAAAAAATACTTTTAAATATCTCGAAATACCTCGACTTATCACGATAAATACTTCGAATTACCTTGAGATACTTCGAATTACCTCGAAATACTCCGAAGTACCTATTAGGCAATACCACGAAAAACTAGGTTCGAATTACCACCACCGAAATATTTTGAATTTCGCGAAATACCGACATTTTCGCAATTACACATTTTTATTACGCCCGAAACCAAAATGATTCAAAGGGATTTATCTCAGCTACCTTGTTGATTCTTGAGTCTAGAATTTTGGGTTTCTTCTATATACCTACTTTAGTTTTTTTTTCTTAGTTTTCTTCCATACATTCTTAAGTTTATTTTTGCCTGTACCAAAATACTAATCAAGGGCAAAACGTTCAAAGGGTGTCAAATTGTGTTTGATATAAATAGGATTTTAGATTCTATAAAACTAGGCCAGAAAAGTAATTTTTATAAAAGGTTAAACCCGACGTTGTTCTTTGTTTGTTTGTTAGAAGATTAATGTATGTGTAAGCATGCTAACCAGTTTGCAATAATCTGCATTGGTAAACCTTGGCTCAAAAAAAAAAAAAAAAAACTCGAAATGCGTAGGTATGTGTTATGGAATTTGGAATGGAAATGTAATTTTCTTAAAACTAAAATATTTATTTGGTAATTTTAGTCTCAACCTACCTACCTACGATTGACTTTTAAAAGAATAGCTATGACGTGGTTAGGTAGAACAAACACGCCTCCCTGTTTCTTTTATGAAAGACAAAAGCGAGGCCATGATAATAAGCACTCTATTTATAGCTGAACGTGTATATATAAGGTCCATCGAAGAAAAATTTAAAATAAATATTACTGATAAATCCTCTCCTGGAAATTTCTTCCATAATATTTTCATGACAAGAATAGGAAATAACAAAAAGGTTATTGAACGATTATGACTTCATTCTGTTTGTGGGAAGTCCTACGACGTGACTGCTAAACCTACAAGTAAAGGCCCAAAAATTTCATATTCTTTGGCAACATTTCCAAATTATTTATGCGTCATCAGCAAATTTATTACTTATTAAGTATTTTTGCGATCGATTTTTGGCAGACGAATATAGGTGCGCTTTTTGCCTTATAACATTTACTAATAATTTTGACGGATCAATAGGAGTATGTATAGAGGAAATTTAAGTAGGTATATGCACATACCTACTGATATGAGAAATTCATTTTTTCTTCGTCCGCTATAGAGGGAAAAATTTGACTTTGAATTTTGTAAACTGTACAAGAGGTATTTACGTATAGAAATAAGTATGTGTAAGAAAATTTAAAATTTTAAAAAATCCTTTTAATTCTTTATTATCAAAAATTAATATAGGTACATGAATGAATAAAAAATTTGGGAAACACCATATGAGAATTAGATGGAAAATCCAAAAATATCAATATACTTATATGATTTGTAATAATAATTGTGAAGTAGGTAGGTACATAAATACAAACATTAAATTGATACCTCCAAAGATTAATTGAATATTCCAATTTTTATAAGAAACACTCACAAAAACGTCCATATAGGTATCAATAAACCATAATGTCTCCTTGCCTTTTATAATAAATTGTATAAAATCCACGAAAACTTTCCGTAATGTAACACCGTCACCGACGAGGACCGTTTCCAGCAGCAAACACTAAAAACTACTACAAAAAAGCGTCGTCTGCGAGTAGTGGCAAAAGGTAAAAGCCGAACCAGTAAAGTTGAACGACGCGTTGGCCTGCCTAGGAAATTGACTCTTATCGTTGTTGGTCGTTCGGTTTTGGTATACCTACGTCTACCTCCTTTCCGACCGTGAACCCCGAGTGCTGCAAAAGTCGGAGCCCCCGCGGCGGTACCACATGGCCACAGTTTACCAATACTTCTTTGGGCATTGTTACTCATCTTAAAGAAGGAAGCTGACTTTATGTCCGTATTATTTATAATCATGTTTTTTCTTATATGACTGAAAAACCCCAAAAAAAGACAAGGTTCATTTTACTTCAGAACGTCTGAGGACCAAATTAATTAAAATTTGGTTTTAGTAGGTACCTACCTAAAGTTTTCAAAATCACGATTAAAAACGTTCAGGAGTTCTTATTAAACAAATTTGGGAGTTAAACCATACCTATTTAAAGTTACAATATGTATTACATCCAATAAGTTTGGGTTAGTTTAGAAGTTACGAGGAACAGAAGGAAGAAATTTGACAAAAACAGAGAAAACATTTTTTTTCCATTACAGATTCTTGAAATTTTTTTTATTCTAAGCTCTTTCCATGTTCACAATGTCGTTTGTCGACGAGACGTCTTTTGAACGTCTGCTTATAGACGTCTTCCAGTACTAATATTTCATTATTATAAGTCTGTTCGCAAATTTCATTAGTTGAAAACAGCTAGAAAACTTAGCTAATATTTCCTTATCATTACTCATTTTTATAACTTTCAATTTTTGTCTATTCCAGGCGTTATAGGCTCTCTGAAATAATTCTGAGGAGTTGTAAATCATAACTTTTTTTCTATCAGAGATAGAAAGCTGAAAATTTCAGCTCAATTGGACTTAGTTCCAGTTTGAGAAATAAAATCGTGCTAAGTAATTTAAGGTTATTCATAATTTTTTCAATTTTTCTGAGTGCCATTTTTCATAGAATCTGGCTCCAAATCTCAGAATAATTTAGGGTATGGAGTTTAGGGGATCCAATGATCATTCAGATACAAAATGTTAACATAAAAAAATTTGAAATTTTATCATTTTAGTACTGAGTGATTTGGATTTTTAAGAACCTTGAAGACCCATAACTTTTTTTCTATTAAGTACCTATAGATAAAAAGCTGAAATTTTCAGCATTTCTCATCCCAGCAGAGGACTACAATCCCGGAAAATTTCAGCTTCTTAATTGGACTCATAGTTTAAGAAATAAAATCGCGTTAAGCAATTTGGGGTAAATTTATCAATAATTCAATTTTTCTGAGTGCCTTTTTCCATAGATTTCGGCTCCAAATCTCAGAATAATTTAGTGTATGGAATTTGGGGGGTCCCGAATGATTATTTAGATACAAAATCTCAATATAAATAAATTTGAAATTCTATCATTCTTTTACTAAGTTAGCAGCGATTCTTATCCCAGTTGAGGACTACAATCCCTGGAAATTTCAGCTCATTTGGACCTATAGTTTCAGAAATAAAATCGCGTTAAGCCATTTATGGTGTAAATTTTTCAATAATTCAATTTTTCTGAGTGCCTTTTTCCATACATTTCGGCTTCAAATCTCAGAATAATTTAATGTATGGAATTTCGGAGGTCTCGAATGATCATTTAGATACAAAATCTCCAGAATAATTTAGTGTATGGAGTTCGGGGGATCACAAAAGACCATTAGGACACGTCATAATCTCAACAATTTTTTTTTTTTGAAATTTCATCTTTTAAGTAAGAAGGTAGCTAGCTACCTTATGATTTAGATTTTGGAAAATTTTGAAGATTTTAGCTCATTTGGAATTATAGATTCCGAGAAAATATCGCGTTAAGCAATTTGGGGTGATTTATTAATTTTTCTGAGTGCTTTTTTTCATAGAATTTGGTTCCCGACGTGCAGTATAATGGACATTCACTTACATCTATCAAATGGACAGATATTTTACATTGGATGTATGGTCTAAACAATGTATCTGTATAATAAACTGCTTGAAGACGTCTCTAAATAAGCATTCTAAAAACGTCTTTTAATCTCTTTTTAATACATAAACCATAAATCATTATTCATTGCCTCCAAGATGTGAATTTACATCTTTATAGGTCTTCAGACGTTCAGACGTAAAGACGTCTTTAAGACTTTGTATGCTGTCTGGGGAATCTTATTGTATACATAATCTTTATTTTTGCTATTCCAGAGCCTGGAATTATCAAACAAACGCTCAAACACTAAGAAGACGGAAAAATTGAAAAATAGAGAGTGAAAATTTGGTTGAGAATAATTTGAAAAAAATTGTTAAAAAAATCTCTCATCTCTTCCACTCTCAGGATTTTCAATTTTCTTAATTTTTTTTGACAATAGAGTCCCTGATGAATAGATTCATATTCTTTATTCAGAGAAATAACAATTGAAGAGCCAAAGATAGATAAAAATTGCCAAGTGAAAAGAGGAATAAGATAGAAAGGATGAAGATAGAGCTAATATTCTAAAAATCTTTGAAAAAATGGAGCTTGATTTACCACAATATGCTGAAATAGTGCGATTGGGACGTGTAGTTGATGGCAAACAGTGTCCTATTAAGATGGTTTTCCTATCTCAGGAAGCAGCCTCAACAGTTTTAGGGAAAAGAAGAGCAGTGGAAGAAAATGGCATGTACAGGGTGGCCCATTTTCGATGTTTTAATAGGCTATATCGAAAACTAGCAGAAATATCATAAATCTGGGAGCACATTCTCGAGCTCTTTTTTGAAGAAAATAACAATGGCGAAGACAAATCACGGCTAACTTGATGCATTTAGGAAATACAGGGCACTTTTCAAATTTGGTCCAATTTTAAAAGACTCTCTAATTTCCTTATTATTCAAGATATCCAAAAACGAAAGATACAACTTTGGTCAATATTCCAAAATCGGAGGCATCTGGAGAAAAATTGATCATGCCACTGGATTGGATTCTCCTTGAAAAACTGCCTATAGAAAGTATTTTTCGTTTTTGGATATCTTGAATAATAAGGAAATAAGAGAGTCTTTTAAAATTGGACAAAATTTGAAAAGTGCCCTGTATTTCCTAAACGCATCAAGTTAGCCGTGATTTGTCTTCGCCATTGTTATTTTCTCAAAAAAAGAGGTCGAGAATGTGCTCCCAGATTTTTGATATCTCTGCTGGTTTTCGATATAGCCTATTAAAACATCGAAAATGGGCCACCCTGTACATAAAAAGCGATCAAACGCCTCTGCAGCGAAAATACCTTAAAGAAGTCATTGAAAAATTGGAAGATGAAAAAAGAAGGGGTAAGGAAAATTTGAGAATGAAATATATAAGGGGAGTTCCCACTCTTATAACAGAAAAGCCAAAAAACTAAATACATATGTAGAGATCGGATGGGGTAGTTGAAATTTCACTTTGATATAACTGAAACATGGTTACATGATAATATAAATAATAGCCTAATTAATCTCGGTGGATACCTATATGCTATATCGAAGTAACCGAGCAGATAAAAAAGGAGGTGGTGTCTGCATATTAAGAACAAAATAGACAATATCAACATATTTTCCACCAACATATCGCAAACATATATAATTGAATCGCCAGTTAGTTCCCTTTGGGTAGAAGTTCGTATCAATACCCAATATACGTTTGGCGTGCATTTATAGACCTAACCAAACTTCGGAAGCTGTCAATTTACAAATGATTAGCAAGATTTAAGAAGTTTTTTCTACCCAAGTACCTCGCTAGAAGTTGCTGATAAGAAATCTCAAGACTTTCTAGATATGTATCAAGAAATAAACGCATATCAATTAATAACATTTCCAACGAGATTTAGAAACAACAATTCATCTCTTCTTGACCTTCTTCTATGCAATACAAAAAACTCTGTCTATAACATAAAAGACAATCCACCAGAAGGAAAAAGTGATCATTTAGATCATTTAGTAATAAACAGCCACATCGCAAATAACAACGATCATTAAACCAACTCAAAATGTACTCAGGCGTAACTTCTGGACTGCAGATTACATTAGTATTAATAATCATTTGCAAGAACAATTCCAAAATGTCACACCAACTACAATGCCCTCTAACGCTATATAAACTAGTCAAAACGAAATAAGGACCACTTTTAAAAACACATTTATTTTTAATGAATTTTGAATAACCCTGGTAAAGTGTTTATTTCCATTCACAATATAAATTTTTTGTGCACACTTTATTTGTTTATCTATACTTATTGTAAATGGAAATAGTCACTTTACCAGGGTTATTCAAAATTAAAAACCAAGGTGCTCTTAAAAGTGGTCCTTATTTCGTTTTGAGTAGTATACAATGATATTGAAAATATTTTAAACTCTACAATAGATAAAGTTCATTCAAAACGCTCCGTAAAAGTCAATTCGCAGAAACCATGGATTAATCAATCATCTTCAAGGATATTAATAAATAGAGAAAGCTTTGGCATAAATATGTCAACAACAGAACGATGGAAAACTATCAGACCTACAGAATTCAATGTAACAAATTGCAGAAGCACGACAGAAATTTGAAATGGAATAATAACAAATGGCACCTCAAAGCAATTCTTTTAATATGTAGATAACAAGAAGCCTCAACTCTAGAGTATCATCATCTATATTGATAAAGGACGATAATAATGCATTAATAACTGATCCAAAAGATATGGGGAAACAGTTTGCTATGCAATTTAACAAAGTATTCAGCCCAGACCCGAGACCCTATCATGAGACCAACTTTGCCAGATGATTTGAGAGTAACTAGTATGTTGGACAGGATAGAATTTACAGAAGAAAAAGTGAACAGGGCTTTAAGTGAAATAAAGTTAGAATCCAGTCTGGGCCCAGATGGATTTCCAACAATATGCCTACAAAAGTGCAAAGCCACTATTGGCAACCATCTCTCAGGATTATTTCAACAATGTATAATATGGATTCGGGAAAAATTCCAGAACATGCAACGGTGACTCCACTTTATAAGAAGGGTGACAGACATATCGCAGAAAATTATAGACCCATCAGCTTGACCTGCAATCCTTGCAAATGTCTAGAAAAAATTGGTGCTACTGAAATGACTGACTTCCTACTTCACCAACAAAGTTGTACCAAATTCACAACATGGCTTCATTGCAAAGCGTTCAACAATAATGAACCTTCTAAGCTGCGTTGATAATTGGACCAAAGATTATGAAAAAAGGTAACCGACAGATGTAATATATACCTGGACTTTGAGAAAGCGTTTGATAAAGTACCTCATTCATAGTTGCTCTACAAGCTTGAATATTTTGGTATAAGAGGCCAGCCTTCTTGCTCTAATCAACGACTTTCTCACCAACCACTTCCATCAGGTGAGGGTTAATGGTATTTTGTCCGATAAAACATCTGGTTATGAGTGGGGTCCCTACTCAAGAGTCTGTTCTGGGACCATTACTGTTTTTGTTAGCGATTTGTCATGGAATTAACATTGAGACAAAGATAATTTTCTTTGCTGATGATACCAAGGCTGCATATCGGTCCGAATAATCCACATAAAGCATACTTCACAAATAATGTTGCTGAGCAAACGAATCTGGGCGTGCTGATTTCTTATGATTTGAAATGGGAGCCCAATAAAAATAGGATAGTGAAAAAGGCCAATAGTTTTATTTTCATGGTGCAAAAGACTTTCAAAGACAACTCTCTTTCAGATCGTGGGGAAGTTGTACGCCTCCTACATCAGACCGAAAATCGAGTATGCTTATATAGTATTTGGAACCCCTACCTATACATCAAAGACATACAAATTTTGGAAAGGGTTCAAAGGCGGGTTACCAGAATTTCATTCGAGCTGAGAGGACTAACCTATCCTGAAAGACTGGAAATATTTGGGCTAGATCAATTTAAAAGAGGATCCTCAAAATATTCTAGCATTTCTTTGATTATCTCATTGATTCAATGAGGAAGAAGATCTGATTTTCATGGTGACGAATACCTACCTTGAAGTACCTATATACCAGATTAGCCTTGTACCATTTACATAATTTGTTCAAATTATGTAATAATTCACACTGAATGATTTAACAAAATTGTTTTTACAATAACTTATTTATTTAACAAATGCGGAAAGTGATACTTTACCGCACCCAACGACGCGAAGTACAAGGCACTTTCGGCATGTATAGGTGCACTATGCAGTAAAGTAACTTTTCCACATAGTGTAGGGTAAGGTGCTACTTTCCACTTGCAAATAAGTGCGGTAAATTGCATTTTTCCGCACGCTCGTAGTGTTAGTTCAAGGACCAACTCATACACGGAGCCACAGTAGAGATATTACAGAAATCTTTCATTATAACTGCAACTTGAAAATGGCAGTGACAGTCAGACGGTGAACAAACGGTGTTTTGTTTACATTTCAAAAGAAATTTATCGATATTTTTATAATTTACAAACACTTCAAATTTTATTATTATTTTAATCAACAGTGTACTCTATCTCTTTCCTCAAAGTAGGTAGGTACTTTATAAAAAAGAAAATTAAAAAAAAAAACACAGAAAGACTCATCAACTTAGAAAATCAATAAATTCGAAGACATATGGAAAAGAAGTTTTGAAAATGTTTTCCGCAATAAAAAGGTTCGCCAGCAAAGGAGATGGGGCCTCAAACAATCTTGCCTCGAAAAGTCCCAATGTCCATGCAATGTCCTCCTCGTTGCAAAAGAAATTTGCCAAAGGGGTTCAGTATAACAGTAAGTACCTATATAGGAAATTATTATAGATAAAACACATTTGAATAAGAAATATGTACCTAAAATGTATTATTTTTTCTAGTGAAAATCATCATCAAAGGCGACAGAAACGTGGGCAAAACCTGCTTGTTTCATCGTCTGCAAGGAAAAAAATTCATTGAAGAATACATTCCCACAGACGAAATCCAAGTGGCCTCTATTCAGTGGAATTATAAAGCCACTGATGATATCGTTAAAGTTGAAGTATGGGATGTTGTAGATAAAGGTAACTAAACTAGGAAATACAGCAAAATTTTATAATTATGTAAATGTTTATTAACGGACCAGCCATTTACAGAAATTGAACTAATAAAATCTGTTTTTTTTTAAAGATAAAAGTCAAAATGACATTTTGTTGGCAATACAATGGAAAATTGTCAATGCTTACAATTTTTTTATGTAGAAAAGGCTTGTGCTGCCAACATAGTTACTAAAATTTTGACTTGGGGAATTATCTTTAAAAAAAAAACCGACTTTACCTACTAAAAATACAATAGTCAAACAATATAGGTAGCATGTAGACATATTAGTTAAATCAGCGAATGTTATAAATAACAAATAAGTACAAGTTAAAAGATTAAAATTTGATAAATAGTACATTATATACCTAGGTAGAGAAGTTGGTCATTATACATACATATACCGAGCGCTTTTATAAACCAAGGCGCAAAGCGCCGAGGTTTATAATGCGTAAGGTATACAGTGAGGGGCAAGCTACTAGGTATATAGGATGTAACCTGACGAATTTGCAGGCGTCCACATGTCAGAAAATGACAAATCGATTTAGCGCTAACCTGGCGACAACCAGGTAAAAAGTTTCTAGGATTGTTAATAATTTTCAAAAATACGGTTGCATTTCTCCCCGAAACCATTAACGAACTGACGTTCAGGAGAATAATGATGATCAAGAAGCCAAATAAATTATTTGTTGTTGATTGTTGGCATTAGTTAATGAAACTCCAACTATTTCGACTCATGCGCTTGTGCACGAGTTTGACTCAAGTACAAGGACGGTGAGGAGCCGCAGAAAAAAAAGTATTGTTCGTACAAAGTACGAAACTCCCAAAAAATTGATCCTCAGGACAACATCAAGCGAATCGCGTTTTATTTATTTATTTATTTATTTATTTATTTATCAACGGGCCGAGCCCACTTACAAAATGCTAAACATTCAATTCAACAATATAGAATTAGATAACAAATGTAACAAAAATAAAATTAATCACTCTTAAAATTATATAATAATAATAATAACAACAACAAACAGCCCTGCAACTTGATGAGAAATGAGTAAGGCTAGATACGTAGATTGGACTAGTAGATTTAGGTAAAAATCAAATAATAATTAGTAGGTACAATAAAGTTAGTTCGATGAATCGGAATATGAAAACTGTCATTCGACCTGGTGGTTCTAGGAGGGACATGAATGCTAATTTTGTGAAGAATTTCGGGATTCGAAGCCTTCCCATGTAGGATATTATAGAATGTTGTAAGATCTCTCCTCTTGTGACGCATAGTTATTGAGGCCATATTCAACATAGAAAGTAGTTGTGAATCATTATAATTATTCAAAATATTCAGTTTAAAGGCAATTTGTTTCAAAAATTTGTGTTCAACAAGTTGTACAGAATCACGATGTACAACATAAAAGGGGGACCAGACGCAAGAGGCATATTCTAGATGAGGGCGTACTAGGGCACAATATAAAGTCTTTAAGGTTGTAACATTGGTGAAATCTTGTGTAGTCCTTCTGATAAAACCCAGCATTTGAAAAGCTTTATTTATTGCATTGTTTAAATGATTAGTGAAGAAAAGATCTGTGTCTAAAGACACACCAAGGTCTCTGATAATGGAAACTTCCTCAAGGATGTGTTGGCCAATTTTATAATTAAATTTAATAGGATTTTTAAGACGTGAAAATGTAATGGCTTTACATTTAGAAGGGTTGAGATCCATGAGGTTTCCCATACACCAATCTTGAAGGCTGTTAAGATCGTACTGTAGTTTGTCACAGTCTTTCAGGAGTTTTGTGAAACTGTCATTAATAAGGCAAATGAAAATCAATATTTTCTTAGAAAAATTGTCTCTACAGATGAGTCAACATTTCAACTCCATGGTCGACATAATCCTAGTCACATCCGTTATTGGTCTAAGGAGAATTTACACAGGTATTTTGAACTTAGAGCGCATAGTCGTCAAAACGTAACTGTCTGGAGCGGTTTGTATAGAGAACATATTATTGGGCCGTACTTCATGGACGCTAACTTAACTGCTCCAAAATATTTGGATCTTCTGCAATGGGCCAACGGCAGATAATTCCAGAAATTGAAAGATTATCTGGTCCTAGATTTAATGAAATATGGTTTCAACAAGATGGATGTCCAGCCCATAATACTGGTTTCATTCTGGACCATTTGAATAATACTTTTCCAAACCGTCTCATTGCTGAGTCGAGTGCTACAGTACTTTGACGCTCTCCCAATCTTGCACCCAACGATTATTTTCTCTGCGGTTATTGCAAATCAAAAATGTATAGTTTTCAGGAGAATCGCGCCGTGAACCTTGAGCAGCTGCGTTTCAAAATTCGAGAAATATATCTAACTGTCACCCCTGTGATGCTAAATAATGTTCGTAGAGCCTTCTATGATCGTTTAGTTCAAGAGGGTGACCTGGGACTGTTTGAACATTTACTGCATTAGATTATCTGTTTAGAATTATTGTTTTTATTTTACTTAATTTTTCTTCTATTTTGTATGTTGAATACATTTTTAGTTTTTCCTTGATGGCTTTTCTAAAATACATGTTTTTTTTTCCATAAAATCCGAACAATAATAGTATTATTGTTTCGGTTCGAAAAAAATCTATCTAAATACACGTCTTTTAAAAATAAGTAAGTGAAGCTCGACGATACATCTAAAAGCACGGTCTAGATGCTACGTTTTGCATAACGTTTTGTCTGTACAGTTCAACACGTGATCAGGTATCAGTTACATAACGTCTGGACCGGGCTTAAGTCTGTTAAATCATAAAACGTACTGATGTGAACCATGGTTTATGAACAAACTCAACGAACGTCAAAGTCACTCAAAGTCGTCAAAAAAACGACAGCGGACCGACAGCGACAGGTGTTCAAACGGCTGCGGACGATTGTAAATTCGTCAAGGTGGATCCTATATACCTAGTAGCCTGCCCCTTACTGTATAATGACTTTCAATACCGAGGGATATATAATTTTTTTTTTTACTACTGCTAGTAGAAAATAAAAAATTGGTTTGAAACCTGTGCTCAAATTATTTTCTCTTGTCGGAAGTGCTGCCCTCTATCAACAGCTTACGGTAATTTCCTATAATGTACCATCGTCATCAAAAGTAACTGGGACAGCATCACATTAGCTCTTGTCCTATTATATGAATTTTATTGTCAAATATTTGTCAAACTATGAATTAAATGCATTGAAATGAATGACAGTAGAATTAGTCCAGGAGATCATAATGCATTATTTGTGTCCCAGATACTTTTGGTGACGATGGTACATACAGAAACCTCTGCTTTTTTTAAAATTGACAGATTGACACTGAAATTAAACCAATAGAAACCTGTTACGTTATGACAATATTCTTGCGTCATAATGTCATTTTCATTATTGACCTAGGGAGAGAAATTCAATTTTTTCCTAGAAAAATTGATGGAATAATGACTACTTCTCAGGTTAGTAGTAAAAAAACTACTTTACGCACTGGTGCGTGACATTTTATGTCTTCTAAAAGGTGCGTAACCAGAGGCGGATTAAGACACTGGTGGGCCCGGTACTAGTTTATTTTTTGGGGCCCCTATTTTTTTAGATAATGAAAGGAATGAAAAAAAAAATCATCATCAGTCATTATACCTACCTACTAACACCAACATTCAATAATACATAAATTTGGCTTCCGCGGGGATTCACGCACGAATCACCTAACCTAGAACTATTGATGATAATGGCGATTGGGCTGTGTCAAAAAGGAAGGTGCGTCCTTCCCATACCTATTATACTGACAGATATATCGCGGGTTGTTTCGTTGTTTCGAGCTGGTCAAGCAAACAATATGAGATGAAAGTACGCCATCTTTGTCTAGGGAGAATTTTGTTTTCTAATGCGCATGCGTCAATATGAAATTATTCCACCAATAAGCATCAATTTTAAGCAGCTGATATTGCAGGGTTGCCTGTCATAAAAAAAAACCACCATAAAAACACAGCAAGTCAAAATGACACATAATATCCTCGGCTTGATGTGGTAATACCGCACAAGAAACATGTTACAAAATGCCTACCGCCGGCTAATAAGAATCTAGCATTTAACGCATGCGCAGTTCCTGCCCTCGTTTTACTTCGTTCGAGAAAGATAGACTTATGCGAGATCATATACTTCTATTTCTCGTTCTTTGCTTCAAAAACCGCACATTAGGTAAATGGGAAAGGCGCGATTCACGTCAGTTTAATAGGTATGTACCTATACATGGTCTTTCCTGTATTTAATATTACAATGACTCATTTCTCCATGTAAAAATGTCATTTTGAGGGCCAGTTTCACAAACAGCGTTAACGACCACAAGACACTGGTAACCAGATACTTGGTAACCCACAATATACCTATATGGTTTCATAATGTGTCGTTGAGTCAAATCCATTGATCCAAGTTCAGGTTATTTAACTATTAGGCCCAGTTTCACAATTGGTGGTAACCCCTTTCCGGAGTGTATGTATCGTCAAGGTATTTGATTGGTTGTTTCCTTTTCAACCCTTTCCAATGGCCCTGGCCCACCTACAGTGACTTAACCTTTTTAAATAGAAATTCGGTACCGCCGCGCCGCCATATTATATTCTTGCAAATTTTGAATATGAATATAGAAGTTAGCCACGCCCCCGCCGCCATATTTTTGCAAATTTTTTGATGTTTACTCAGGTTAAGACTCAGGTATTATTATTAATATTAATATTATCTAAGTATATATTTATTTATTCTTTATTTTTCAATTTTTCCATCTCATATTTTGTCTATTCCCGGATCTTGAATTTTCGTTTTCTTCTTAATTTTTGGCCATTTCCACCAACTATTTTAGGGAAGCCCTAACAAATTAACAATAGGTCACTAACAATAGGTATGCCTTAAACTGACATTTCTCCATGTAAAAATGTTATTTTAGGAGATACTTATCGTTAGGGCTCCCCTAAAATAGTTGAGGTTTATAATGTGTGAGATATATAACTATGAAAATGGAACGTTAAACAGGTTTACCCCTCTCAGATTTCTCTGTGGTACTTTAAGCCCTAACAAAGATATCAATTCTGAAAGTCTATGTAGCCATTTAAGATTTTATATAGGGTTCTCATATCAATATATTTTCTCCTATTGCTGAGAGTTGTAAGATAAGGGTGTGAAGTATTTCTTCATATACAATATCCTCATTTGGTATACCCAATTTAAACCCAACAAATTTCACAAACCTCTTCTGCACTCTTTCAATCTGTTGAACATACTAACCATGGTAAGGTAAGGAGACCATAGCTGACAAGCATATTCCAAAACTGACCTTATGTAAGAGCAAAATAGATTTCTAAAGCAATCAATACTACTAAAATCTCGCAGAGATCTTTTAACAAAATCCAGCAATTTTAATGCTCTATTAGTTATATAGTTAACATGTAAGTTGAAACTCAAGCTACTGTAAAAAAAAAACACTTGGGTCTCTTAGCTCTTTTTTACTTTTAAGTGAAGTATTATCTAGGGAATAATCGAATTCAATGATATTTTTCAATCTATAAAACCTTACAATAAAACATTTATCGACGTTCATACCATTTGTATTGCACCATTCACTCAAAGCATTTAAATCTTCTTGGATTCTCAAACAATCACTCAAATCTTCAATTTCAATATTGTGTAAGTACCTATTTCTATGACTAATTAAGACAGTCATTATTCTTCATAGGCAAAAAGAAAAAACATTTTGACGGTCTAAAACTGGAAAACGCCCAGCTAGAAATCCCAGAAGAGGCGGCATTAGATGCGGAATTCTTAGATGTGTACAAAGGCACCAACGGTGTCATTATGGTACTGGACTTAACCAAAAGTTGGACATTTGACTACATCCAAAGGGAATTACCAAAAGTTCCTGCTCACATTCCAATTATTATCCTATCAAATCATTGTGATATGTCCCATCATAGAACCGTAACAGCGGATCATGTTAATTTTTATATTGAATCTGTTGCTGGGTAAGAAATGGCTAAATACAACTAACAGGGTATTTACTTGAAATTGTCTTAAATTCAGTAATAGGGCAGCTCAAGTACGTCACACAGAATCTTCGATGCGGAATGGGTTTGGACTGAAACTTTTACACAAATTTTTCAATTTGCCATTTCTTCAACTACAAAAAGAGTCACTTTTAAGGCAAATTGAACGTAATGAAATGGAATCAAATGCCACAATTGAGGTACCTATATTATACATATAGTATTAAACTTTTAATTATTATTGTATCAAATCCTAGGAACTAGACATGTATGCAGAATCTGATGAGGCTAATTATGCAAAGTTTTTGGATAACTTAGTCAAAAAACGTAGAGAAATTGCAGATTCTAACGCAAACATCCCTCCACCTTCTATAATTATAACAGAAAAACCTACATTAGACATGAAACGATCTCAAAGCTGTTCGATAGTGATTGGAGCAGGCAAGCCTATTCCTTATGGGAATTTGGCAGCTACAAAACCCCAACAGCTACCACCAAAAAGTGTCAGTATGACTAGTGGATTCAATAAAGACAGTGTAGATGCTTCTAAAGCGGACATTATTGCTTCAGTAGATGAGTTTTGTCCAGCGGATGGTGGACATTTAGGTGGATTTTTGGATGACGTTCAATTTGGTGCACCATCTAGGATTGTTGAACATGAAGAGTCTGATTCGTAAGTACATATTTATTGTCCCAACAGATTTTGGGTATAAAAATGTGTTTTCAGGGATACAGACACTGGAAATCCTTTAGTTTCCGAACTTCAAGACGACTTTGATCCAGAAGACCCTTCAATCTCAAAACCAATGAAATTGCTTAAAAACTCAGCACCCTCTAGAAATGGAAAATCTGATGGCAGTAGCGAGCCTGAAATTGAAAAAACTGTTCCTGAAGATTATGAAATGAAGCACACAAATGATGAATTTGATTCTACTATTAATTCCGAAATATCAGAATTAACATCTGATGTGTATGATGCCCATTGGGTGGCACCTCCTGATTCAAAGTGGCGCCGATCCCCTGAAGGTAATTTAACTATAGTGATTCGCAATTTATTTTAATTTATTGATTTAGGTGGAGAAGATACTTCAATGGTTAGTCAAACATTTGATGATAGTGCATCAGTGACGTCTTCAAATGTTCACATGGAATTATTGACTTCAAGGAAAACACCAAGCTCAGGTCAAAGTGAGAGTGAAGATACTCATACCACCTCAAGTTCAGTTAAAAAGGAAAAGAAACATGCAAAGAAAGATAAAAAACATAAAAAGAAACATGAAAAAAGTGAGAAAAAGCATAGGAGAAAATCCAAAGCGGAAAAGGATGAATTAGAAGAGTTTTTGAATGGGACTAGCAGTCCTCCAATTGATACTGCTTATGAAGCTATTTAAATGTTTTAATTTTATTATAGAATAAATTAGGAAGATTCGAATGATGACTTAATTAATATACATGACATTTTTTTGAATTTATTTATATAGGTGCTAAACTTTTTATATTTATAAAATTTAAATGCAATTAAGGGCTGGTTTATTCATCTTCTGATAAACTGTCTGGTATGCAGTCCAACGGATAAAAACGCAATCTCTAATCCCATTAGTCCGCCAGTTATTCACCAACCAATAGAATTATAGAACCGAAAATTTATCTTGCAGATACCTACCAGCAAGTTTATCTGGAGATGAATAAACCTAAGCCTAAATTAATTTCACTAGAACGTATATTGTTATATTTCTAGATCAATGTCTATATTACTGTATTGCAATGCATTATCGCTTAAATTGTTACTTGTTATTGTAATTTTCAAATATCGTTTTTTTTTTATTTACATGATACATCAAATATATAGTTATTTTATCATAATGGTTATTTTAATTCGAGTCAATATCTGATAAAATATGAAGAGAACAACAAAGAATTTTCCAAGAGTGCAACTCTCATGGTCAGCTTTTGAACCATCCTAAATTCTAAGAAACATTTCTCATAACAGTGATGCAAGTACCCATGATTTGCATAAGCTTGTGATTTTTGTCTTAAGTAACTCTATTTGTTCTTATAGGAGCAGTTGTCGGCTACCTTATAATGTATCAATGCTCCAAAACCACAAACATCTCAGAACAAATTCCTACTATCCTCGCATCTAAAGTCTGTCGATTTTAATCTGATACTCCAAAGGAATGTGAGCTGGTGGCTCCCTAAGTAAGAACGCCAATGGTCACCTGACGTCACACCGGTTTTTGCCATATGCTTCACCCCCTCGCTCCTCAAACGGAAAGTGTCAGATTAAAAACGACAGAGGCTAACTCAACAAACAAAACTCAATAAGGATTCGCTTTATTTCCCTCAATAGCCACACGAATCAAATCATTGCCTAAAAAGTAATCAGTAGCCACAATATTAACATCATTAAACCACTCGTCTCTAATCCACTTGGTAATTTCCTTATTCACTGTTTGCGCTAGCTCCCTCAAATTGTTCTTTCTAAGAATAACGTCCCAGGGCTGTGGAGTCAACTCAGCCATTAATGCGTACATTGGATTGGTGCTGCCTTTGTGCTGGTACAAAGCACTGTACATGTAGTCTTTGAGTGGAGCTAGTTTGTTGGTGTCGGCCCAAAATTGTTTGATTGGGTGCCAGAGCCAAGGTAAATCTGAAATTAAATAATTTATATTCAGGCTTATAAGTTTGGTTTTCATTTACTAACGATTGACTGTGGGTCTGTCAGCATAAGAAACAATAATGCTTTTATTTTGTGACCAAATCTCGTTGAGTGTGGGACCGCTTCCAGCTTGTAGCCCAGTTGGTAGTACTACATGGTCACCCAAGTAGCCATAAACAATTTCCGTAAATCTACTGTGTAGATCTTTGGTGAAATTTCTTGGAAATGGAAACCTGTGAAAATCTACAAAAACGATTTCCTGCGGTGCAAACTGGGCAAATCTGCGTATTTCTTCTAAAATTGGTTCGATTTTAGTTACCTTAACATGATCGTGGTATATGTAAAACCTGGAAACTTTGCAGGGTTATCTATTAGGGTTATTATTCAAAGCTGGCTCATTGCTTACCCTCCTCCGTCTGCAATATATCCGACTCTAAAATCTAAATATCTGATTCCAAACACCAACTGATTCCATACACTTTTATCTTGATTCAATACGTAGCCTTCAAAGTAGGATATTATTCCTTTATACGATCCAGAGTTGTGCGTTCCAGGTATAAGCATATTTCCAATTTTTTTCCTTCCCAAATATTGCCTGTTGTCGTACATCCACGTCGGCTCAATTGCCAAGCACCTGGAATCAATGATCATGTCATATTTAATGGAAGATATCCAGTAAGGCAAACAGTGACGGCCTTCATCCGGTCTCAAAGTGTTCCGGTCGTATTCCCAATTTCCTGGAAGCCACGGTTCATGGAATTTAATTTTGGTTCTATAGTATCCAAGAGGATAGTCGATAGTTCGGATTTGGGCTAGGGCTGAAGAAAATGTATCCTCCTGAAATAGGAAATATTTATATGTACCTATATACTTCAAAGCGTTTTGGAGATATTTATAGTGACCAAATTAGCATAATTATTCTAATAACACTATACTTACATCCCTATCTCTCAAATTTTTCGTCGACAACACAATATAGTCAGGCCTAGTGAAACTGTTGCAATTCTTCGTGATCCAATTCAGCTCCAAATAATTATCCTGAAGTGATGAAATCGTCAAGTGCACTTTGCCGCACGATCCTAAATTAATTTCAAGACCTAAAAAAAAACAATAATCAATCTAGAAACAAATTTAATTTGAAAATTACCTTCTGGCACTGAACCGTAAACGATAACAATAAACCTAACAAAAACAATAGCAATTACAGTCCACATTGTTGCGAGGATGTTTCTTGCGGCACCACGACATCACTTTCACTAATTTACTACTAAAACTCGCTCTTAATTATCACATTAATTGCTAAAAAAAAATTCTTTATCAGTTTATTGAGCTAAGTTCACTTGTGCTGGCTATTGAGATCACGTAGAAGTAAAATGTTAATAGGTAACTAAATAAATTGAACTTGCTTTGTTGTTGAATTCAATCATTTTACGAGGGAGATTTTAAACAACTGTAATCTGGCAAAGAGATCAAGGAGTCTATAATCGAAACATAAAAAATAACCTCGTATATCTTAGTATTTAAATACTTGCTTTTGTTTCGCGTATGACTAAGGATGATTTTTTCCTGTAAAAACTTTTTTATTCTAATAAGGCAATTATCTCAACAAATAACTTGTATCAAAGCGGAAATACAGTTCAAGTGACTCATTATTCATTTATTTCTCAAGCTGTAACACTTTGGAATGGTTAAAAAAGGGGACACCTCTTGTGAGACAATTATTTTTAATAATATTTAACACACAGGATGTTTTTGGGATTCCTAGATCAAGAGAATAATAATACTGGCCTATTTTCATTGCAACATTCTACTAAATGTGTCTATTTATTTAGAGAATAAAATTTATAGGAATGGAATACTTATAGCAAGTAAAAATTCAACAAAGGCAACTAAATTATTAAATACAAAATAAATATAATATACTTACATAATTAAAGAGGTGGTGAAAAAAAGACATTTTGTTTGAAAGGCTTGGAGTCTCCATATGAAATCTGGGCTTCAATGAGTGGTCACAATTCGATAGAGAAATAGGAGCTCTAAGTTATTTTTTAATATAATCAAAGTAAAACCATTCAAACATGATGCCTCCTTTTTACCCCACCTGAAATAAAGCTAGACTATTATTTACAAAATATTAAAGGATTTAATACATACATATTTTATATAACTGTGATTATTGTAATTATTTTGTATAATGCACAGAGAAAAAATTATTCTGTACTACATTTAATTGCTAAATGTTACCTAGCAATATTAATCTTGTTCAAATTCCTTTTTTTGAACAAACAAAAACAGCATAAAATGAATACACCTTTTTCTATTATCATTATGAATTTGACTAGAACATAAATTTAACTTGGTTTAAGTGAAATGCGTTTTTTTTTAACCAGGTTTAAAATCACAAATATTTAACTGCGTTCAGTCGTCCTCTTGTTCAAAGGTGACTTTCTTGGGTGTGTTCTAGTTGGGTGTGAGTGACGTCAGCTGTTCAAGAAAAGCTCTCGGCGTCAAAATGTGAGAAGAACCGACGATAACTTCCCAATTTTTCAGGGCGTTTGTTACCTCGTAGGCGCAACGGATTTCGGAGAAGCAAACACCTCCAACGATGAAGACAATCAAACGGGGTACATTTTTGACTGTCGGTTGACTGCGGTCTTTGTGCCAATGACCATAACGAGCACTGAAATTGAATAATCAATAATGAGAATTTCCAGTGTAAAAAGATTGAATTTGAATAAATAGTCTTATTTGAGTTCTGCTTTTTTAGAATACTTGCAGGAAGATTACTATGCAGAGTGTTAGAGGCTTTCGAAGTTGAGTATTTTTTTTATTTCTCAGATTTAACAAGTTTAGTGGAATGATGGGTTTTTTCTCACAGATACTTCTGCTTTTTAAAAATTTTCCCTCAATTTCTTCTCTAAATTTTTGAATTTTTCCGTCTAAATTTTTGTCTATTCCCGGCTTTTGAATTGTTTATTTCTAAATATTTCTTCATAAAGAAAATTCGAGAGCCGGGAATAAAAACAAGACATAGGTACTTAAATCTACTTATCTATTCCATTTTCCCTTAATGTCTGCCTTTCAATTCTCAAATTTTTGTCTATTCCTGGCTCTTCAAGAGCGTCTTAATACATATAAGAGCCCACTTTCTAATAAATAGGCAAGCTGTCAGGTAATGCAATCTGACGGATAAAAACGCAATATGTAATCCCATTGGTCAAACAATTATCCAATGACCAACAGGATTATAGATCTGTAAATTTATCTTGAAGATAGTTACTAGGCAAGTTTATCCCAAGATGATTGATGCATAAACCGGACGTAGAGAACATTGGATGTTAGCGAATACAATTTTAATACAAAAACAGATATGCGAAAAAGTCGTCCAATCCAAATCCATGAAAGTTAGGGTAGCTTCCGCCTAACAGATGAGGTGGCGTGAATCAAAAAGTGCCTCTCTTTGGTTCCCCCTCCAATCCCCCGATACGTATTTGAAATCTTCCTGATAGTATTTTTTATCTAAGAGATATTCCCGATTGCTACTTTTCAAATTGTCATCCTGTATATGCAAAAAAGTACTATAAACAATATACCTAATCTATCATTTCAGTCACTTTTCAATAAAACTTAAGAGAAAAACATGCATGGCCTCGTGGGATATTTTCCTAATATACACGTGGCATGCAATGTATTAAAGGAAAGAGTTTTTTTTGAAAAAATCAGAATGTTCAAGTTACAGGTGGGCTTTCAAAACAGCTACAGCATTTTTGGTACTACGTACTACTTTATGAAATACCCTGTGATTATCAATCAATCCTAAATTTTAAGTAACCTTTTTCTAACTTTTTCAAAACACCTCTTCTGCACGGTTAAAGCCTAAAGAAAATATTAGAGATTCAAAGCCTCCAAATTTGCTAATATTCTTTACCTGGCTGATGTCGGATGATATCCAGTGCTCTGAGCACGTCCAGCCAAATAAGGAAAATGTTTCTGATCCAATTTATCCTCAATACAGTCCTCCATGATGTCCTTGACTACAGGTGTCCAACGCGACATTTGATAGGTTTGCTCCGTAATGCGTTCTTTACGAGGCACTGTGTACGGTTTTTTCCTGGTGCTACCCTAAAAAAAAAAAAACATTTTCATAACAAAAAAATTCAACTAAAAAAATCCCTTACATCATTGACAACATTGACCCCCAAATACTGGATATTGGCAATTGTTTGTTTATTCGAAATCTGGGCATGAGTGGCAAGTTTTTGCAAGTTTTCTTCAGTAATGCCATTTTTGGTCATGGCGTATAGAGCAATAATGCGCATTTTATCGTACTGCTCCGTTATTTTGGGATCAAGTAAAATTGGCACAATATTACGCATGTGGTCTTTGATTTTTTCGCCTTCAGCGTCAGTACCCATGGCCAAATCTTGTTCCACTTTGCACAACTTGTCCACGTAGCCTTGGTACTGTTTCATGCAGTCTTCGGCAAGTTGCAAATGGGTGGCGTATTTTGACAATTCTTTTTGGTATTGGGGCATTTTTTTGATCATTGTAGACAGGTCTTTCATGGATTGTTTGTCGCTAGCTGTCATTCTTTTGGAGTCGGTGAACTTTTTTAGGTTTTTGGTAACGCTTTGGGAGACAACTGCAATGTGCTGGTGACGCAGTTCCACCCACATTTCGTCGTTTTCGTCAAGGAGGACTTCTTTTTTTACACCAGCAGAAGCTTCATACCTAAATTGAAATAAGTTTCACATAAAATTGTACAATAATACAAGAAATTCTTACTCATAAACATCATTTTGTATATTTAACAAATCATAGGCCATGGCTTGGAAAGTCAATTCGTGTAAAAGTGGGGAAACACAATCAAAGCCACGATCCAGAATCAACAGCTGTGACCTGGCTTTTTCTGGACCTTCGCCCATTGTTGGTTCGTCTGCTTTGTAGGCGTCCAATTTTTGTTGAATCAGTTGGGCTAGTTCAACGTTTTTGTCCCAGTCACTATAGAAAAATTGAAATTTAACAATATCAGATCCATGTTTGATAAATTTAACACTAACCTGCGATATCTTACAGAAGGATATTCGCCTAAAGTGGCACACAAAGTAGCTATTTGCTCTGCCATCCTTTCCATATTGGCGCTGTATTTTTGGGAATAGGCTGGATTATAGTAGCATTGGAAAGTCTCGGCACAATCCAACGAAAAGATCTTTTTCAAAAAAATAATAATTATTAATGATTGGGTTAAAATTATTAATACACATACGAGGGGTCAACCACTATGCTTACAAATGTACAATGATTTCCATATTTGACAATCACTGATGATTGAATCTCCACATAGTCCCATCTCAAGAATTGTGACTGATTGCCAATGATTTTCAGATTTTTTTGTATGATTACCAAACGATTATCATTTTTTCTGGGGATTCCTATTATATCATTCCCAATTGATTACCTGATTTCCTTGATGATTTCCTACAAACATCCGATTTCCAGATGATTTTATTACGAAAACGATGTATAATTGTCTAGCTTTGCATTGATATGACCAAAATAAACAGTCTTTTCTCTTATAAAAACACGTTTCCACTGAAAAATTGGCAACTTCTGTATCTGCAACTCTTCCAAAAGTTAGCAACTTTTATTTTCATGGTTGTCCACAGTCACACAGGTTTTGTTGTAGGTATAAATAGTTGTTGAGCCCTAGATACCATTGCATGTCTAAACTGCATAATATGCATTTAAAACAATGAACATTTCATTGATTTCACTGGGATGAATCACAAGATATCTTCAGTTAGGGTTTCACTCGACAAACTTATTTCTGATTCTAATTCAGATGTGGTATTGTCTCTGCTTCTAGCCCTGCCTAGTATTTATTTTGCTTTTCCATTTCAAGTTCTTATTTCTTTGCATTCCTGACTTTTTCTTTTGTGTCTTTCTCAGGGATATTCCCATAGTTCTTAATACTCGATCGAAAAAGTCCCTGCTCCTCTGAAAAGAAGAACCAAATTGAAGTTGAGCTCTGAATAATCTCTCAACTGTAGCGAATCGCAATTGCTAAACCCTGATGTGTAGAGAAATTCTGTGTTTTCTTCTGGCAAGTCAGATTTGAGAGAGGTTTCAAGATTCATGTTTTCATTTTTATGATCTACAACATTGTCATACTTTAGGTCTGTTCTCACAAAGATCACAAACCAGCCAGAGCGAATTTCATTGATTGAAAATAGTCAGAAAACTGACAAAAACGCTCTGAGTGGTTTGTAATTTCTGTGAGAACAGACCTAATCTTCATCTCGTTCTTCTTCTTCAAGTTCCAAACTCTTTGTAGTCTTGGGTTCAGTTATTGAGAAACTCATTGGGATATCAAATTTATTTCAAATTGTCTGGCACTCAATGTTGTCTAAAATTTAGTCTTAAAGGCAAATATACAACTGACCGGTACGCTGTATCGTCACAGATTACCTACATACAAATGCGAAAGAGCGGCGAATTCATGGTTCAAGATTAATTTGATAGAAATAGGCTGGCCGCATCAATGTATTTTGAACAAATTTATTATATAAATGCGGAAGCTCAATAATATAATATTATTTCTTTAATTGGTTCACAAACAACAAAAAAATATTCTTTTTTACCCGCAAAAATATGTAAACACACAGGCTGGAACATGCTCACGCACCCGGCCACGTTAATTGTCCTGACGCGGGCGATCTGTATCTATGCGTCAAGGCGCTGGCTCCCCGGCCATCTGTATTAGGTGATCTGTGGTATCGTTTAAAATGTATGATACTCGATTTTTGGGTTAGAATGACATGATATTCCCAGCGATTACCACATGATTCTCAGCGATTGCCAATGGGTTCCTAGGTGGACCTGGAAGATTCCTAGCAATTTCTCAGGGACTCCCAAGTGATTTCCATGTATTCCTGATTGATTATTATGTGATTCCCAAAAAAAAAGTACAATGATTTCCACTAGTGGTTTACCCCTCGTAAACATACATGCAAAAAGCAAACATTTTTAGCAATCTACCACAAAACTAAGCATTCACTAGAAAATAAGTGAATTGAATACACAGAAGACACACACCTGAGATTCGTACGGTAAAAATGCAATGTTGATCTCCTTGAGAGTCCTAATTTTCTTTGCTGCACAAGATTTGCACAGTTCGTTGAACAATTCCTCAGGGCATACTTGATAATAATAGAAAATTGTTAAGACACAATAGTAAATACAACAAAAACAAAAAGACCTTTTGTTATAATAAGAAACCAACACCATTAGTATTATTAATTAGAAGCTTAAAGCAATTATTATTAGGACAAAAGACAGCAATTATAATTGTAGCTACCTGAGCTTCATTTGGTACAAAAGCAATGTTGATTTCTTTAAGGGTTTTAATATATTTGGCCACAGGGTGACGAGCTAAGTCATTAATTAACTGGTCAGGACATGCTAGAAAAATCAAATAGGTTCTAATGCCTCAATCAAAGCTAGTTAATTCTTACCTTCAGTGAAGAAAACATGTGCCCCCTTGTACATAATATGTTTGATGCCGTCAAAGTCCCTCATTAGTGCTTCCACAGACTCTTTTGAAGGAGTTATCAGATAAACAGCTTCCATTGTGGGCAATGGTTCGCGGGTTTTGAAAATATCTTCAACCACTAAATAAGTACTTAAATTATAAGCTGTCAATATTTTTTAAAATTAATTACATACAAGTTATGCCTTCAGCTGAAATATTGTGCATTTTACAGCAAGCAGATATCATCCTCATGGCCAGTTTGTCTACAACCAGGACTCTCCATTCCATTTTTCCTCCTGCCACAGCAGCAGGGCCATTTTTCTTTTGGGGTTTGTATTTTATCACTTCGTTCATGATTTCTGGAATTAGTTCATAATATAATCTAAGCTTAGACTACTAGATAATTAGTTGGGCAAAACTACATAATATGAAGAAGATATTGTCATATGGAAAATGAAATGCTAAGTAATAAGTCAATATTGCTGATAGATGAATAGTGATTTTGCTACTGGTCCTAGTAATATTTTTGCAACTTTGTCAGTGTTTCACTAGTAACGAATGTTAAATTGTGACAATGTATTGGAGCATTACAGAAAGAATCAAAATACAAATCTGACCAGAAGGGGGATCTTGAGACTTTCATCAACAACTTCTGTAGCTGACTGAACCATGGACCTTTAAAAGATCCTGAAATTTGGAGACAGAAAAATTCTCCAGGAGATGATTTTGGATACTTAGCTTATCAGTAAGAGTGAATGTACCAAATATTAACTAAGCAAAGAAATTCTAAACCCAATTGTTAATAATAGTCTCTGTGAAGGTTTCTTTCAAGATTACTATCAATAGTTATCTTTAACTTATATCATTAATTAGCTAGTTAGTATAATTGAAAAATTGTGGGTCAAAAAAGCAGAATAGCCATAATATTATTAGCTAGTCAGTCCCTGGAAATTTATTGATGTGCCTGCCTATATGACATCATCGTAGATGAATCAGAAGCAAAAAAGGAATAAATAAATGAGTCACAAATTAATTGAAAATCTAATCAACAAAAAAATACATAATAAAGATTATTGTAGGTTTATTAGAACAACATAGGGGCTTTAAAAATGTGTAATTTTTCTATGAAAGTGTGAAAAGGGAAATTTTATTGATCGAAAACGCCTTTAAAAACAGCAATTTACTTACTTTGGCCGACCTGATTTTTCAATGCCATGTTGCTGCCTTCGTCTGGATATAGAACAATTAAAACTTACACTCTTTTAGCACTAAAATTGTATTAATTTGCTTTCTGAAATTAAAATATTTTTGATAAAAGTACCTTTATTTTGGACTTCTTGAAATGTAGTTACTACTTGTCAAAAAAGACAATCAAAATAACCCATTGATAAAATCACCTGCGTCAGCGCCATCTATGATTGTAACACTCAACTATGTAGCTTCATTTTGGAAAAAAGCTGGAAAAGATTAGCGCCAGTGGTCTGATAGTCACTGTAGTCTGATTGATCCACGATACATCCAAGATAATTCAAAATCAACAGCCGATAATAATCAAAATTTCAATTATTACAGGCTCTGGACGCAATCAAGATCAAAATAAAACCCATTGATAAAATCACTTGCGTCAGCGCCATCTATGATTATAGAACTCAACTATGTAACTTCGTTTTGGAAAAAAGCTGGAAAAGATTAGCGCCAGTGGTCTGATAGTCACTGTAGTCTGATTGATCCAAGATACATGCAAGATAATCTAATCAAAATCAAGAGCCGATAATAATCAAAATTTCAATTATTACCTACAGTACATTATAAAGTACATTGCTGAATAATTTTTCTAGAGGCATTCCAAGACCCGGAAATAGTCCAAACTCTGATTATTACAGTCCAAATTTTAATTATTATAGGCGAAGACGCAAGCAAGAGCTGAAAATAGTCCAAATTTTGATTATTACAAGCTCTGGCCGTAATCCAAGAGCTAAATAAACTAGTCCAAACTTTGTCTATAGGCTTTTGTTTTGCTGAATAACTTTTTTAGACACAATCAAGAGCCGGAAATAGTCCAAATTTTGATTATCATCGGCTCTTGTTCTCCTGGATAGATTTTCCAAAAGCAACTCAACATCAGTTATAGTAGGCAGTCTAAATATGGATTACTGATAATTGCTATTTAGCATTCATAATTCATAATTCCTATTAGGAATAGTTCAATTTTTTATTATAACCGGCTCTTGTTTCTTTGGATAACTTCTCCAGAAGCAACCATCAAGTATCCGGTAATAGTATAGGTACATAATTAATTTTGATTCACACTGGTTTTGTTGGATAATTTTTCTAGAAGAAATCAAGAACCGGTAATAGTCTAAATTTTGATTATTAGGTACCTACTGATTTCTGTTTTCCTGTGTAGCAAAACGCGCCCAAGTACCTACTCTTTTTAATTAGTTAGATCGTAAATGGCGAGCGGTATATTGATGGTATTTATTTCCTTGAACGGCTACCTATAAAATTGTGGAGAGGGTCTATTGGCAAATGAGAGAAACAAACTATTGAGGTTTACTAAATTATATTTTATTATACTTAAAACCAAAATTAAAATAAAGCTTTCTATGTCCGACAGCCACTTCTATTTTTTTTCCCCAAATCAATTTATTTCACATCCGTTCGAATTTCATTACTACGGACCAGGAATTATCCATACTTAAAACGCCCTACTTCTTCTATTCTCGATAACCTATAAGTTTATACATTTACTCTTTCAAACAACACTTCCGATTTACATTCCTATTAAAACTACCCTTCACCTATATTTATAAATTCTTAAAACTCCTAAGTTATTTACTGACAGCTTATGCAGAATAATTATTTAAGTCATATAATCCTACTCACTGGATTAAGTATATTATATGTATTACCAACTATATTCTTACAAAAACCTTACAATAATTTTTAAATGAAAAACTCTAATTCAAAATTTAAGCACTTAAGGTCATCACGAACAACAATTTTCAAACAAAACTTTCCAATACATTTAGTGGTTCCATCCTTCACTGAGGATCATTTTGAACAGAACAATTATCATTTTCGGATTCCTAGCCAACAAACACAATTATCAAATTCTTACTAGTTAGTTATACCATTTTATAAAAAGTCTTTTTATACAATGGTTATACTATAGCTGTTGAATTCTCAATAATACCAAAGTCTCAATAATGCGATAATATTTAGAAAATCAAAATAATTTCGTTTTAAGCGGGTGGACCATGCAATTCGGATTTCTTGCTGAGGGGTGGTCCGTAGCGAGGCGACGAGGGTACTACGGACTTGCACAACGTAACGGAATAAAAGAGTCTAGCCCGAATCTCCGTTACAAGCAGAAGTAATAAGAATTTTTTTACCGCATCTCTTTTTTCAAGTTCAGACAAGCGTTTGTAACGGGCCTTCACAAAATTATTGTAAGCCTCCCTTTTTTTTGTATGTGTGTGTAATGGACGAAGAAATTATTATTAATTTGTGATTTTTGAAGTTAGAAGAAAGTGTTGATTTGCTTATTTGAGCGCATTTCAAATAAAGCTTATAGAATAAGGAGAAACTTGTTTCGTTTTCTTTCTTCACCAATTTACCTATAGCAAGTTAAAAAAAGGAACTCGCGACTATGGAACGGCAGGGCTAAAATACTTCTGCCCCCCTTGGATGTGGCGTGAAACACAAGAAAATCGCCCAATAGCCCTTAAGCTTCAATTGGACAATGCAATTCAAAATTGATAATTCATGCTTAAAATCTAAAATTCATAAGAGCATTATAATTTCCTCTGTTAACTCTTTACAAAATTAAGAGAAATGTCATTTCACTCAAAGCAATTAAATTTATGCAATAATGTTCCATAGTCAAAACACTCGAGTCATTAATATTTATGCAATAAAGTTCCAAAGTTAATTCACTTCATAGTCAATCATCATTTATAAAGTCAAAAGTTTTTCTAGTCATTAGAGTACTAACATTTAACTTTTCATTCATAAAATTACTTAGTTAATTTACTTCAAAAATTTCTAGAGCTCGCACATAATGTTGAATGAATTTAAATGTTCTTTTTTTCTCAATTTTTCGTTACTTTTCCAAAGATTCGATTAACCCGTTTGCCCGAGGCAACAAAATAAAATAAACTCTTCGCGAATCTTAACCGGACTGACTCATTAGGTACTGTAGACTTTAACGGTCGTTTGACCATCTATAATTCAATTCTATTGGTCGACCTAGATATTGCTCCAAAAATATAACTTCTTCATTTAGAGGATGATGCAATCTGTTCGAAATTTTTGTCATTTTGGGTCCAATTTGATTAGGTGCTTAACCTTGTAATTGATCTTTTCCGGGTTTTTATTTACGAGTTCAAATGATGACACGTGCTTGGTCACTGATGGCTTGTTCAAAATTTGAACGTATCGATATAAATATTTTAATTAATTTGAGTCAATGCTAATTTGTTTCATCATCTTTCAATTTATAGATACTGATTTGAAATACAGGAAATTCAGTTTTTGATTATTTGATTACATTTAATTTTTACAGTAAAGACATTGTAAATTACGGGTCTATTTTTCCCTGGTCATTACAGCTGGTTACTTTCTCAAGAAGCTAGAGAAGCAATCAAAAGCCGATCATAGTCGAAGTAATAATGGTATTTATACAAGCTTAGAAATACCACAAAACTCGACCTATACACATCATGTGAAAGTAAAAAGATCTGCCACAGGAATTGGTGTCGCAGAGCGATACCTACTTCCTACTTGTCTCTTTATTGTTGTGAAAAAAGTTGTCAATCTATCAATTTAACTCAGGTTTTAGTCAAGTTTAAAAGTGAGAATGAATGAAGAATCCGCATTTCCACCATTATCGCAACTATTACGAAGCAAGAGTGAAAACTTCGCAATGTCCAAAAGGGTTTACACCAGGTCATACAGCGATCATGACCCCCAATACAACCCCACGACGATATGGCGCCCAACTCGATGGTACGAACATCCAACATAAAGACCTGCACCACTACACTTCTCGATTTATGGAGTAACTCCGCAACAGAATTTATCACAGAACATATTACAGAGATTAGTCTCACAAGACAATCTCCAGTCCAGCAACCAGTGTTTTCAGGATTGGATTGTCCGGAAAAATTTAAGTCTTATTTTGAAAAGTATAAAGTTCCAAATGAATGTCAAACAAGTCAAGTGAGGAATCATGTGGAGGGAGATCAAAATCATGGTTCTCTCCGTATGAACTACATGACATAAGTTTTGATTCTTTCCGTAATTGACTTTTTGAAAGATTCAATAACGATTCTCTAAAAGCCTCTCTATATAAGGTCTGTTCCAGCTCGTCAAAAAACTGCCCCATGAACGGTTTCTAAACCACTCAGTACACGAATTTCGAAGGTTTTGTGCAGAATCGTGACGGTACAACCGTACATTGTACGGTTTCCTGTTGTGTTGGAACAAACCTATAGAAAATTATATGATGAAAAACAAACAAATATAGTATATTGGAATATTTATCCTGAAAAACAAAAACCAAATCAACAAAATGATAGTTTCGATTTAACTCATTTAGCTAACAAGACAATAAGCATGTACAAAAATATATTAAATAGTTTTCATGATATTTTTGAAGAAGGTTTGCGACAATCAACTACAAAATTGGTAGATCATAGAATAACACTTAGACAAATCACCAATCACCTGGGTTTTGTGTTAATTACCGTCAGCTGAATAAACAGAGCCAATGGTAGCGCAGTTACCGCATATGAGAGATACAATAGTAATGCACAAGTATTTTCATCATTGGATTTGAAAAGTGGATACCTACTGGCAAGTGTCAATGGAACCGGAGAGTACCTACCTACTAAGTTTACAGGTTTTGGAACTCCAGATATGTAGCTATGTATGAAATTTTAGTCATGCCGTTTGGTTTGAGGAACGCTCCATTTACATTTCAAAAATCATAGACAATAAAAAATATTATTATAATAATATAATAATAATAAATATAATATATAATAAATAATAAATGATAAAATATAAAATACAATATAAAACGATAAATAATAAAATATAATAATATAATAATCTAAATCATAAGGTATTTCAAATATTTTAATGTTGAGATTTGGAGTCGGATTCTATGAAAAAAAGCACTCAGAAAATTGAAAAATTGATGAATTTACCCCAAAGTTTTTCAAAATCCAAAGCGTAACTTGAAGGTGTACCTGGTAACCCCTTCTGCAGCAGGGCTGGATAGATACCGTCCTTTTCTGGAGCAAAGTTGCTGAAAAAAAATTCTAAAAAATCCTCAATACATTTCGTAATTTATCCAGAACATTTCTTTTAATTATATTTCAGCAATTAAGTTCAAATTACCAGATGGGTCTCAAATTTAACCCGTTTCATAAAAACAAAAATGACTAATACTAATTTGTTTACAAATTATTTCAAGGTGAGACTATTACATTGGAGTAGTTCTACTAAAAAAACTTACATACTAAAATTATCATTGCAAACGTAAAAGCCTCGGTAGTGAAAACAAATATACGCTTCATACTATATCTAACATACAACAAAAATTTTATCAAAAAACTTGTTAGTGATAAATATTCGCAATAATAAAGTTTATGTGCGGGGAATGTCTCACCGTTTAAGTATTTCGTAATGCAAACCTACAGATTTGGTTACCTTATTAAAAGTAATTCATTAAAGAAATACGAAAATGATTCATTAAATATCAACGATGCAGTCCTACAAGGTAAGTTTCAATAGTTATTTATTGTAGGTAAGAGGAGGATTTGACCTGGAATGTCCCCACACAAAAAAATTATTTTTAGCTTGGCTAATTTAAATCCAGAGGAAGTTTGTTAATACAAGCACCATCAGTGCGTTTTCTTAATGGCAGACGAACCGAACAAATGCCAAGTTTGTCGGAATCCGGCAAAGCAAAAATGTGCTGGATGCAATTGCGTTTATTATTGTTCGCGGGAACATCAGAAATTTGATTGGAAAAAACATAAAAAAGTGTGCAAATCCTACAAAGTACCTATATTCATTACCTATTTCGATTTAACATAATAAATTCCTTTTCTAGGTTGTTACAAATGAAGCTGAAGCTCGGCACATTGTAGCTACCAAAGATATTAATCCAGGGGAAATAATCCTACAAGAACCACCTCTAATTTGGGGCCCATCGCAAGTGACAGTACCAGTTTGCTTGGGTTGCGGCCAAGCCATCAACAAGGAAAAATTTCAACCGTGCTCCAAGTGCGGTTGGCCAGTTTGTAGTCAAATTTGCGAAAAATCACCTAGTCATATACCAGAGTGCCAATATACAGTTTCTAGAGGGACCAAGGTGAACTTTCTCCTGATGTATTTTCAACTAATCTTGAATAAAATTCAATAGGTTACTATATCAACTTTTAACGCAGCACATCCCTCTTACCAATGCATAACAGTTCTAAGATGCCTTTACCAAAAGCAATTTTTATCGGACGTTTGGAAAAAAATCGATTTGCTTCAATCACGTTGCCAGGAGCGAAAAGCCACTTCAAAAATCTACGAAAAAGAACGCGTTTCAATAGCACAATTTATTTTAAGTTTTTTCAAATTGAAAAACATCTTCAGCGAAGAAGAGATCTTAAGATTATGCGGCATAGTGAGTGTAAGTAACTGTCACTAAAAATTTTATTTAGAATTTTAGAAAATATTGTTTTAGGTAAACGGACATGAAGTTCCTCTAACAACTCCACCCCATGTAGCCTTATATGAAACTACATCGATATTTGAACACAGCTGTAGTGCCAATTGTAATAAGACTTTCACCAATCATGGATCAGTTTTAATTAAAGCTGGAACTCACATTAAAAAAGGCGATCGCCTAAGTTTGTGCTATACTAATCCATTATGGGGTACTGCCAATAGAAGACACAATTTGTACCAATCAAAATTTTTTTGGTGTTCTTGTCCAAGATGTTCAGATCCTACTGAATATGGTACTTATTTCAGTGCACTGAGGTGTCAGAAAAAGTATGCGTTTTATTCACTTGTGTTTGATTTTTATTTTTAATGTTTTACTTTTAGTGAATGTTCTGGCTATATTTTGCCTGATACTTTCCTAAATCAGACAATAAATGGCAAGCTTTCTGATTGGATCTGCAACAAGTGTACTTCCTCAACTTCCTCGCATCACGTTCAAGAAGTCCTCGACCGAATCAGTCAAGATTTTAATGAAAAAAGCAATAGTAAAACTGTCAAAGATTTTATAAGGTCTTACGAGAAATACTTGCACAATAATCACTATTATTTGACCGAAATGAAAATGATTTTGAGCCAAATGTTGGGACACGAGAACGAAGATGGGTTACCTGGAATTAGCGACGAGGATTTGGAATTGAAGGCTAAATTGTGTCAAGGGGTTGCAAATTTGGTCAAAATTTTAGCGCCAGGTAAAGAACTAGAGACTATTCTATTCATTCATGGTAGTTTTGCCTATTTTAGACGTTTTATATTATTATTATTATTATTATTATTATTATTATTATTATTATTATCATAGGTTTGAGCAGCAGTAAGGGGCAACGCCGATGAGACTACTGCTGTATTGTTGTATCTTTGTTTTCACTGTTATGAGTCACATTTAATGCACAAAATTCAGTCTAGCTCTCTCCAGGTCCGGGTAAAGTCTGTTTTTGAATGCGTTCTTTGAAGGAGCACTGACCGTGCTTTCCTGAAGGGCGTTCCACTGATAGACAACCCTATTTCTTGCAGGCATCAATAAAATCCACAGCGTTAAAACTGTTTTCTCTCAGTGTAAGATTTTTCCAGTAGTCAATCTCACGGAAGTTAAAATCTCCCCAGATAACACCGTCTATGTTTTCCTCAAACGTTTCTTTGAGAGTGTCCAGATTCCTCATCCTGTTCTGTTTCAATGTAATATGATGAGGCCAGTATATACAGACCAGAGTAAACTTTATGTATGCTTTCTAAGACAATGAAGAAAAATGAATGTTTCCATACAATGAATGTCGGTAGCTATACAGGGTTACCTTTTTATGGATTTCAGTCTTCTGGTGTATTAATTAGTTTTTAACGAAAATTATTCAAATTCCAGGTGAAGTACGTCAAAGAGGTATTCTTCTATACGAGCTACATGCCGCAGTAGCCGAATTAGGACGCAGAAACCCCGATCCTCATCAATTGACTCTAGTTCTGCAAGAATCAAAGAGAATCCTTCGTGAAGCTGTCGATTTACTGAAAAACGAACCCGAAAGTTTGCCCGAGGGCAAAATTTATGGTCAGGCTCAAAAAAACTTAAAAGAAATCGAAGTTGTTCTGATGGCTTTGCATAGGAATATTGGAGATTCACCTGTTTAGTATTTCATTTGTAACAAGTAAATTTTAGTTATTAATAAAATGTTACTGATAAAGTGTTATGTAATTTTTTATCCCACGTACCCATGTATGGGTGTATATAAGGTGGGGACACGTAGGTAGAATTAAGTAGGCCATTTCATGTCTTGCTACAGTTCTTTAAGTTCTTATAACTTATATCAACGTCAAAAGTATTTCTGGAAGGTGTTTAAAGTTGAAAACATGGAAAATTGTAAGTAATATTTTATACTTTTGTGACTCCTAATCCCAAATATAAAATTTTATTCACTAATCTGAAAAATGTCAGGGTCAACCTGATTAAAAAATCTCGGTATATGAAGATTTTATTTATTTAGCAAATGAGAATACATAATGTTTTGGTTCAAGTACCTACACCTACAAAATTTCATTTCAAGTTCCATAAAAAATAACTAGGTACATCAAATATCAATTAACGTAAACCTTAAATTGTGGTAAATAAGTGAAAACCACCTAATCTCAACTATACTGATTAAAATGTATTGGCCTTGACGTTTCATTAGTCTCATTTCAATCAAACCTCAGTTACCTACTTATTTGATTTCAGATAGTAAGCTGCTAATTTTAGCAGTACTCTCCATAATAATAGTGACAAGTAACGCCACAATGAGCCGTTTTAAGGTTTTGATTGCCAATCCCTCAGTGCCAAGGATTGCACATGAACTGTTGTCAAAAACGTGAGTAAAAAAGTCCAAAAAATAAAAATACTCAACTTCTAATTTAGATGTGATGTTGTAACGTCTTCAGCATACGACCGTGCTTCAATCGTGAAAGATTTAGAAGCGGCAAATGGGGTAGATGCTTTATTTTGGGCTACCCATAACCCAGTGGACAAGGAATTACTTGATGCTGCAGGTGAAGCCCAGTATTTGAAAACTATATAATCTTGATAAATGTTTGTCTTTTTAGGCTCCAAACTTAAAGTCTTGTCTACAATGTCTGCTGGCTATAACCATATCGACACCAAAGAACTGAAAGCTCGTGGAATTAAGTTATCAAATACACCTAACGTTTTAAATAATGCTGTAGCTGATGTAGCTGTTCTATTAGCTATGGCAGCTAGTAGGAGGTTTACTGAGGGACGGCAACATATTGAACAGTATGTACTTAGTCTAGTCTAGAATGTAATTAAGAATCAGTAAAAAAAAATGTATTTCAGTGGAACATGGATAAATTATTTCGATACCCAATGGATGTTGGGGCAAGATATTACAGGATCCACTATTGGAATAATAGGTTTAGGTGGTATTGGGCAAGCTATTGCCAAGAGACTGAAAGGATTTGATGTGGGTAAAATTTTGTATACTGGGCATAGAGAAAAGCCTGAAGGTAAATTGAGAGTGAGGGGTAAACCACCTTGGAATTTTAGTATACCTACAAGCATGTGGGATTCTGTGTGCAGGCGGCTGAACTGACAAACAAGACTTTTTTGTTCAGATAAGTCTTTGCCTGCTAGCGTTCAAAATAATTCCAAAAATCCACAAGAAATTCCATAGAGATCAGCGAGGAATTCGATTGAATTCCAGTACAATTCTGTGGAATTCCAATAGGAATCAGATATTGTGGGATTCCAGTAGGATTTCGTGTGATTCCGTTAAAAGTAGGATTCTGATACTTTTCCAAGGTGGTTTACTCTTCGGTTAAAGCCTGAGTCAAAAATAAAGTAAAATTTCTCTAGGCAAAGCAATTGGTGCTGAATTCGTAAATTTGGACAGTTTAATCAAAAACAGCGATTTCATTGTTCTGGCTGCGCCATTAACGAACGCAACGCATCACATGTGCAACTCTGACTTTTTCGGTAAAATGAAAAAAACGGGAATTTTGATTAACATTAGCCGAGGAGCTTTGGTCGACCATCAAGCCCTAATCAAAGCACTGAAAGAAGGCCAAATTTTCGCTGCAGGTCTCGACGTTATGGAGCCGGAACCTTTGAATACAGACAGCGAATTGTTGAAGTTACCGAATGTTGGTGAGTTTTTTGAATTGTTCTGAGAGGCAAGTGTAATATATTTATTTTTTTAGTCTTGACTCCACATATTGGCAGTGCAACAAACAATACCAGAAACGCTATGGCCGAATTAACTGCTCAAAATATTCTTAGAGCGTTGAGTGGACAAGAAATGCTTACCCCAGTTAAAATTTAATTTATGAAATAATTTCAAAAATAAATTTTGCATTATTGTTTTGTTTCTCAGTTCCATATAACCCATATACCTTTCACTTTCAAGTTTTGTGACTTTTTGAGTTTAAAAGAATTTTGAATTTGCCGCGCAGCTTTCGTTCAGCAATAGTGATTTTATCTTAAAGGGGTCCATAATTTGAACTTTATTTTCGGCCACAATCAACATAGAACATAGAAAAAGTGTTCCATTATGTTCCTAGGACCATAATAGAGTACATTATATACCTAGGTAGAGAAGTTGGTCATTATACAGGGTGGTCCATTTAACTTGAGACAGTCTAATATCTCGAAAACGGTGCATTTTTGAAAAAAAAAGTTTAAATAAAAGTTACATGGTATCATGTGGGAAACAAAATGGCGTACTGATTTTTGACTTTGTCAACGTTTTCAAGGTTATTTCAAGGTCAACTCTTTTTTTTCAATGGAAATATATTTTTTTTTTACAGAATCTTATTCTACAGAAAAAAACAAGTAACTTTTACTTGAAGCATTTTTTGATCCGGTTTCAATTTAAGCTGATAAAAAAGAACGAATAATTTTTTTGTTTTCTCCTCACAAAATCGAACAGTAGAGAAAGGTTACCAAAAATACCTCAAAAACTATAACAATTGATCAAAATGTCGATCGCCAACTTCAACACACTTGTCAATTCACTTTAAAAATCAAACACACAGTTCATCAAGAGGTTCCCACAACACCGGATAATATGATGGAACACATAAGAAATGCTTAGAGCTGTCAGTAAAGAAACTGTAATTTGGTGCCATGAAAGCTTTTTACAGCGAATTAACAACTGTGTTGAAGTTGGCGGTCGTCAATTTGATCAATTGTTATATTTTTTGAGGTGTTTTTGGTAACCTATCTCTACTTTTCGATTTTGTGAGGAGGAAAAAAAAAATTATTCGTTCTTTTTTATCAGGTCAAATTGAAACCGGATCGAAAAATGCTTCAAGTAAAAGTTACTTGTTTTTTTCTGTAGAATAAGATTCTGTAATAAAAATATATATTTCCATTGAAAAAAAAGAGTTGACCTTGAAATAACCTTGAAAACGTTGTCAAAGTCAAAAATCAGTACCGCCATTTTGTTTCCCACATGATACCATGTAACTTTTATTTAAATTTTTTTTTGCAAAAACGCACCCGCCGTTTTCGAGGTATTAGACTGTCTCAAGTTAAATGGACCACCCTGTATACCGAGCGCTTTTATAAACCGACGCGCGAAGCGCCGAGCCGAGGTTTATAATGCGTAAGGTATATAATGACTTTCTCTACCGAGAGATATTTAGAATTTTTTCTACTACTGCTAGTAGAAAATAAAAAATAGGTTTGAAACCTGTGCTCAAATTATTTTCTCTTGACGGAAGTGCTGCCCTCTATCAACAGCTTCCGGTAATTTCCTATAACGTATGTATGTATACAGGAACCTGCTTTTTCTAAAATTGACAGCAGTGATGTGCCTGTAGACAAGTCAACGTAAACAATTGATTGTCTACGCGTAGACAATTCGAATTGTTTACGTGAGTATTTGTCTACACATTGTCTACATGCGGCGTAAACAATAACTTATTTTAAAAAATTCGAAAGAAAATATCAAAAGCTACTAGACTATCACTATCACTTCGATATCAGCATTCACTGATTATAAAATAAAAATAATTTAAAAAATGGAAAGTGTGAGGTTAGAATTAAACGTCATTTATATTATTTTACATTATTGGCATGTTGTCTACATTGTCTACATTATCTACACGTAAAGTAGACAATGAAAGTCTACGTGTAGACGCACATCCCTGATTGACAGTTTGACACTGAAATTAAACCAATAGAAACCGGTTACGTTATGACAATATCCTTGCGTCATGACGTCATTTTCATTGTTGACCTAGGTATTTTTTATCATTATTTTCATTATTAACCTATGGAGAGAAATTCAATTTTTTTCCAGAAAAATTGATGGAATAATGACTACTTCTCAGGTTAGTAGTGCAAAAACTACTTTACGCACTGGTGCGTGACATTTTATGTCTTCTAAAAGGTGCGTAACGTAAGTACTTTATGCGCGGTAGTGGAAAAAAACAATAATTGCGCCTTCACTTACAGTCGGGAATGAGATGTTGTACCCATAATTATATAAGTCGTTTTTTTTAAAGATAATTCCTCAAATCAAAAATTTAGTAGGTAACTATGCTGTTCACAATCCTATGTCCACAGGTACAGATAAATTTATCACCTTTCCCTATCAAAAAGCATTGAAAGGTGATAAATTTTACCTGCACCTGTGGCCATAGGATTGTGAACGGATAATATGTTGGAAACACAAGCCTTCTCTACATAAAAAATTTGAAAGCATCGACAATTTAACATTATTGTTTTGCCAACATAATGTCATTTTGACTTTTATCTTTAAAAAAAACAGACTTTAAAAATTCCGCTTCTACCTTTTGCGAACGAAAATAGAAAATTTCCTCAAAAAGACAAAAAGGGGATAATTCCGTCAAGCTGGCAACACTGTGGCTGACTCGTTATCAAACGCAAGGATATCAACAAAGCATTTGATAGGTTGGATATAAGCCCCGCCCCTTTCCAATCAGATGCGAGTGATATCAGCAGGGCATTCTATTGGTTAGTTGAGCCCCGCCCCTTTCCGGGGTTTATGTATCGTCAAGGTATTTGATTGGTTGTTTCCTTTTCAACCCTTTCCAATGGCCCCGGCGCACCTACAGTGATTTAACCTTTTCAAATAGATATTCGGTACCGCCGCCATATTCTTGCAAATTTTGAATATGAATATAGAATTTAGCCACGCCCCCGCCGGCATATTTTTGCAAATTTTTTGATTTTTACTCAGGTATTATTATTAATATTATTATTATCTATAAGTATATAGGTATTTATTTATTCTTTATTTTTCAATTTTTCCATCTCATATTTTGTCTATTCCAGGATCTTGAATTTTCGTTTTCTTCTTAATTTTTCTAATGGCCATTTCCACCTACTATTTTAGGGAAGCCCTAATACGGTATGCCTTAAACTGACATTTCTCCATGTAAAAATGTCATTTTAGAGAATACTAATCGTTAGGGCTCCCCTAAAGCCGGCTACACACGGTCCGGCAGGCCTGTCAGTTCGAACTGAACAGTCCGACTGAAGACCGGTTGCCTGAACGTGTATATATTCCGGTCGATCTGTCAGTTAAGACTGTTCAGGCGACCGAAAAAAATCGAAAATATGTTCGTTCATCCGGCCAGCCTGACGTACTCAAAGGCAAGTCTGAACGTGTATATGGCACGGTCGACTGTCAGTCCGTCAGTTCAGATAGATCAGTAGTGATAGTGAGCTTGTTACGCCATGTCGCACGAAATAGAATCGAAATTTATCGTGATTTATCATAGCTAGTCGTATGGAATAAAGTGTAGCAAATATTCTGCAATACCTCTGTCTTGTTTTGCTGCATTAAAGCTGAATATGTTTATCTCGAAAAACTTCAGCAGAAGCATTTGCTCCTCTTTTATTCATATGAGCCATGAGCCATTGGTCGTGTCTCTGGAAAGTCAATTCGAAAAACTTTCACGACTGTGGCAAGAAATAAGCGGCGTATTTGAAATTGGTAGAAAAATGGAAGGAAATCGATCCTTCTCATACGAAGTCTACTCTGTTCTCAAAAAAATTAATACTACATGATGATCGAGAGTATTGAGACTGAAGAATATTTCAGGTTTGCCTGAACATTTGGAGGGTCATCAGGGCCGAGATTCTAAAATCACAATTCGACACACGACTCGATAACGATACCGGCCTTGTCGTCTCGAAAGGTATAATTCCAATGAGATTTCTAACCTAGAATCGTCGGAAAAATCGTCTCGTTGTCGAGTCGTATGTCGAATCGTGATTTTAGAATCCCCGGCCAGCACTGTCATCAGTCTCCCCGACGGCCGGTCTTCAGGCTAACTGTTCAGTTCGAACTGACAGACCTGCCGGACCGTCTGTAGCCGGCTTTAAATAGTTGAGGTTCATAATGCGTGAGGTATATAATGACTTTCTCTACCGAGGAATATATAGATTTTTTTTTACTACTGCTAGTGGAAAATGAATAATGTGCTCTAATTATTTTTTTTGAACGCCCGCTTGAAAGTGGTGCCCTCTATCAACAGTTTATGATAACTTCCTATGTAACTACAGAAACCTGTATTTTTTTATTATTAACCTAGGGAGAGAAATTGCATTTTTTCCCAGGAAAATAGATTGAATAATGACTATTTTTCAGGTTAGTAGTAAAAAAAAATCTTTATGTATGGAGTAATTTGTTCGATCTTTTCCCGCTGGAGGCAGCAGCGTCAATCAGGGCTATTAGGTTTGTTTGAACTCAGTTCAGAATCAGAGTTCTAGATTGAATTGCGCATGCGCATTTTTTCATATCGGTCATTTATAAACAAATGCGCAAGTGCAGTTCAATTCAGAACTGATTCTGAAGTGAGTCTGAACAAACCTATTATGCATAAATAAAGTAGGAGCATAAATGAATACGGATTACCAAGTTGACGTGCAGCTCGCTTTCACGAGCTTTCATGTTCGGAGCAGTAAAATTTGTTCTGAGAGAACTGGGGGGGATTCTCATCTTCTAGTCGCAACCTATCGTCCCGACTCACTCGTAGAAAGGTAATGGGATAATCGGGACGATAGGTTGCGACTAGAGGATGAGAATCCCCCACCTGATACCTGATTTGACATGTGAAGTAAACAAAACATCCGTGATGAAGTTATCAGCAGTGTGAAAGGAAATATTGATTGCAATCCCTTGAAGATGAAAATGTTGCATTAATTACTGTATTCCTTTTATACATCGAGTTACACCGAACGTGTCGCTCTAGAGCTTCTCGGAGTCACTCCAAAACACACAATTCAGACAAGAGTTTGAAACACTCGAGCTACTCGCTCCGGTGCTTCGAAGCCCCCCGATTTGCAGGGAACAGATGCGTGGTGCAACAAACACTTTTCGAAAGGAATAAGCGCGTGAAGCCCCGGAGCTGTTCAGGAGCTCGTCCTAGGTGTGAAAGGAATACAACTAAAGCCAGCGCATCTGTTCCTTTCAAATCGGGGCGACTAACACTGGAGCGAGTAGCTCTAGTGTTTCAAACTCTTGAAAGGAATACAGCTATTAACCTTACCTAAAAAGGGTTTCTTGCACCCCGCGCAAATTTGGTGTATCAGGGGAAAGGGGGATGCACTATGAGCGACTCGAGTGCTTAACGCACTTTTAAAAGGAACGTTCAAGCTTTTGGCATTGAGCAGCTCCGAGTCACTCAACAGGTAAAAAGAATACAGTATATGCTATTCGGCCTCAAAGGTCTTTTTGTGCAATTGTAGGCCTCCGCTATGCGTCCTCTCTCAAACTTTGCGCTCACCACAAAAAGACCTATTTGTGAGCCTAATGACATAAATAACTATTTCCATGAGCATCTGTGGTGACGTCACAACAGTAGCTACGATTCACAATAGGCAATCTTTTGTTTTTAGCTTCCAATCCTTAGTTTGTAACTTTGTTCCAACACAGCAGGAAACCGTACTATGTATCGCATGAATTAATGTACTCCAAGGTGGTTAGTGGTTACATGACATGTGGTAGAGTAGAAACAAACGAGAAGAAGCCACACGCTTTATCGTTTGTCTCACTTTAAATAGGAGGGACCCAGAGAATAGGAAATCTGCCTTCTTTGTCAGCGCTGACGTCATGGCTTCTCGTTTGATTCTTACTCTACTGCAATGATTGGAAGTGATTTCGAAATTGTTCGTGGGACAGTTTTTTGACGTGTTTGAACCATATTATTGGAACAGACCCTATTGTCAATGGTTTGTCGCCTGTCAAAAGTGTCAAGTATCCTCAAATTATTTGTCAACAAGAGAATTTTTCCTTGATAACTTGAAAACCTCTGATACTTTTCCTTAAAATACCACAAAAACGATGAGTTCCGAACCAGCAGTTCCTAAGAAAACGTTCGCAGAACAACAGGCCGACCGTATGAAAAGGCTGAAAGAGCTACACCGAATGAGAAACGAAGCCAGGACACACAATCACCAGGAAGTAGTGGCCGAAAATGCCAGAAATAACATGCCTCAGAACTGGGAAGCCCGGAAACGTAAGGCAGAGTGGATTCTGAACGATCAGAAAGAACGAGAGGAGGCAGCTGAAAAAGGTAATTTCATTTAGGTTTGTTTTTTTCTCACCTTGCAAAATAACAGCAAGAGGCCCACATTTTCTTCCTTCCAGTCTAGTCATATATCAATTTCACTGAATATTTTTTTTAATATTGAGAAAAGAAACAGTAAAAACTTTAAAAAAACAGTCAATCCAGAACTATGCATGACAACTGTCAAATGCTTTTACAGAAACCTGTAAAAATAAATTGCGTTTTCTTTATAAATTCCCTTCGCCATACAATCAAGAATCAAATCTTGTTCCAGGTGAAGATTATGATCGATTGAAGTTACTAAACGTAACGGCTGTGGATGCGGAAAAACTGGAAAGAAAAAAGAAAAAGAAGAACCCCGATGTAGGATTTTCCGATTTCGAAGCGGCCACGCACCGCCAATACAACAGGCTGGTGAAAAACATGGCCCCAAAAGACATGGAGTGGTACGAAGAGCAAAAACAAAAATATGGGGATGCTTTTTACGCAGGTCCCAACACAATAGTTCATGGGCTGCACCAGGACAGACCGGAAGCTGTAGATAATTTGGTGAAAAGCGTTGAAGATCAAATTTCCAAGAGGAATAAATTCTCGAGAAGGAGGATGCACAATGATGATGCTGATATTGATTACATCAACGAAAGAAATGCTAAGTTTAATAAGAAGCTTGATAGGTTTTATGGGGAGCATACAGCTGAAATTAAACAGAATTTGGAAAGAGGCACAGCTGTTTAACTTCAGTCAGTATTGTACAAATAAATTATCAAAATAAGCATTATTTTAATTAAAAATAAATAAATATTTACAATATCAACTTAAAAAATAAGAAATTAGCTATTTATGTGTTACAAATAAAATTGTGTACATTGATGAGCGAATTTAATTTACCTATAAAATAAATAATTAGAATTAAATAGAGAATAGCCAAAAAAAAAAGTGTAAAAACTATTCTTCTTTTCATAGAACCCAAGAATGAACAATACCTAAAAAAAAAAGAAACTATATTAGAATTATTAATATTAATACCTCCTACCTGTTTAAGAGCCAGTTTCAGAAGCAGCAGTAACCGAATGGTAACCACACGACACTGGTTACCTAGTAATATTAGTTTCATAATGTGTAGTTTAGTCAAAATCATTGGTCACACTTGAGATTATTTAACTGATGCATTCTGCTGTGTATGTTTGCTAACCAGTGCAGGTTACCACTCTAATTGTGAAACTGGGCTTAAAAATTATGAGTAATGAAGCAAATTTTTTTTACTGTAATATATTACATATTCTGAGTCATAGGTTAATACCTACCAATGACATATTAACCACAACAGCAATCCACCTCCAGTGTATCCCCCTCCAATTAGGTTGCCACATGATTTTGGATTGATATTTTATCTGTGATGACTTTGCTTAAAAAAATTGGAGCCTCAAGACTAAAAACGACTACTAGATAGCATCTAATCCACCTGCAAGTTAATGTAAGGGCTACGTAAATCACCCTGTATAGACATACCTTTCAGTACATTCTCAGTTAAATACTCTGTACACAGGGGCGTACCACAAGGCTCAGTCTTGGGACCCTTGCTTTTCTTGGAGTATTTGTGTGACTTATACCAAAAACTGAAGACCAAATATGAATCGTTTGCAGATGACACAACCCTATCCTGAAATCCACTTCTACAGTTTGCAGATTTCCAGGAAGACTTGTACACTATCAAAGAGTGGACAATGTTATCGAATATGCCATTGAATGACCTCTAGCGTACAGTTCTACATATCGGTTGGCCAGAATAACCCTGAACATGAATACCTCCTCCAACAAACGCCAATTTAAAAAAAATTGTGCCACAAAGAGTTAGGAATTACAATCACATCAGACTTGAAATGGGAACAACACATTACTGAGATGACAAAAAAAGTCAATTCCATTAATCGACCTCATTCAAAAATCTATCTAAAAAAATGGTTCTAAAGCTCTACAAAGCTTATTTAACACCAAACCTCGAATACGTCCATTCCAACTGGAACCCATATTACATCAATGACATTGAAGTTATTGAGAGCTTACAGCACCATATTACAAGACAATGGTACCTGATGAACTCAAAGAGTTACCCTACAAGAACCTTCTCAACCAACTAAACCTAACTACATTAAAAGATGGAAGAACGAAGGGAGACCTTTTTGAAACTTACAATATACTATGCATCTGACATTAACTTATTCCTCGCCCAACTAACGCCGCCAATGGAATACCAAAGGACATAACCAGAAACTTGAGAAAGAAAGATGTAAAAAGTTACTAAGAAGAAATTTCTTGACAAACAGAGTGGTTTATCAGTGGAATAGACTTGGTCATGAAATAGTTAGTGCAACATTAGTGAATCAATTTGAAAACCATTTGGATACAGAAATGAGGGGCTGGCACAACATGTTTGTGCATTATGGAGTTTATATTGTGAACAAACTGTGAAAAACTAAATGTCTTAGTGGTCTACCATATCATATGAGTTAGAGGCAGAGAAATAGATGAACAAATTGCATTATTTTGGTCAAGTGAATAATGGGTTCAGAGGGAAAGGCGGGTCTTGTTCACATCTCTGATGCATCCCATCATGACCCTCCTCAAACAGCTTACCTCTCCTGGCCCATGGGAGGTCTTGTCATCACAAACAACATCAGTTCATGAATGAGATACAGTGTCCATTTGTATTAAGATGTCATTGATAAATACCCATTGGCAAGAAGGATAAAAATGGATATTTGTACCTACTTAAAATTGGACGTATATTAAGGGTGTGAGTAGAAAAAATATTATTTATGATGAAATCAATAGTAGACTGGATTGTAATGTAAAACGTATATTCCACTAGAAAATCAATAATTTGAAAAAAAAAAATTACTTGAATTTCTGATGCATCATCTCTATCACAAAAAGCCAAAAAGAAAAATTGTTTCACACAAAATTTCTGAGGAAACTAATTTGGACTTGGAAAAATACATTTGGCAGAAGCTTTGGATTCGTTTTTACAAGGATGCCTTTTAACCCAGAATTTGTGGCATTGCTTCAAAACTAATTCTGGCAAATCCAATAGGAAATTCAAAGTCCTAATTTTATACCCAATATTCGATTATTTGCCCATTAATAACTTCGAATTGTGTTAGATCTGAAGCTCAGAATCGGTTAAAAATCACATAAAAATCATGCAAAAAAAAACAAACATAACATCAAACAAAATTTACACATTAATCTTACGTCTAGGCAGTCTTGGAGTAACATGAATATGAATATTATCCCCGGGAGCAGCTGATACTAGAAAATAAAAGAGAAAAATTTAAAACTCAACTATTTATTTCAAAACAATGTAACAATAAGTAGTTCAAATAAACCAAACTAAAAATAATGGCTGGAATTTAGTTTAACGTCAATCAACGCTTTAACCAATGGATAATAATAATAATAAAATAAGACAAAGAGTATTGTTCGTCGATTTTTAACTGACACTTTCCGTATGAGGAGCGAGGGGGTGTTTCATATGGCAAAAACAGGTATGATGTCATCAGATAACCACTGGCGTTCTAATGTAGGGAGCCACCAGCTCACATTCCGTCCGAGTATCAGATTAAAATCGACGGACAATAAAATGTACAACAATAAGTTTTTAGCTTCTATAAGAAGTTATTATAAAATCAAACACAATATCACAATGCAAAATTAAAAACACACAAATTCAAGCTCCACTACTACTATCAGGTTCCATTGAAAAATGTACCATACTAGGAGCAGACACACTAGAATTCAATGGAACCCTATTATTGTTAGTCTCTTTTGCAGCATTATTATCGCGCAGCCTCCTCAACATTTCGCGTCTGGTTATGGGCGAGCGATTTTCATTAGCGCTGACGCTTTTTCTAAGCGCATTAGCGGACTTTTTAAACATATCATAAGACATGTTCAAAGCGTTGGGATTAGGCAAACCATCCAGGGTTAAATCTGAAAAGTTCGTACCGTGAAACACGCGAGGCATATCGCATTGTTCGCATTTGTCCAGGTCGGGATGGTTGAGGAATGTGCAAACGGAACAGTTCCATCTGGAATCATCCGCGTCGGGAAAGTCCGAGTAACGTCCTCCTTGAGGTCGTCTGGGAGATTGTCTTTGACGAGGTGCTATTAGAGGACCTGTAGGTCCCGAATAAATATTGTTATAGAATTGATCTAGAAATAATAAGTTTGTTAGTGGTTTGCGTTGCTTGTAGGGTGGAGTTACTTACTTTGATCTAACCTATCAGCTAATTGTTCACACTGGAACGTCAAGTGTTTAATTTCTAGTTTTAATTGTTTTTCTATTTCTTCTGCTGTTCGGCTTTCAGGAACCTAAGAGAAATTGGTTTTAGTAGTTATAAGTCAAATATGATTTATAAGCATCGACCACCTTTGTGGTTTTAGTACCAGATTATTTTGGCTAATTCACAAGCAGTACAGTGTATTTTTGGATGAATGTTGTGCCAGATTGTGTATCTAGCGTTAATCTTTGTCTAACATGTAAGATGTTAATGCTGTTAAAGATATGGAGCCAACAATCGATGTCAAACACGGGGAAACCACCTGGGAAGCTTTTATCTCTACCCACAAAAGTTTCGAAATAACGGTAAAAATGGTACATGTTACCTACTTTGAAAGTGACTATATCCACTTCAAATTCTGACTAGAGTTATTATGAAACTGACTATATAATTCTTGAGATCTACCTTAAGTCACTTTGAATTCTGACTATAGGTTGGCAACTGGGAAAAGAGCGTTATTATGATCTGAGAAAAAACCGATATGGAAATATACAGTTGCATTTACTAATTTTGCAATTGACTTAAAGTCACTTGAAAAATAAAATAAAATTAACGTTTTTGTATGCAAGAACAAAAACTTTACTTTTGTTGATCAATACTTCTGAGTCAAGTAACTGTTACGTACCTGTAGTGTTTTCTTCTCCAACTCCTCGACTTCTTGTCGCAAAATCACCAGCCTTGCAGTATCAGTTCTTAGCTCTATTTTCATGTGGTCTATCCGAGCTTGTTGCCTGACTAACACTGAAGCTGCAAAAGAAAAGATTTTTTTTCAGTATGCCGCCTTACTAAAATTTCTACAGGTAGTGTTGCGGATCAGGTGTTTGCCGCCCGCAGTTGGTCGTCCAAAATAGACGACGTGCCGCCCACGTCAAACGCGTGCCCCGTTATTTTGGTATCGACACAAGGCTAATGACGATTCAGTGCAATTTTATTATTTCAATCGAGATTTTGTTTCTTAGTTCGAGCCTAATTATTGATTTACCTAAAATTTGCAAGTCCATAGTTTTGGTTGCACCATACACTTATGGACGCCGTCGAATGATAATATTTACAAAATGTCATTTAGAAAACCGCGCAATGAATTTCTTATCTTATCGCCGCCCAACCACATCCATTTTTTTTTTCAGTCTTATCGAATTTATTGTTAATTTTAACAGCTGGGAATCTCGGATGATGTTGCAACATTTGCAAGCTTGTGTCGTTATTTTTATCCAACCTCTAACTTTACAAATCATTATTTGAATAATGGTGAAGAAACACATATCAATTTTAAGCATTGATTGATTGATAATCTACCTATCAATCAATTAGCTGTAAGTGCTTATTTCTTTACACGTTTTATCGTTCCTCGTACCCTACCACCTACAAAATAGATTTCATTTTCTCACAGAATGTGTAAAAACAAACGACTGAGTCATTGGGTTCTTTGTCAAGTTGTGGTTGGCCTTGCGTTAACACCGTATGTGCTCTGACCGCAACATTGGCTACCTGCATTCTAATTAAGGTACGGGGCATAAAGGTGGGCTTAACAACAGGTTATAGAACGGTTTTTCACTTTTATAGCTCACACATCAAATATTTATGTGTTATTGTGGGTTGATAATGGATTCTGCAAAATAACACGATCAAACCACTTAGAAAGTCTTACAAGAAGAAGGAAATCTTTCACGAGAGCCGGTAATAGAAAACAATTTTACCCACTTTAAATTGACTCAACAAAAATAAGCCACAGAGTGATCAATATTTTATTATTCCCGGCTCTTGTAGGAAATCTTCCACGAAAGTCGGAAATAGAAAACAATTTTTCCCACTGTAATTTGACTCATTATCTCGGTACTTTAGCGCCCTAGGCTCGCACCTAGTTTACCATCCCCTAGTTGCGGCCCTGCAAGAGCTTCTTATCGAAAAGTAGACTATGGAACCATCTCAACATGGGTACCTACTGATAGTTGAAGATCATCACATGTCTATCTAGCATTGCAAAGTACTTGGGAAAGAGTTGATCAACTTCACTGGAAACTATTCATGATGGAATGGAAGTCATCTGAGCAGGCTTACACATATTTTTTTATTTTTGACCAACTGAAGAGAACGAGTGCAAGTTTTAGAGGAATAAGATATTTGTCATCTTCTACTTACAAATGACTGAAAAATACAACTTTGTAATGGCACTAGACACTCTTTTCAATGACCGTCTCACTTTACGTTTCGTCAAAAACCAGTTAATGGATGAAGATGTTATAACCACAACAAGGAAAACAAATCAATAAAGTTTCCAGAGTTAAATGTTACATTCTGTAGACGTTATAATGGACATGGAGAATGGATTCAAACCGTAATCTCTGAAAAACTGACTAGACTCGAGAAGATTCTGGGAGGTCAAGATACTTAAATTCAAGAATGCAAAAGAAGTACTTATGTGAAGATGTAGGTAAATAAGTTGGAATTATTCGCCAATAAATGGATAGTGATCAGAAGACTATTGAAAAGTTGGAATGAGACTTTGAGATTAGGAAATGTCTCAGCCTGCAACCGGTAATAATAAGGTTAAAGACTGTTGCAAGTTGCAATTGCTAATGGCTGAAGCTCTTATCACATGATCTTGCTTTAGACTTATTAGAGACTCTTCTCCTAGCTTTCCAACAAAACTATGGATCGCTTCTAGATGCGTAGTGTCCTTATGGGAACCAACACCGACGACAGCTTTACTAGTTACAGGTAATGGGATTTAAAAAAAATAATAAAATAATTGTAGATTTGATCACAATCCGCTTGTAGCGCACATCCAGTTGACTCTAAAAAGATGTACAGCCCAAGAGTAAATTTGACAATACTAAATAACTAACAGCTCTAGCCAAGGTTAGAAACAAATTAGATAATAGATAAACGTAACGTAACTTTTCTCTTTTCTATAGTGATTTTCCTTGATCAACTCTTCTTTCTGCCCCCGATGTTACTAGAGCATTCAAGGTACTATTCTCTTTTCAGACTTACTCCCTCGTCAAGGAAGGACAAGTGAGTTCTCGAACGTTCCCCTGTGGGTACCAGACAGTAACCCCATGCCTTACCCAGCCATGCGGAGCGCTGGCTAGGTGGACTATTATCTCCATAGCTTCATGTTGGACCAATTATGTGTACAATTGCTGACAAAGATAGCGAGCTCATGGTGGTACCAAAGGTATTTGAACAATCAAGTAGAGAGGTGGTGTAAAAAAACCTCGACAGACTGGCATTCTGTTGGACAGTCAGGATAAGATAATTCTTGATGTCAACGACAAAGTAAAACCGTGGTGCAGCTACATCGAAAACCTGCTTCAAGACGCGAGATCGGACATTCCTGAAGAGTATTCACGAGAAGGACTAGATATTATTAAGGAAACAGTGCAACACGTTATTCAGTTATCCAAAAACAGGAAAGCTGCAGGTCCAACCAGTGTCTACTCAGAACTTAATAAAATCCTAAAAAATGAGGAGTCAAGATACTTTTCATATGGTTTACCGATCGGACATCGTTCCCTTTGACTGGTTTAAGTCAACATTTGTGACACTTCCGACGAAAAGCTCTATATAAAGATTCCTTATTAGCTTGATGAGCCACTTTCTCAAGATTTTTCTAAAGATCATCCATAAAAGAAAGTACCCAAAGTGCAAATCCTTCACGGACGAGTCCCAATTTGGTTTTCGTAACGGCTCTAGCACAAGAAAGGCCCTGTTTAGCATCCAAGTTTAAAGATGTAGAGATGTTTCTGTTCCTGTATACGGATGCTTCGTAAACTACGAGAAAGCGTTTGACAGGACACCACATGAAAAGCTTATGAAAATTTCCAAGTATGTAAGCCTAGATGATAGCGATAATCGCAAATCTCTACTGCACAAGTCAAGGTAGACCAACAAATGACTGACGAAGTAGGGATAAAAAGGGTTACATCCTTTCACCATTACTTTCTAATATTTATTTAAAGGGGGTGTGCGCCAAAAATTAAAGTTTTAGTGTAACAAAATCTAAGAATAACTGTTCAAACCTCGTTATTCTACGATAAACCATCGCTGAGATATACCGCTTTAAAGTGTGGACGACGCTCTCGTGACGTCACGAAAACTTCGTCCAGCCGCGCTCTGCCTTGTTAATTTGATTGTTTCCGGCAAGCGAGAGTGGTTTTTGTTTAGATTATTGCAGGTAACACAGGAAAAACATATGTAAATTTAATTAACTCCACTTTCTCGTGCGTCGCTTGAGCTTTCGTGACGTCATAGGGTGAGATGCGGTACCTTCATAGAGCCATATCTGCGGTATTATTTGTCATAGAGGGGTGCGGATTTCACTGTTATTCTTAGATTTTTTTTCTCTTTTTTTTGAGATGAAGTTGTTTTTTTGGCGCACACCCCCTTTAAACAAAATATTTGAAAAAGCATTAAAAGACTGCACCTTCTTAATTTCTATCAACGGTGTGAACATTAACAATCTTCGGTATGCCGTCGATACGGTTTTAATCGCTGATTCTCTGGAAGGTGATTTACTCCAAGACAGTTAAAAATTCTTATATGATGACTTGGGAACAAAATAACATAAAGCTGCGACTAGTCTCAATCGATAGGATTTGTGGTCCTGATAAACATACTAAAAGTCCCCAGACCTCCCCCTAGGGGAACATTGTCAAAAGGGCGCCGCCATTTTGGATTTTTGACATTTTTTGTTAACTTACGTTTTACTCAAAAACTACCCACTTTTCGAGAAAGTATGACGAGTGATAAATTGAAGAGCACAAAAAAACCTTTAGAAAAAGTTATTTTTGGATTTCCTGGGTACTACCCTCACTGAGATAGGAGCCAAAGAAGTACTGTCAAAAAACAATTTCTTGCCCAATTTTCATTTTACTCATAAACCACTCACTTTTTAAGAAATATAAAGAGACGTAAGTCGAAGAATTAAATTTGAGGTACATAGGTACCACCGAACATCCGCGGTAGTAGCTTTACCAAGATGAAGCCGATGGAGTACCGCCGACATAGGATTTTTTTATTTTTCTTTTTGAGAGAAAAGCATTAGCAGGAAATTTCAAGAACGTGACTAAAAACATACCTATTTCTGATATGAGTACTCGCGTGCGGAAAGTGTCACTTTTCCGCACGTGATTACAGTTGGCGGAACGATGCGAAGCGGAGTTCTGCTAAGCAATCAAGTGAGGAAAAGAGACTTTCCGCACGAGTATGGAACGATATTTTTTGTACTAGATGAAAATTGATACTTGTACCTCTACTAATTTCAAATACAATTTTAGATATTTTCCCTTTCCGCACTAGTGCGGAAAAGTAATGCGGAAAAGTGACACTTTCAAAACTGAAATGCGTGCGATAAGTGGGCTTATCCGCACCCAAGTAAAAACACCTTTCACGGCTTCTGAAAATGGAGTTTTTCGCACGCTAGGGTACCGCTGAAAATTGAGTTTTTTGTTTTTTTACCACTGCTCTAGAAAGCTATTAAAAACGCACTACTAACTCACCTAGAAAATCAATTATTCCGCACAGCGCGCGAAAAGTTACTTTTCACACGCTAAAATAAAAATGACACTTCTACTGAATTTTTGTTTTGCAAGTAACTCGTGAGTGCATTCAACTAACGTACCAAAATAGTTCGTTGATTATAACCTTAAATAATAATTTTTAACAAAAAAAAAATTAAATCTCAATGTGAATATAGTTATTTCGCAGTCGTAGAAAAAGTATAGTGTGTAACGCGTGTGAAAAGCACTTTTCACACTCGTGCGGTTTGTTATACTCGCCTGCGGCTCGTGTCACCAAACTACCCCACGCATGTGAAAAGTGCTATTTTTAACACTTGTTGCACAATATACTATTTTCACATAGCGAAAAAAAAACGCACGATCTTCTATTTTCATACTAGGTATTTATATTTTCTATATTGACTTGACACAAAAGTGAAGTTGTCAATTTTTGTCAAATTGTTTACGTTTTTTTTATCTATGTGAAATTATTCGTAATTTCCATCAAAATACAATTTTAGTTAAGCCTTATTTTGCAGTTGTAGAAGAAGCATTGTAAAAAAACTCGTTCAAAATGTCTCGGCCGTGCGAAAAAAGTCGTTTTCAAAATTTGTTGTTTAAATAACTATTGTTGTTATATTATGTTTGTACCTATCATAACAGAGTAAACAAGTTTCTATATGGATATGTAGTATGTAGGTAGAATACACGTTAGTAATATTATGTTTCGTTGATCGAATTTGTTGTATAAAACAATAAGATTTTCATAAAAGTGTAACGGAAAAGCCATTCTGAAGGGTTCAAAATGGATTTAAGTATATCAGATTTCCTACAAAACGCATTAACATGTGGAAAACGGTATTTCGGCGGTATTTCTTGGGCTTCTATCTCAGTAATGGTAGTACCCAGGAAGTTCAAAAATGACTCTTTTTAAAGGCTTTTTTGTGTTCTCCAATTTATTCCTCCTCATATTTTCTCGAAAAATTAGTAGTTTTCGAGTAAAACGTAAATGAAGCAAAAAATGTCAAAAATCCAAGATGGCGGCGCCATTTTGACAATGTTCCCCTAGGGGGAGGTCTGGGGACTTTTGGTATGTTAATCAGGACCATAATTCCTATCGATTTAGACTAGTCGCAGCTTTATGTTATTTTGTTCCCAATAAAATTATAACTGTCTTGGGGTAATTAGTAAGAACCAGGTTGGAGGAGGTATTCTTCAGGTACAGAACCAATCAGGTCCAATCTTACAGATATTTAGGATGTCAGCTTAATGAAGACTGAGATAACATGCAGGAGGTTCGTGCCAGGTTTGAACAAGCCAGAGCATCATTTGTAAAAAAATTAAGTCCGAGATCTCTCGTTCTCCCTTTGCACTCGAGTACTACGTTGCTACGTCTTCAGTATTCTCTATTATGGGATTGAAGCGTGGACTTTGAAACTTCTGTCAGACGCCATGGTGTAAAAAGCTCGAGGCTTTTGAAATGTGGACATATAGACGAATGTTAAAAATATCTTGGACGGACAGAGTGCGCCTTGAGAATGTAAAAAGATCTTGAAGTTATGTTTACACTTGAAAAGCGAAAGTTAGAGTATTTCGGACACATACTTAGGAATGACAAATACCTACTTCTCAATGTCGAATGCAATCGTTCATAGAGGATCAGGCCCTTGAAGAAGAAGAAGAAGAAGAAGATTTGAAGACGATCGTCTTGTGCTGTCAACGAAATATCTCTAAATTGCTTGGATAGTAGGTAGTGTAAACGAACACGTGACTAGTATGTTACTTCCAAACATTAGAGTCAGGGTCTAAGAATAAGAATATAGCAAAATCTGAAAACATAATAAGAGAAGCAAAACAAGATGGAGTGAAAATAAAAATCAACTTATCGAATCTACATCCAAACTGACAAAGAAAAATCGTCCAAATTGCTTTTTGAATTTTCCCGAAATAGCCCAATAAATCGTTTTTCCTCTACCGCGAAACGTGATAAAATGCACGATTTCTAAAATATTTTATAGCCTCGAAAGCAATTGCCCTTGAATTCCGAATACTATTTTAAGTACCTACTAAAATTTATATGTATAGTCACACATAAGTTACCTTCTGGATTTATTGCGGCTAAATTATTCAACGACCCCGTCCTCAGTGCATCTTCTTCGCCTTCTTGCCGAGGAGTATCTCCCAAATGAAAGCTTCTAGGTCTGGCTCTAACCGACGTCACACTACCACTGGGTCCAACTGTAATCTGCAATCTACTCTCCAGTCCTTTTTCCTTATCGAAACTGCTTGTAGAGTACGTCAAACTTGAATTTTGCGAAGTTATATCTATGGGATCTTGTGGTGTAGAGGTGGGCTGTCTTAAAGTCAGGTTAACACTGGTAAAACTTCGAGGTGATGCGGGGTCTGGCAGGAAAGGGTTTGGGTTGAGCCAAGGCTGGGTTGGTGTAAAGTCAACTCTAGTAGTACACCTGGGTTTGGTAGGGCTTTGCACCAGCCCCATTTGGCAGTTAACGTTGAGGGATAGATTTAGGCTGGGACTGGTTAACGGCGCGTTATTCACTAGAGTGTCAGTGGTCTGAGTGGGAGTGGAAACTGTTTCTTTTTTGAGCACTTTTGGCACTTGCTTGGCGGCAAATCGTTTAACACTTAACGGAGATAGCGGTGGTTTATCAGCGAGAATCGGCGAATTTAACAGTTTGTGCACGTCTCTGCACTTTTCCGATAACTGTAACTTGCGGTCGCTGTTTATGTTTAAAGTGTTTGGACGTTTTGCTAGGCTGGTATTTTTTATTGGATCACTTGTGGTTGTTTCACTTTTAACCAAGTCGCTGACGCTCATATCAGCTGCTATTGGGGTTGGGGTAGTAAAGGGAGATGTATCAAGCTATAAAGAAAATCCACTATAGTAATAAGAGATAGTTTTAATAAAAACAGCTCTACCTGTAAAGAAGGTCGTCCCATCTGATGGTTCTGTTGGTCTTTTGCGGCCGTAGCTACGACCAAATCTCGTAGATTTCCAGGCGAATCCGATGCTAAGTGGGACGTGATGCAGGCTGTGATGATGTGATCGGGAACGGTTGGGAATTGGGCTTTAAGCTCGTGGAAGATTTGCATGACTCTAACGTTTGAGGAACGTACGGGTTTTGTACCGGCGTACATGGCCGGCCATTATGGGATATCTGAAATTTGAAGAAAAATGTATAAGTATAATAAGCAAAATTGTGTACAAAATTATGATAATTAGATTAAGTTATTTATAAGTACATATTCGGTCTTCCGCGAATTCACTTTTTAATAAGGATGCACACATGGATTTATATTTCCAAGGAAAAAATTATAAATAAACTGAACAAGTAGATTTGAGTTGAGATTTTTTTTTTTAAGTTGTGAAAATATTGGCTAAGTAATCTAAAAGTGGGCGTTCGTTATTATTTGATGATTACCACTAAATCATTACATTAAATATTTACCGATCAGCTTTACATTCTAACGGAAGTATTTTGATTATTAAATGGGCTAAAATAAATATTCCTATAATAATAGATCATGTGCCAACTTTTTCTATAGTATCTCATTGATTTTTTCAAACATTTCATTGATGACATAATTTATTAATCCAGCTTTCAGAAATAATTGGAACGAAAATAAGAAGGCGTTTCGTAAAAGAAAAATATTTGGTGTTTTGTTGCTCAACAGCAGGTTGTTTACGAGTCAGTTATATTAACCAATTGCCATGCTGATTTATAATCAATTATCTATTTTTTATATGCTTTAATCTGCTTACCCCTTTCCTCTAGGACTTTTTAAATACATTGTTGTAAAGTAAACATCAAATTGCTATGTCGACATTAAATGATTATTTAACCCGATGCAGTCCCATAAGGAACGTTCATTTGTTTTCTGGCTTTAGCCTGTAGCAATTTGATCCGAATATTTTCTTTTGTCACCTCTGTATTTTAATCAATAAAATAAATGTTTTTTAAAATACAAGTTTCTGAATCGAAAATATAATTGGCGCAGTCGTTCGGATGCTCAGAGTGCTTAAGTTTCGGGAGTTGTAACAGTCGTAATCCATCGCGAAAATTTCAAAAGACTGAAGGAAGTTCGAAAAAGTGAATTCTTCGGAAAAGTGAAATTTGGATTATCAGTGCTGCTATTAAACGTTCCAGATACTGTCCACTTCGAATTGGTTAACTGAGTAAAAGGAATACCAAGAAACAACGTGTGAAGAAAGACTACTGTTATTAGCTTTGCCTAGTAAGTACAACCTTTCTCTTTATACATTTTGTAATTGGTGTTCCATAGTTAAGATTTTTGGATTTTTGATCTTTTGTAATTTCTAATTTTTTGATTTACTGAGAAGACTTAAATTCAGATTTTTGTTCTTTTGCAATTCCAAAACGGTTTGCTGAAAAGACTGAAATCAAAAAATAAAGAGTAATAAAGAATTTACAAACCCACAACAACTTTTAATTTTAAAGAAAAAACAACGCATAAGACTGAATAATTAATTATAATTTTAATTTTAATAAAACTTTTGAATTTTGAATTTTTTTAAATTTTCAAAATAATTTCTTTTAACAATTCAAAGAAATATATATGTCAGATTTTGAAGAAGAAATCGAGAATCTTTTGACTCAATTTAATTTAACTTATCTTTACAATTCTAATTCAAGAAGTAACAACCAAAATCAAAGATCAACCGTAACAATGAGTGAAAATTTAAAATCAATCGTTCAACTAATCAAACCTTTCAGTGGCGAAAGCCAATATTTGGAATATTTCATAAGAAACATCAATGAATTTTATCAAACCTATTATACTGGTGAAAATGCTCAAAATGCTCAAAAAGAATATGTGGTTACCGCCACGTTCACAACAAACCTATACTCAACAAAAACCTCAATATAGGTACACAAAAAACATCGTATGTACCACAGAAACCACAGTTTCCATCCCAACCTATGCAACCTAAAAAGGACTATGTACCAACAAAATTTCCTACTAGTTCAGGAACTTTTGGCAAAAACTACAATAATGCCTTTCGAAAAAACACTAATCAACAATTTTCGAAACCCACACCTATGTCCGGTGTTTCAGTGCAACCAAAAGCACAAAATCAACATCAATACCCTTCTAAATATACAATCGAAGAAATTAATAATATCTTTGAAATCGAATTACCTGAACCTGATGAAAATTTCGAAAATGACGAATGTTCTGAAAATCATAACTATTATGAAGAGACAAATTTTGAAGAAAATCAAGTCGCAACTGAAGACGAAAATTTTCAGTTACAAGCCTTGGATGCAATGAGTCAGCATTAACTTTAAATGCTTATCAAATCAACCAACTGCCTTTTATTCAAATAGACTATCCACTGTGTAAATTATTAATTGACACAGGAAGTCATGCCTCTTTAATAAGACCCTCAATAGCAGAAGAATATTTTTCAAATTTTATAATTCATTCACGAATGTATGTTATTTCAATACAAATATAGCTGATGGCATTGAAATACTTACACCACCGATAAAAAATGAAACGTATTATATACCATCGACAATAGCTACAGTTTTAAACGAGACAGTAGCTCTAGAAATACATAACTTAATGAATAAGCCTATTATTGTTCCATATAACATAAACAACTTAGCGGAAATAAGTTTACCTTACGCAGACCAACAGTTTGAGATATTTAATATAGAGCAAATGACTTTATTAGAAAATGCTGAATATGCAAATGACCCTATTAAGTCGTTGCGTATTAATCATTTAAACTCAGAGGAATTTGATGCTTTAAAACACGTAATTAAATCTTTTCCTAAAATTTTCCACAAGCCAAATGAAAAATTGACATTTACCAATCAAGTCAAACATGAGATTAAAACAACGGATGAAATACCAGTGCACACAAAAACGTATAGATACCCACATGTGCATAAACAAGAAGTAAATTCTCAAATAAAGAAAATGTTAGAAGATAACATAATCAGACCATCCTGTAGCCCTTGGTCATCCCCTGTGTGGATAGTACCTAAGAAAGAAGATGCCGCAGGCATACAAAAATGGAGAATGGTCGTTGATTATCGAAAGATAAACGAAAAAACTATTGATGATAGATATCCATTACCTAATATTACGGATATATTAGACCGACTTGGTCGTAGTAATTATTTTACGACACTAGATCTAGCCTCTGGCTTTCATCAAGTCGAGATGCATGAAAATTCGATACCCAAAACAGCATTTAATGTTGAAAATGGTCATTACGAATTTAACAGAATGCCCTTTGGTTTGAAAAACGCCCCCGCGACATTCCAGAGAGTGATGGATAATGTATTACTAGAATTACAGAATAGAATATGTCTAGTATACATGGATGATATAATAATTTTTTCCACTTCACTTCATGAACACGTGAAAAATCTAAAGAAAGTATTTGAGAGATTCGAGAAGTTTAATTTAAAAATACCATTAGACAAATCAGAATTCCTACACACAACAGTCGAATTCTTAGGACATGTAATTACACCAAATGGAATAAAACCGAATCCAAAAAAGATAATGGCAATAAAAAAATTCCCAATACCAAAGACGGTGAAGGAAATAAAATCATTTCTAGGATCAGTAGGTTATTACCGAAAATTCATAAAGAATTTTGCCAAATTGACCAAACCAATGACATCTTGTTTGAAAAAAGACAAGAAAAATAATACAGAATGCAGAATTTCTTAATAGCTTTGAAACTTGCAAAAATGTATTAATAAATGACCCAATACTACAACATCCTGACTTTAAGAAAACTTTCTTATTGACAACCGATGCATCAAACTATGCAATTGGAGCCGTTTTATCTCAAGGTCCTGTCGGAGCTGATCTTCCCATTGCATACGCATCAAGAACGTTAAACCCAGCTGAATGTAATTATTCGACGATTGCAAAAGAACTTTTAGCAATCGTATGGGCAACAAAATATTTTAGACCTTATCTTTTTGGTAGAAAATTCACAATCTTGTCAGATCACAAACCTCTACAATGGCTATTTAATGTTAAAGAACCAAGTTCTAAACTAGTCAGATGGCGACTAAAACTATCCGAATTTGATTATGAGATCAAATACAAAAAAGGAACATTAAACATGAATGCAGACGCACTATCAAAAATTCCTGCAATACAACTTCATGCCATTCAAAAATCAGATCCAGATGCCAGATTAACATCTTCAGATGAAGAATTTCATAAAAAATTAGGATTAATGCTGAAAGATACACCATTATGTAATGATGAAATCATAGCAAAATACTTTACAGATTCTAAAGTATATCTTCCTAAACAAAGCGAGATAGCTAAAGAAAAGAGATAACAATGTCTGAATCATCTCAATCAACAAAGACAGCATCAGAAAAAGAACCTGAAGAGGAACCTAAGAAAGTAAAGCCCAAAATAAAGATATTATCACAACTAATAATACCTCCAAGAAAAGAGAAAAAAGAAATTCCCATAGAAATAGGAGAATCTTCGAAAACTCAACAAAGTAATAGACAAATAACACCAACTATTCGTTCTTCAACAATTTCAGCCTCGTCTGAAAATTACCAAACAATACATACATCTATGGAAAATCCAATATTAGGAGCTCCATGTACTAAGAAACATGTAAATGTATTTGGAAATCAAATTGTATTTCGATATTCCAATAATAACACAATTAGAAAAGAGATAATCAAACTATTTGGTAATAAAAAGAGAATAATATTCTTCTTACCAAATAATCCAACAACATCACAAATTACTAATTTAGTAAAGGAATACATGCCACCTGGTATTTATTGCCTTCATTTCCTAAATAAATCTTTAGAACCTATTGTGATACGAGCATTACAAGAATCGTTTAATTCGAATTCATTTACTTTGTACATCTCGAACTCTTTATTAGAAGACATCACAGAAGTTGATCTTCAACAAGAGAAAATTCAGCAATATCATGAGACTAAAACCTCTCATAGAGGAATCACTGAAAATATTGCAGCCTTAAAGAAAAGATTGGCCCAATATCGAGAAAGACGTACAGAATTATGTCAAAGTATGCGAGATATGCAATCAAACCAAGTATGAACGTCAACTATACAAAATCATATTCAAACCAACACCCATTGGTATGAAACCCTTTGAACAT